GCATTTCATTGAAATCGGGGCTGAATAAGATAATTTAAGATCTGCTAATACAAGTGCCATATCAATTACCTACATATAGATTCTCTACGAGAAAATATGTCCATATCACACTCTGATTTATAACTTACGATTTCAAGTAAATAAGACAGGATGGGCATAACTACGTTAAAAAATATCGGGAATATAGGCATTATTTCATTTAAGATCTTTACTACCAGCATACAGAGAATTCATTTTTACAACGAGTGTTTTATATTTTTCATGATCTTTTGATTTTCATCTGTAAGCAGAACTAGCCAGAGTAATGAAATGTTTCAAAGTGAGACTATTTTGCTCAGATTTTTCAGCTTCGGCTTTTCGGAGACGTTTCTTTTATCATTGCAACGTCTACAAACTCGCTGATTACCCTGAAGCGTGTAGTCAATTTCTTTCATAACATGATCTCAAGTAAGTGAGAGCATAAAAAGCTAGCTAAAGTGTAGCAATGGTGATAAACTGTATTTCAAGAGGATAGGTCAATATTGTTAATCGTTGCACCATCGATCAAAATTATGACTTTATTACTTCCAGAAGAGCTTATACAAGTATACATGTCGAAAATCGTATTCAAAGGAAATCTCATTCTGAAGCTGGACTAATAGTAAATTTAAAACTGTTACGCTATTTTATTAGCATGAGAGAGAATATCAATTACCTGCAACAAACTGTAGTCAAAACAATGTTATCAAGCACTCTATCGACTATGACGGCCATAACGTTTGACTCGGTGTACTGTATTGTGCTGCTACGGACTACAAAATATTCCCTTAGTAGTCTATGGAACTACATTTCTAGGCAATTTTACTTATTTACTATATCGAGACTGGCTACGCTATGCCGTCTGAGTTCACAATCTCCTTCTGAAGCTGGATTATAATAAATGTAAAACAGTTACGCTTTTATTATTAGCATGACGGAGAATATCAATTACCTATACTGTAGTCGAAACAATGTTATCAAGCGCTCTATCAATTATGTCGGCGATAACATTCGATTCGGTGTATTGTGCTGCTATGAACTACCAAATATACCCTTAGTAGTCTATGGCTGCATTTCAAGGCAATTTTACTCTTCCACGATATCGAGACTGACTACGTTATGGCGTTTGAGTACTGCAGTGTACGTATCGCAGCAAGCAACATAAATTGCAAACTTCGCCAATAACAAAACCAGTACAACTCGCAAACCTCAGTAAATAACTACTAGAAAAGTATCAGAAAGCTACTGAAAGGCGACTGTCGATGAAAAATATCCTACGCCCATCGACACCGTAAAGACTTATTCCATACGCGCAGACTCAACTTTAGCAAAACTTTGCCTGATCGACACATGGTACTGTACATACACATTGTCATACTGTATCGTAGTGCTAGATATCGTGATTAATTAAGTAGTAAAAGCGTAATAAGATGCGATCAAACCATCAAGTTTAGAAAAAAACATACCAAATCAACAGTAATGGCGGCGTTGCTACTTTAGCGGAATTAGCTTTTAATCTGATCAAGCATCGTGTATACGAATACGTATATATCATATATATATGTATATTACACAGGACAACGTTAACATAGAACGAAAACCTAGCGATGTACAAGAGGTAACAATCCTAAGTCAGGCTATAATGCAAGGTACCATACTTTAGTTTAGAAATAGTATTTCAATATGTAAATAATAAAACAACTCGTTTTCAAAATAACTCCTTCTCCTGGTGAAAGTTACGATGTATTTCTACAACTAACATACGAAATAAAATTCTAGTAACCAATTGCATGGTACAGCACCTTTTTGCCAATTTTACTATACTTTTTCTAGTAATAAACGGTGTTAAGGCACTAAATTTGTAACATTAGCGGATAGAAAATCAAACGCTACTGTAGGCAATTATGACTGCAAATCAATCACGCTATACGCTTACCTACGATCTATGCTTAATAATGAAGAATAATTGTGTTCTCTTATGTATTAGAGACTGAGTAAGAACACTACGTTTCTATAGTCGAAATCTTGACATTGTAAAATAACTTATACAGTACAACAAATAAGCAAGATTACAGGATCAGTAAAGTCAATTTCAAACTATTACAGTACTAACATCGATTTCTTTACTAGTACAGACACTACAACAGACGATTTACAGTATTATCTGTTATGACAATTTTTTGCTTTCTACTCATCAAAATAGGGCTAAAGATTGTTAACAAATCAACGTTCCCAAACCAACCAGTCAATGATCTATCTCAATGGAAATTATCGCTATATGGTAAGGAAGATGTCTATTAGTTATTCATGGCTAAGCAGCAACATAACAAAGCCATACAACAGGCAAGATTACAGCAATCTTCGGCTTCTTGTTGGCGTCGTGCATCATAATCATCGACAACATAGACAGTTTGTTGAGCAGGCGGCTGAACGTAGACCGTTGTATTTTGTGGAGGAGGAGCACCTTGTTGATATTGAGGATAGTATCCAGGTTGTTGGCCGGGCCCATACGCTGGTGGCGGTGGTGGTGCTTGACCGTAAGGTGGTTGGGGTGGATATCCGCTCATTTTGATACTTTTTGGATAGATTTCTCCGACAAGAAAGGCAATTTCTCACTAAGCAACCGACAAACGCAGCTTAGTAATAAGTAAGTCCGTGGTGGCAGGCGTACTGTATTATTACCCAGGATCGGTTTTTTACCGTATTGTACACAGTACAGTACAGTACGGTAGTCGTAGTTGTTCAGAAAAATGCTTTTTCTGAACACTACAGTACACAGTGTACAGTACTGTACTGTACTGTATGATGGCAGTTCTTCATTCTCACAATGACGTCAAAGCTCATTTGCGTTAAAAGGGTCCGCTGTTGAAGATGGAATAATCGTTATACAGTACTGTACTGTAGTGTACTGTACTGTACACTGTACAGTACAGTACAGTATGGATGGCATGGTACCGTCTACAGTGCTAACTATTCAGTGATATACAGTACTGTACTGTAGTGTACAGTACTGTAGTCCATACTGTACAGTACAGTATTTCTTCAACCTTACAAATGCGTATTGTACTGTACATACAGTAAATTAGAAAAATTTGATGATGTCATGTTTTTGATTGAAATAGAAGTTGTGCAAAGCTCATTTGCGTTAAGGGTCCACTGTTGAAGATGGAATAATCGTTACTGTACACTGTACGGTACGGTACTGTACTGTACTGTACAGTACTGTACAGTACATGCGTACAGTACAGTATGGATGGCAATGGTACCGTCTACAGTGCTAACTATTCAGTGATACAGTCCATACTGTACAGTGTACAGTACTGTACAGTACAGTATTTCTTCCAAACGTCTGAAAAGCTGTTACAGTACTGTACATAAATTGGAAAAATTTCATGATGTAATGTTTTTAATTGAAATCCAAGTTGTGCACAGTACAGTACTGTGAGGGTAATTATTGACCGATCGCTAAATGTAAAAAAAGCAGTATTGGATACCGACGGTATAATTTCAATCCTCTGTACTGTAGTACTGTACAGTACAGTTCTTTCCATATTTTCCACGTGCAAAATGAATACACGGTACTGTCCTGTAGTCCCGTGACTGGGTCATGTCATCAAATGACTGAAATGACATGGACAGTACTGTACATTCTTTGAAAGATGACGTACTGTACTGTACAGTAATAATGTTCCAAATCCGCAACATTCAGTCAAAACAATGTTCAACTCGCCCTGTCCTATACACTATATATTGTATTGTACAGTTTAGCATTTTTGACATAATTTGCAGTCCATGTTTACTTGCCGCCTGCCCGCAACAAAACCGAATGAATTGTATTCTAAGCCTGCCTAGTGAAAACATTGATCTACAGTACGAGGATTTTATATGATGAGTTGTACTGTACACTGTACAGTACTGTCGAAAGAGACTGGAGAGAAGTCGTTCAGTTGAAAAGAAATGAACTGCAACCATCCACTATACTGTACTGTCAGGGACTTTGAAGAGCAATTTCTTCTCTTTCATACAGTAAAAATGATACCGTAGTCCTTCAAAAAGTCCCTGCTAACTGCTGTTGATTAGTACCATTACACAGTACAGTATATCCGATATGAACTGGACAACTGTACTGCACACTGCACAGTGTGTCAACAAGAAGCTAGATTGATTTAGTACAGACTGTGCACACTGTACTGTACAGTGTACTGTACACTACAGTGGACACTGAGTGGACAATTTCAATGGTGCAGTACAGTAAAGTAGAATGAGCAGAAAAATAATATGCTTCTGCATGTGGATATCGTATAGTAAACTGTGGTATTACAGTATACTGTCATGGTTGAAAGAAAACAATTTTAGCTATGGTGTAGCCTTGAATTATATCTTTACATTTTTTAAAAATAGACTTTAAATTTGACTCAAATTTCACGCAGGCAGATCAGTCCAACCTTGAGTAATTTGCTCTGGATGTCTCTTTTTATTAATTATTATTATTATTATTATTTTATTGCTGTATTGAGTAGTTTTATTCCTTTCAACTTTCGAATACAAACTATCAGTCACTACTCACTAGTACTGTACACTGTATTGTACACTGTACAGTACATGACATCCGGTCGATTCAACCATTTTTCAACTCACTTGATGTTACGGTGTAATATATTGTACTGCGGTGAAATACTGTACACTGTACACTGTGCTGTACGATACTGTACTGGACGTCAAAGCTGAATTTGAAATCGATCGATTAAAAAAAAAAAAATTTGTGTTTTTGTCCCCAAAACACAAAGTTCAATATGACTTCTAGTAGCCAAGACTTTGGAAATAGATGGACACCAATTAATGATGATGGTAACGATGATGTTCATTCCGAGCGATCGTTAAGCGATCCTCTATTACAATCCAAGATCGTGCAGGATAGTGCTTCTGGCTTAGAAGACAGAGTCAACTCCAAATCCATTTTAACAACGACAAATGGCGTAACCATGAGTTATGATGATATTCTGCAAGCCATCGGCTATGGTAAATTCCATTATATTCTACTGCTAGTTTGCGGTTTAGCTGTAGCAGCAGATGCTGTAGAAATTCAAGCCATTAGCTTTGTTCTACCCTCTGCTTGCGACTTAAAACTCAACGATATCGAAAAAGGCTGGTTAACAGCTATTATCTTTATTGGCATGATGGTTGGTGGTTACGTTTGGGGCGGCTTAGCCGATGTCCAAGGAAGACGAAATATCTTACGCTATGCTCTCTTTGTCAATGGTTTATTTGGATTAATTTCCGCTTTCTCGCCAAACTTTGGATTCTTTGCTTTTTGTCGATTTATGAGTGGACTAGGGTAACTACACTCCTCCTTTAATTCTGTAACATTACTAAACTCTACCATGCCCTCCTTCCTATGCAACTTGCAATCAAACACTTGACTAATCGTACTCGCTAAGAACAAAAGAAATACCTTTCAATGTTTGATTTTGATAATATCACAGCAGAGAGATTTTATACCCATGCCTAGCATTCATATTTAGTAAAGGATAATTAATACTCCACTTCTTACAGTACTTAGTATTAATACCACGAATACACAAAGCAAAGACCCCTTTTTGCACGAATTCCACGGCAATCAAATTGCCATGAAAATTCTTGAAAGTAGTTAAATTAAAACACCCAAATTCAACCGTCTAGTATTTGCTGTGGATGTTTTATTTACTGCGTTACATATACAGTGTTGCAAAATGACATTTTGGTTAAGTGTCCTTTTATTGTACACTCATAACTGAGTATCCCCGTCATTGCATATAGTATAGTATTTATCCATCAGAATAATTAATTAATTATTGATAGTAATTTCTCTATATCTACTCAGTAATAGCGCTTGTTATATCGCACAGTATTTATCTATCAGACTATTTCCAGTAAGTCTTTGTATATGAGTACCCAGATTCTAATTCTATCCAGTCAATTGTAGTGTGCTAGTAATCATCGACTGCATAATTTAAAGTCTTCACTATGATAGAATCAAGTTTTAAGGCTAAATACCACATATTTTATAATCGAAAATTTTCTCAAAGTCTAGAAAACTATAAATCTAGTCTTTCTTTATAGTTACTTTAGAAATATTGTTATAGAATATATCTTTAGTGAAGCTCAATGAATCATTCAGTTCAATTCACCGAGAAATAATTAGTATTAATCTGTATCGAAATTAAACAAGAAATTATTACATAATGACTACTGTACAGTACTTGTATTCTTTACTCTATCGTAAAGAATTTTAAAGCTGTAACTGCTCCATAGCTCTTTGATGAAATTTTCAATTCTAAGTTATGTAGGTAATAATCTCTTGTACGTATGCTGTCTTATAGTGTTGGTGGCTCGATGCCGGTCGTCTTTTCCTACTTTACAGAATTTCAACCTAGATCTCATCGTGGGTCTATGATAACTATATTGGCCTGTTTTTGGATGCTAGGTACTATTATCGCTGCAGGTTTAGCATGGCTCATTATTCCTCATGATATCGGTGGCCCACTGGGTTCGATTTTCTTCGGTAGTTGGAGGATATTTCTCTGTATAGCTACGTTTCCTTGTTTCACAGTTGCGTTAGCTTTACTTTTCCTTCCTGAAAGTCCAAGATTTTACCTTGAGGTAAATGATAATGAAACTATTTCTTCTAAATTAGGATGATTTTACGGAGATAACTTTCTCGCTCCTTGATAAAATCTAGCTCTGTCCAAACTGTACTTCTGTAAATACTAGAGGGTACACCTCGAATTCTTCGCTCTATGCTTAGGTTGGTGAACGCCGTAAAGCGATCAAGAGTTTGCAAACTGTTGAAAGATTTAATAGGGGTGCTCTTAGATCAACCTTACATGTAAGTCACATTGTTGCCATAAGAGATGGAAAGATAGTATCTACGTATTATACAGTCCTGTAATCATGACGCACAAGAATTTAGAAATAATCCTGATACTAAATTCTTATTTTATAGTTACAAGATCCGTCCACTCCTGAGACCGAGAATACTAATAACAACAACGCTGTTACAAACACAGAAAATAAAATGACTGTACTTTTTCGTGATGGTAAAGCATCTGCAGCAAAGGTTTATTGATAATTTGCATGCATATTATCTTTACGCCAACAGAGAGGCAAACTATTGTAGTACCCGTAAGAATATTTGAAAGTTGCTTACGTATGCTGATAATGTCTTGAATCTTCCAATATCTTTGCTGAATTACTACCTCACACATCCTTTTGTGAATATTATTAGGTTTTACAAGCATCGAAGGAACTTTTTTATCAACCTTACTTAAGAAGAACCCTAATTTTGTTTAATATTTGGTTTACATTTTCATTCGGGTAAATTAAAATCATTTGATCTGTAGTAATCCCAGTAAAATATAGGTTTCGGTAAAAGACTCGTATATGGAATCATGCAACGCTCTAATTTAATATACCTGACCTATTTATCTATCATTATAGCTATTATGGTCTGTCTTTATGGTTTCCAGAATTGTTCAAAAAATTTGCTGACGGAAGCACCTGTTCAAACCGAATGGTTACTAATCGTAAGTTACTGATTAATCTGTATCTACATTATTTATTTATCCGTATTCTAATGTAAAGCTAATAATACAAATTCTTAGATACAGTCAAGCCACCTTGTGAGCTCAATGCCAACAATACTGAAATTTACTTTGAATCATTTTTGACGTCGATTTCAACTTTACCTGGAAATCTCATAACAGTCCTATTAATAGATAGGATCGGTAGAAAAATTATCTTAGGTATTGCTTTACCTTGAATACAAAGTTCACTCCTATCATTATTGTTACTGTACATGAAGCTATAACACTTTCTTTCTTGTATGGATATATAGCCTGTTCTATGGGTAGCTCTGGAGTAGCAGTTTTTTTTATCTGGTTGGTAAATCGAAAGCAGGATACAGTAATATTGTCATGCGTATTTAGCGGATTATCGATTGGTGGATGGAATGCTCTTGACGTCTTAGGCCCTGAATTATATCCTACACATTTAAGGTATTTTAATTGCATATGATAACCACTGTGATCCCCGTGCTATTATCCCTTATTCTGGAATACGTACACATCTGTCTCACTCTCGTAAGTACACTGAATACCAATTGTATTACCTCTCTAGATCGACAGCATTTGGCCTACAGTCAGTTCTGGGTAGAATAGCGTCCGTTCTAGGAAACTTACTTTTCGCTCAGCTAATCGATGTTGATTGTGCTATACCGATTTTACTGGTTTCAGCTTGCTTGGGTTGGGGAGCTATTTCAGCCATTTGGCTGCCCAACACAACTAAAATGGCGATCAATTAATATTCGTATTAATTAGTTAACTACCATGGTTCTAGTAACTTTATACCTTACGGTTTGGTACGCGTATAAGGTTGCAGCTACTTCGATTCTCATATTTAAAATTACTCAAAGTGCAATAAGATAGATTACATAATCCGAATAATTTCGATTTTTACTATTTCATTAGCTCTGCAGAGAGCACAAAGTATAGTAGGGCATTGCAAGCTGGTTTGCTTGTCTCTTACGCATTGTACTTGCCTACTAGTCTCTTTGGTTTATCAACTATTTTTATCTCAAAAACGTAAGCATTATTCCAAGAACTTGAATAGCCTGCGCTACTATTATGATTACTTTAAGAAATTATAGATATTAATAGCGATACTATAACATGAGAATGCAATTGTAGCGTAATGCCATTATATCTGCTACTCCTAATCAAATAATTTCTATTTGTATAAAATAGCTACTTGACTCGAATTGTACAATATAATTAACCGTTCTCTGATAAATCAGAGCATGTAAAATCATACACAGTAGACTACTTCGTAATGATTTTGACGGAAATGATTGCTTTATCAAATCTTGATTGGATATCGAACGGATCTACAATACTTTTGATGTTCTTATTATGGATTAATTTAAAGGCAAACTTTTTATCGGCAACCGCATCAGCTATTCCAGCGGCATGATGAAATAATGTTAGAAACTAGAAATACAAACACCTGATTGCTGCGGCATTAACGAATGTAACTATTTGAATATTTCTGAGAAACTAGAGTAGAATTCTTGTTAGATTAATTCTGACATCGACGAAACCTCATTTGCCTGTTTTGTCTACAAATTTGCGTTATTGCAATATTGCCAAATAAAAGAATCTGAGATAATATACTCTGACACACATAAAAGCATACGGAATACGCTATCAAAGTCATCAATCTTACTCAATTTATTGCAATATTTAGAAATAGTTAGCCGTCGTATTGGCATAAAGGAATAATTTACAACCATGTTTCAACCAATTTGCTAATCGCAAAGCTTTTACTATTTTAGTAATATATTTGTAATTATTAAGCGATGATTTGACATTCTGCAGTACTTTATAACTACTGTATTCTAGGTAAAGTTAGAATATAATTAGCCCTAAAAGTACTTTCAGCGAGATCTTTGTGAGTAGCATTTCGTCAACATTCTAGCTATCATCACTATTGCATTGTACCGTAAAAGATTTCAAGTTGTCGTATAATTCTCGATGCTACATTCATTCTTATGTCTAATCAATAAAGAGCATGCAAGTAATATTAAATCTGACATTTTTTAGTATATTTCTACTCAATTATTTCATTTTCATTTTATAACATCCGATGTCTATCACATCGTCGTTGATAATTATATATCATCAATTCCTTCCTTCAATGATACTATGTAGTAAAAATTTGTTTATTACACATAGTACATTAATAGAGTGCCTATTTGCAATAGAATGGACGCTGAATTACCATGGCAATGAAACTTATATCGACCATGCAATGCGTTCATTTTCTACATGTCAAAGAATTGAAAATTAGGAACTAAGTTTAATAAGTACGTCGTGGGCATGCAGTTTATTTCGATATAATCACTATCTTACCTATTCGGCTAATAAAATTGACAACTGGCTGATGTAAGCCAACTTTGGCCATTTTTTTAGGAGTATTCCCTTTACATGATTTAGTAAATAGGTCAGCACCTTTTGAATAGAGACTTTTTATACATTGCAAATGTCCATTGCGAGCTGCAAGATGTGCTGGAGTGCATTTATTAACATCGAGTTGATTGACCTTGCTGCCATTTTCTAATAAAAGTAGCAAACATTTGGTATGTCCATTGGAAGCAGCCTTATGAATCGGTGTTGAACCAGTATGATCAAGATGTGCAGGATTCTATAACATGCAGTATAATATTTTAGTCCTGATATATAAGGTGTCATACTGCTTCTAAATCGAATATACAATCTGTAAGAGCAATTTTCTCGTTCCACATAATATTTAAAGATAAAATATTGGCTATAATTTGTATGTTAGAAAGAAAGCGCGACACAGCTGTTTGATTATCGTTCTAGATATGGAAGTTAAAACGCTGAAAGAAATGACCTAACTTGAAATATCACTAAAAAAAATGCAATGGAAATTGAATTTTCTTGACAAATGCCCTAAAAACTGATCAATATTGACGAACCATGATTTCTAAAGCAGATTTATTGGAGATTCATTTCATCTGCAATGGAATCCACCAAAGAAATTGTATCGGTTCTAATAGAACTGACTACCGAAATATCTACGAAAATATATTTGTCAAAATGTATATCCTTAATCTTCTCGTCACTATTGCAATCATTTCTTTGATTATTACGGGAGGTCTGATCAATTCAAGCTAAAATCAAATTTTTCATGTCATGCTTGCACCATAATTAACAAGAAGTAAACCTTGCTTAGACTGAAGATAATGTGCAGATATTGATATACCATCTTGATGCATTCCACGAGTATTTGCCTCAATCGCGTTACTCAATAACTACAAACAGCAATTGCAAACAAAATTACTTTTACTTTCCATTTGGGTGCTTTGTTCATATCGTAAAGTTTTCAAATTTTATATAATATCTCAGTATCATCGGTGATGGAATTAATATCGTTAAAATTAATCAAAACCCAAATAGTTAATTATCAACTCATTTAACTATTTTATTTTATGATAAGATTGGGAGATTGAAGATTTTATAGGTAAATGCTTAGATTCTGATCGGCAGTCATGCAAATTTAATAATAATTCACTGCTTCAATTACGGTAGTTGGTTGTCTTCTAAAACTGATTCTCGTCAATTAAGCAATATAAGCCAAGGATGATTAAAAGAATACAGGGAAAGAGGATCTGTAATAGAAGACAGGAAATCCTATTAAAATTCTCTTTATAACTGCCCTGCAACGTGCTATAGTATAGTGAACGATCTTTAATATAGGTACTAAATAAGATACGAGTTTATGACTTTAAAAGTTGATCATAAACTACTGTAAAATTTCAATTTTCACTACAGAATTTATACGCTTTAACTACGTATCTGTATACCTGTAAGCAGCTTAATCCAAAAAATTACTAGAGAACATTACCAATGATAAGCAATCATAGCTGAACACCGCGGAATGCAACTCCTTTCCGTATATTTTTAATTTCAACTTTTATTCCAAATTAAAGTATTGGATTGAATTTATTTTTAAAATAGGCAGAATTCAAGACAGAGCAAGTTTAGTCATAAAGGGTATGATTTTAGTTACTAATGGTTTGAATTTTTACTACATTAGAAAATGGACAACATATCCTCATTAAAGTGCCAAGTACTAGGTAAAATTACTTTTGGTAAATTTAAAGGGAAGCTGGACAAGTTTATACCTGGAAACAATCTAGTTGCGACTCCACTATGATCAATCGATAATGGTACCACACTGATTATAATCTAAATATTTCACCTGCAGTATTAACTCGTCGAAGTAAGAAAGAAATGATTCATTCCTTTTCCAACAAATTAAAGAAATCAAAGAAAAATATTATGAAAAAGGTGAAAATGTTATGATTAACTTTAAGTAATTAGTACTCATATTTTATATGTTAAGGGTCGCTATCTTAATTAAAGCTTGAAATGGACTAACAATCGAATAGGAATGACTAAACGATATATTATATATATTATGAATCGCATGATTCTATCACCCATTCCAAAAAAAGGAAATAAACAGCGAACAAGCGGGTGTGGTAATTAGTGTAATAATAAAATCTGATTCAATGCTAACTAACCTGTCCTTCTTCTAAGGCTTTCCTTAAAGCCTTGTAATCGCCAGCAAATGCTAAGGAAAAAATCGAAGAAAACTAAATTATAATAAAAATATCAACCGATTTCTTGATCCAAAAAACATGTTATCTAGGATAAAGATTATTTTTAATGCTGCTACTTATTAAAATTTAATATCGCCAGTAGAAAAAATAAAACTAGATCACAATTGAAAACATAATAAACTGACATGATACCACATCATAGTCTGATGAAAATCTACAGTGATCATTCGAGTTTTAAGAGTTTTATGGACTAAAAATAAATGAATACAATCAGACGAACAGTTACCGATTAAGCTATCGCCAATTTCCTAGTAAATATCGATTATACATGATTAAAAAGTTATTTAAGAAGATCATCTGATTATTCTCGTCTTAACTACCAACTCTTGAGATGTAATCGGTTAATTCAACTTTTAAGATCATTTGTCGGTTTCAGTTAAATTTTAGTTATTCAAATTACCTATTCCCTAGAAAGTAAAGATAGGACTAACTTACCAGCTTCGTGGATGTTTAGTTGGCGAATCATGACGTGAAAGTCAACTTCTACAGCCAAAAAAAGGCAGCTAATAGCCCGGACAAGGTTAATTTCGACTTTTAATTACTAAATCAATAGCCTATCTTCGTTGAGAAAGTGACAGCCTATCCAAGAATTATCAAAACGTTCTTAGAGACAGGCATGAGCGTATTAATCGGCTTGGAGAAGATCAAAGGTATTCCTCAGTCGCTACTATAAAATCTATGCTTTTTGTCTGATAATGTCCTGTATATGCTTTATTACTAATAAATTTTAGAACAGTAAAACCTACTAATTCCTTACGCTGGCTACTAACAAGTACTAATTTTTAGTTCCGTTAATTACTTTCTTCTTCACTCACTAAATAAATAGCAATAATTGTAAGGTCATGTTAACTTTAAGGATAGTTCAAATAAATTATTCCTTACCTTGAATATTTCTCTTGTAATAAGTTGCAGCCATTGACTATAACTTAGATTATGATTATTAGCAGATTCAACTATATTACTTAATATTTAGAACGAGAAGTTATTATTTTCATTCTGTTAATATCATATAGGGAAACGAATAAATATAATTATCTATTAAAAGGAGTAGTTACTAATAGAAAGATGATGATTATTGTTACTATAGCAACTTCGCTAATTTTCTCATTGAATTTTGTCCGTTTAATAAATATCAGCCCTCACCCTCATTCTATTAATAAAAATTGTCTTAAAAAATAATACTCTAATCTCGGTCGATAATATTATAGACCAGTAGAATTTCACGTTGTCATCCTAAAGTGTTATTTAAAGTTCATCTATGACGAATAAATTGATTGATTGTCATGGATAAAAAATTAAATATAGATTTGACTGTCATCATCCATTGAATGAACCATCTAATTTATATCCGCCTCTATTCGAAGGATAATAACAATCAACGCTATTATTCTTGATTTCTCTACTATATCCACAATTGCACATATTCAAATAGAATGATGAATTTACTGCAAAATTTATAGAATACATGCAAAAAATCTAATTTCAGTGTATGTACAATTGTGAAAAGTAAGACAAAAACATACAGAATATATAGATAAGTTTCAGTGCAACATTAATGCAGCCTAAATTAAAATTAGATACACCAATTAAGTAATAGAAATTTTGACGGTCTTTACATTATTTATCATTTATGTGCTTAGGCTGAACATTGAAGGGTCTAATTATTGTTATACAAATAAAAATTTTAGGTTTTCAACACTAGAATTATATGAAATGAGATTGACATAATAGAGAACAAATGTTTTTCGTATTATACGTCGGATATATTGTTTCACTATATAAAAAATGATTCCATCTAGCAATAAGAATGGCAATTACTATTGAATATAATTTTCGATCTGGTTCCAAGAGTCGCAGTATAATTCGGGATAGAATCAAAGTAAAGTCACTTTTAGTTAGTTTGACGCTATATGTTTCTAAGCATGTTTGTGTATGATTGGATAACCTTCGTTAAGTGCTTATACTTCTTAAAAATAATTCATTCAAGCTCGACATAACTTTCATCTATTATCATATATCACGCTCCTTATTGACGACTTCCAAGCAAGTATAGTAACTGCTATCGTATAAGACATATTAATTGGACATTACTACATCTTATAATAATTCTATCGGTTTGCAAGTTAGCAAGTGATACTAAATTGAGCTTGACAGGATATATCAAGCTAAACTTTAAAGATTCTATTCACTCATTAACTTCCGATGTAACAAAACAAGATAGATTTGGCCCTTTTATGTGAATTTAGCACTAGTATGCAGCCTCAGCAATATTTATAGACGTCCTAAATACGTATTTATTAAAATAATGATTTATCTCATTATTTATATTCGTACACCGAAGGATATGTATTGTCCATGTGGTAAAATGACGGCTAAATTTCGCCATGCAAGTACAAAATACTGTAATTACCTTATTATTTAGTTATGATTACTATATATTGCATTTATTTTATTATCTATTTCTAAATCATGCATTTAGTTAATGAATTTGTATATAATAATATGTTCGCAGTCTACAGTATTTCCAGTGGTACGTCTTTTAGCACATGCGCATAACCTTCCATAACAGTGAGAATCTGCGGTTTAAGATTAAGTACTCAAGATTATCCAAAATCAAATGCTCTTAATCCTAAATGTCCTCGTTAAAAGCTATTTGTGATAGTTTCTGAATTTAAACGTTTAATATTTTGTACTATGGACTAGTTACATTCACAGTAAATTGAGAGCAATTGAAATACAAGCATGTTCACAAACACATTTGCATTATAGCAACCTTTTATTTTATAATTACCTTTTTTCTTAAAATAGTAAAATATCCATGGTAATTTAAACCAAAATGTATTACTAACCAAGACTGGATCTGGAAAGTATATGCAGGCTAAAGAAGACACAGTAGAATAATATCAAATATATTCGGAATTATTCTCCAATTTACATCCTATTTACTGCAATTCATCTACATACTTATCTAACAGAAGCAAAGTCAATAAAAAAATTCGTCTATCTTGAGTCATCAAAGACTTTTTAACTGCACTAGTGATAACGTAATTTTAAGTCAATATATCAATCTGTAAGTTGCAACAGAAAAATAATCCATCAATTCAAGATAATAAAAGGCTACAATTTCAAGGTTGATATACTCTCATCTTATCTGTGTATTGATTTTCTACATAATATGTGAGTATTTTAAGTTCTATCGAACTCAGTTATGATAAATTATATCTACTTATAGCTGAAACTTAATTTTTAGTCTATGTGTATAGATTACAATCTAATGTACATTATGTAAGGCAATAGCCCAAGCCCATTCTGTACTTAATCTATCTGCACTAACACTACTAAGATCTAACAAAACTCCAGAATTGGATCCCGAATTGGCTTTAAATGGAACATTTCCCTCAAAGCCCAACAATTTTACTGAAGTTTTTGGCGTTACTTTAGGATCTGTCAAGGCCAACTTATTACTAGCAGGCCAACTATAAAAGAAAGCATAGACAGTTCCTTGTCGTTCAGTGTACCTATACGAAATTAAAAATTAATACAATGAAAGTTTTAATATGGTTGTACTCAATATTAAATTATGTATCAAACAACTAACCAAACGTCATTTGTAATGGTATCATTTTGGACTCTCCAGGGTATGGAATTATATATTCCTTCACCATTCACCTTTAGCCAGCTACCAAGTTGTGTCAACCTCTCCTGAAATATTGGAAGTATTCTACCATCTGACGTTGGCCCAATATTAATGAGAATATTGCCGCCACAACTAAACGTATAAAAGTAATTTAGTATTCATAATCCTAGTATAACACCATCATAACAGAAAGGTATCAGTCAAAATTACATATTTATAACGTTGGCAATACCGCAAATGTTAGTGAACAAGCACATCTATCAGCAGATAGATTATGTAGTATGCTTTGCAACAATAATACATAACAGTCGTAATCTTATCAATGAAGCGCATTTATGGCTTCTACAGCGAGTGACCGCCTCAACTTTACGAAATTGTTTAAAATTTTTACATTTTAAAAAAGTTTATGATAATTCAATAATTTAGATTTATTCAGATTATACCAAAATAAAATTTATTGCAAACCTGACTGTTCTAATAAGCACTTTCGTTAATTCTTCCATGGAAAGATAATTTTTTAATCCTGAGGATCGATCAAAACCCCATGAAGTAAGATCTAAAGACATAGCATTCTCCCACTTATGTTTCTGTAAGACTCCTGGATCAAATCGATCTTGACAAGTATAATAACCACCATGATGACAAATGCTCCCTCTTCCCCATCTGTCATTAGTAATTATGGTTTCCTTGACAGGACTTTACGAAAAATAAAGTGTAGAAATTTAGAAAAGGCATTATGGCCTGCTTAATAAGTAATAAATCTGCTATACACTAATTTCCTATAATATAAAGTTGCTGTTCTACTAGATGACTAACACATCATTATCATGAAGTTCTTTAATAAATAAATCATTGGCGTTGAATACTGCGATTAGCAGTATACGCGTAAGTAACAATTGCTAAGTTCACCTATCATTGTATAGCCACGCTAAAAATTCTTGGCTTTGCCAATATGTATCGGGTGCTTCCCAATCACCATCAGACCATAAAAGATCAGGCTTGTACTGATTAATCACATAGTGCAACTCTGGCATTAATGTCTCCTTAAAATATATAATATATCACACATATAGTATCCAAATGAGAAGTTTTACAAACTGTATGGCTTCTTTCTACGCGTATTACCATGTATTACCATGAATAGTAATACTACTGGAGTATGAGATTTACCGTGATAAACTTTTTCGTTTTGAAACTATTCTTTTTGTCGAAAAGATACAAGGGATTAAACCATTCATACAATGAATGATATAAACCAAGGGTGACATTGGTTCGTTTGCGTACGGCGTTAGAAATTTCAGCTGTATAAAAAAGTTACCAAAAGTCTAGTTAAAGAATATCTATGTTTTATTTTAATTTTAATATTCTATCCTTTTAAGCGGTTATTTCGTATTACTATATTTATGTCGATATTATTCTTATTGATAATATTTCAAGCAGAACTGAGTAATAGCAGTATCTTGGTGTTAACTCTACGATAGTATAATTCTTTGCTTTAAATTTGCACCGTGTGAGAGTAATACTGAAGTCGTGCTCATATCGAGAGCTAACACACAACGCGTAAATAACTCCCATGCAACACAGAATATTCCATGTAGCACCTTTACGTAAGCAAAAAAAGAGCTTGCAAAGCAACAATTGATGGTCATGCTGTACTTAAGGTTAAAGTTTAATTTTTTAAAGGTACTATGTTGAAGAGTAGTATAAGGATAGTAATCCATTCTACTGTTTCGCTGGAAGATGACTATTGCCTTAGTACTGTAAGTATGCTCCGTAAGTAAATAGAGCTGGTTCTCATTTGACGGGGCTCATAAGATTGATCCTATTTTCGTCTCCTGATTTCTTCATTTATCCACTAGGGATCTATTCTTTTTAACGTTATCCTATGTGCGTATAATACTGTAGGACTAGCGATTAGAGTTCGCCAGCTTCGAGATAATGTTACGGGGACTACTGTACTGGATAGAAACTTGAGAGCAGTCCTTGCGTGTCAACATGTCCCCAATAGAACTATTCTACTGGTAAGTTTATTTTGCTAAGTGGATCTATCGTGATGACTCTTGTTCAATCTAGAATACAAGTGAGGCAATACTTACGACTTTAAAAGTCAGCACCTTTTATATAAGTTTAACTTGCCTGTTAAGTCGCGATGTGGCCCATTATCGACCGAATTCCAATTCCAAGAAACATGGCTCTTATAATTAGTCCAACCTTCATGGTGTTTGGTTGTAAATACCACATACCTATTATCAAAGAAGCCAATTTTAGCGATCAACAGTGAACATTATGCAACTTCTTAGTTCTCTTCATGAAGTGGATATTCCTCATGAGAGATGAGCTTGTAACTACTTGTTTCTTCTACCATGACATGACGAATCAAGTCGAGTATAATCGACTTGCTCCGATATGACTACTGTAAGTAGTCATCTTACTTCACTTTATTCATCACTACGGCAACAAATACAATTTCATTTCTATTATCATCATCATCTAGTATCAGTCATAGACCATTATCAAGTTGTTCGATCTTACTTTGCACCCGAATTTTCAATTAAATGGGCCCATGCATCAGCATCGAAAAATTCAGCGGTGAATGATGGTGCAAATTCTGGATAAGAAAATCCAGATGGATAATTTTGTTGCATAAATTGGTTATCTTTACTGCTATTTAGTCCTTTCCAATGCCACCAAAACCATTCACTATCGAAGCTTGGAACAGAGAAAACGCCCCAATGGACGAAGATACCCACCTTGGCTTTATCGTACCATGACGGCAATGGACGAGCATCTAATGATTTCCAGTTAGGTTGATATTTCTTTCCACTCGTATAAAAGTGAAACCACCCGAAGCCATGATTGTTGCTCTCTACCTCGGTCTGATGGATAATTCTCAGCATGATAATCATCAAGACAACGATCATCAATAGGCAATATCGTCGTTTGCCCAGATAGGCAGTATTTGACCAAGGAAAGAGTCGATTTGCATGATGCTCGTATGATTTAGTCATGGCAAGCCAGGAAATGAAAATTTCTCCCTTTAGCAAAGTCCAACTTTTCCTGTCTGTTTATATCACTAGGATAGAATCGACGACCCTGACAGCACCAAGACAATGTTCTCCAAGCACAATTTTACTATAATAGCGATGACAATTGCCAGTGTTATTGTTGGCAGTCCCAAGGCAGGATCCCCCCGACTAAGGTCTCTACTGTATGTACTGTACACTGTACACTGTAGTATGGACTTCTGTATAGAATGAGTGAGTGGATAGTACTGTACAGTACGTCAACAAGATGTTATTGATATTTAGACCACTAGCAACGCATGATTTGTATAAGAAATTTCCAACCAATCCTACAATAACTGCAGTAGAAATGAATCAAGACATCGACAGTAGTGTTAAGGTCATCAAGAGCCCATTGATCAAGGTTGTTATCATCTTTTTATGTGAAATTTGAGCTAAAAGGAATGAAAATGCCTTGAACATTGAAAGATCGAAGTACAGTAAGGCATGCTTTAATCTTCAATCGTGGGTTACTCAATATTACACTACGTTACTGTACTGTAGTCCATGATTGTACCAGGGACTACAGTAATGTCGTGAAGAGAGAAGACATAATCACTGTTAGATCGACTGAATTACTATGCTTATGGTGAATATCGCACATGATTTGCATTAAAGTCCCTTCCATAGAGACTCTAATTTGCATATTATTCTTTTTTGTAGGGAATTTTATTTATTTTCTATTTCGATCGATTTGATGTCTTCTCTCTGCAGTACAGTGTACAGTGTACAATACAAAGTTAGTGCAGCTACTGTACACTGTACACTAATAAATCAGTACTGGATGGATGGGTCTGATGGACAGACTTTCAATACCAACCTTCGACAGGTGTAACTGTACTGTACTTAGTATGGATGTTCAGCAGTCTGTCTTGCGCAATCACGTTTCGACTCATTCAAGGGCTTGAATCAAGCCCATGGCGAATCATGGCGTTGTAGAATTGCTCCCTAGTTGAACTTGGTAAAATAGAATCGAGATCAACGGAATGGTACTGAATTTAGAAAAATAAGCAAATTACACTATCGATCATCCACATCATAATATTATAACCAATAGAAAAAGCTTAACTATATAGTACAGTCATAGGCCACTAGAAATATACCTAGATATTCTTCCGCTGGTCCATGTACTGTACAGTAAGTACGACATACTTATTCATGGAAATAGGGCAGATTATTTGTCGTAAAGGTCTGTGAACATGCTGTTTCACTCCCAAGTTGATTTTGCTCTGGGCACTAACCGTCTTCCTACGTGAATACGCTCTTTTAGATACATAAATAGTAGGCCATCGACTCATCAACAGTGCACAAAAGTATCTACCTTTTTAACTAGACCTGAATGGAAAAATTGCAAAACTTGATAACAACATGGGGAGTATGGCGAGTTCAGCGATGGATATACGTACAGTATACAGACAGCTGAACGTCGCAGAATATGGCCGTTTCCGATATTACAATTTTCCAGAACATGATTTTACTGTATACAAAATTTGAAAAATAAAGTCTGGACACATTTTTAATACAGAACTAACTAAGATGTGTCCAGACTTGCCGTGACGTATTGTACTACAGAATTACCTTCATTAAGTTAATGTCTGTCATCGAATGACAAATTTACCTACTGTACAAAGTAAAATATGTGCTCAACAGTGGGGTAAATTAACCCCGCATATATTATACACGTATACATTGACTCAACTACTATATAATGCAATTGTGTATATCTAAAAGAAGGTAAGGCATCAAGTTTTTCTTTTTAGAGAGAAATTGCTGATTTGCCGCTGTATAATTTCATATTTACCAATATGCCATTGCAAATTTCAGTATAAATTATATTATATATGCAGATTACATAATGATGTAATCTGTGATAGGATAGCAGTACAGTGGCATAAATTTTTTTTTTTGGGGGGGGGGGGGGAATTATTCAACCTAACACGCTAGAAAAAATCAGATTATCACGTTGTAATGATCCTAAAGAGTCCAAGGACATTGTACTGCATGATGACTGCATTCATGATGCATCATCATTCATGAAGTTAATGAGAATTTAGTAGAATAGAAAAGAGTTGGTTGGTCGAACAATTCAATTCGTAGTATAGCACAACTTAGAATACTGCAGCAATTTTCCACTATACACCTACGACAATGGATTGTAGTGGATGGCGAAAATTCTAATCAAGAAATTCATTGATAAACACTCGTACAATCTAGTCTATGATCGCTACCTTACCATTTACTCAAACCAACTACTGTACAGCATCGGCAATATGGAGAAGCTTATACAGTGCGAACGAGTATACTGTCTTGCCATGGACAACAAGATATATTTAGATGTATCTCATCGTTGATGCCATTACAAATAAAGTACTGTATTTTCAGCATACTAAATTGTACAGTAGCCAGGAGTAGGGGGAAAACAAATAGACTTGCACAGGTGTAACATGTTTTAACGATCCAAAAGTAAAAAGTACATCCAGATTGTAGAACAAGTGTGGCTTCTACAAGCAATGATAACTTACAGTAGTACCAGACATATCTCATAGTTTATGCCATTGCAAGCAAAAGTACTACCAGACGCATCTCGTAGTGTATGCCATTGCAAATAAAGTATTACCAGACGTATCTCGTAGTGTATGCCATTGCAAATAAAGTACTGTATTTTCAGCATACTAAATTGTACAGTAGCCAGGAGTAGGGGAAAAACAAATAGACTTGCACAGGTCAATATGTTTTAACGATCCAAAAGTAAAAAGTACATCCAGATTGTAGAACAAGTGTGGCTTCTACAAGCAATGATAACTTACAGTAGTACCAGACATATCTCGTAGTTTATGTCATAGCAAACAAAATACTACCAGACGGATCTCGTAGTTTATGTCATTGCAAACAAAGTAGTGTATTTTCAACATACTAACTTCTGTTTTAAACGATCCAAAAGTAAAAAGGACATCCAGATTGTAGAACAAGTGTGGGTTCTACAAGCAATGATAACTTAAAGTAGCACCAGACATATCTCGTAGTTTATGTCATAGCAAACAAAATACTACCAGACGGATCTCGTAGTTTATGTCATTGCAAACAAAGTAGTGTATTTTCAACATACGAACTTGTACTAAATTGTACAGGAGTAGGGGAAAAACAAATTGACTTGCACAAGTCAACATGTTTTAAACGATCCAAAAGTAAAAAGTACATCCAGATTGTAAAACAAGTGGTGGGTTCTACAAGCAATTACAACTTCAAGTAGCACCAGACATATCTCGTAGTTTATGTCATAGCAAACAAAGTACTACTAGACGTATCGCGTAGTGTATGCCATTGCAAATAAAGTAGCGTATTTTCGGCATACTAAATTGTACAGTAGCCAGGAGTAGGGAACAAACAAATAGACTTGCACAAATCAACATGTTTTAACGATCCAAAAATAAAAAGTATATCCAGATTAGTAGAAAGTACAACAAGCGTGGGTTGTACAAGAAATTATAATTTAGTACCAGCAGTAAAGCGACGACCGACGGGTGTTTCAGCTAGTACAGTACTGCAATAGAAATAACTACCAACTCATACCAGAGTACAGTAAGGTAGTAGACAGTAGGCATATCCCAAAGGAATACTCAATCGTAGGCAGACACAACGCTTGGCAAAAGACAAAATTGATCTAAAAGCTTGAAAATTGTTTCGCTAATCCGCTCTACTACAAGTTGGTCTTCCAAGTTAAAGCCAGGGCAAGCATTTTTCTAACCCTAGTTGAAGACTTGGTCGTTACTTCTTGATTTTCACCGCTGACGATGCTATAGACTGGTTGGCCAATTGGATTGGAATACTAAATTAGCAAAATGGACAGGTACATACTGTAATCCATGGATTCCCTTCCAAAATATCAATGAATGTTTGTTCACATTAACTTGACAACTGCTTGTCCAAGTACTAGCATGCATACAGTTCAAGTAGAATGTTGAACTTGATCGTATGGGTCTAAAAATTGTCAATTCAAAAAAAAAAAAGCAATAGCATAACCAAGTTCTCCCTTTCTCTACATCAGTACATCGGAGAATCGAATCATTGACCGTTTAGCTATGAATGGCTAGCCTTCTGGTGGAAGTAGACAACAGTTCTAATTATAGACTAGCTTTGAACTTGATGCCCTCTAGTGATACTGGACGTACGCCATTTTCCTTATATTGAAAATGCCATCTACTGTACTGTAGTAAGCGGCAATTATGAACTTGGTCGTCGTAAATTGCTTCTAAAAATCACCATGTCATGCCAACATACGTAATCTTGAATCATGAGAACTACATGCTTATTTAAACCAAACTTCTCGTCAGAAATTTCTTAAAAGCAATATTGATACGCCAGTTTTAAGCAACAAAGTGTATATTGTCGCTGACTGCCGCATACTTTGGGGCTGTTGTCAGCTTGCAGAGCAAACTTTTTGTCCTATCATAAGATTCGGCTATCTGATATCGAATCATGATGGCCATGTTGTAATAGACAACCATGATATAAAACACTGTAGTGCTGTCTTAGTGTTACTGCACTCGTTCAAACATCGTTGAAATGCTTACCTACGCTAAGAGACTATAGCACATCTAATCAACTTTTTAATGCATCATGTAATTGATAAGTTAGTTGTGTATTATCGACGTAGAACTTTCCTACTGCAGATAGACCATACAAGCCATGCAATGCAGAATATCAAACACCCAAATGGCTATAAAAAGTAGATTGTTTTTCTTTTCCAATCTTATAGCAACTCAAGTTTAATAAACTATACATGTCGTCCATTTCTCAACGAAGGACCAGCGATTTGGTCTCAATATCCAGCTGCGGTAAGGAAAACTGCTTCAATTGTAAAAATACCTAGACTTTGATTCATGCTAATCAAGATATTGGATTAAGCAAAGGACATATTCCATTCTAGTGGTAAAAATTACAGTATCGTTGTACAGTACAGTACAAAATGTGTGATTTACACTTTATTGCAAGATGCTATTTTATCAACAGTAGAACAGTAATGGGCATTTCTTAACGCTGTGCTATGTAGTCATATACAATGAAAAAAATACTTGAAGCAAGTGATCTCATTATTTCACCAAGTTATAAGGTGTAAAACTGTTCAGTAGAACATAACATTCAATCAAGTTTTACTCATTTTTCATTAAATCAGTCATTATTACAGACGTCCACGCTTTCATATGATGTAATGTTGGTAATTCATTCACGCTGTAGTTAGGTTTCATACCTTTATTTCCAGGTTGCTATCATAGCTATCCTATCGCTAATGCAAAGGAGAAAATATATGCACAAGTATTGCAATGGTTATCCAGGATGGATATTGTATGTGGATAATTTGCTATATTTTAACTATTACGTCGATCGTATACCGTTGCTTATATAATGCTTCAATGTAAACGATATTAAATGATTTTTCTTTAAAGTATGACAATTTTGATAACTATTATACTGTATGCATAAATTTAATCCATAGCCCAGTCAACTTGTTAGAAGTTGGCGAAAACCGCTTTGGTTATGCAATGGCCTTTGGAGCATCGACTACCGCTGTGTTAGCTCTGTTTACTAATCAAACCTTCGACAGAAATTACTGGGTTTCAGGTAAAATAATGGCGATTAAAAAACAACAACGCCAATTCAAGCTTTGATTGCAACATTGAGAGTCAATTCCATACAAAATAACTGTTCATAATGTCGACAAGGAAAGGTTAATTTATTTTTAACTTCCATTCCATTGCTAGTACTACTCGGTATCTTTATCGTCTTCCGAGTGTCCGTTGTTTACTATCCACTGTTCGCTTGCCTGTCGTCCAAATTTCGACTTTTAGGAGCGGTTCTAGGTTTCCTTCATTCGGCGGACATGTAAGTTATCACCGTATTTTCTACCTTTTGAGTTCATCCATGTTAAGTCCTATGAACTGCTAATAAACCTTTGTCCTCATACGGTCTCTTTAACCTATAGAGCGGCTATCCATCTCCTAGGTGTTATTTACTGCCCTTCATTTCAGGTAATTGGTGAATCTAAGGATATATTTGCACTACAACTTTATATTCTTGATATTCTGTGCTATACCTTCTTACCCTGGTGTCGATATATCGAGTTTGCTGTTATAACTATACATAATAATATTCTTTATTTAATTTCTTCCTTTCCTGCGTTACTCTGTATCGTATGTACATCAACAGTCTTTGGGACCTTATTCCAACGTTGTATTAAATATTCCAATATTTATATGCTTGGCGTGGTTGGAGTGTCATTTTGGATATTTGATCATTCTTGCAATCTATAATCACGTCAAAGGAATTACGCAGAAAGAAGTAAGTTATATTTGCTAAGATATCGATAGCAACATTCTCATACGCTATTAGTGAAGTGCTACACTGTAGCTGCTTAGATATGACGTTTAATAGCGATAATCTATTACAGTTAACATGATATATATATATATATTGTTAAAATTCTCTTATTTAAAATTGGTTTGTCTAATTTTACAGAAACTCCGTCCTTTCGTTCATTTACAAAACTATCAATTCATTCACGTGAAGCTTCTTTTGAAAGCCGCTGAAGAATCCGATTTGTACGTGTGCCATAAGTTGTTATGGCAGACCTGCAGCATTAATATACTTGCACGCAAATACAATTATACAATGTTTCATAATTGTTGAATTTATAACCTAGGTACAGCTTACGCTAAAGTATACGATAATATTAATAGATTGTAATCATTTATTACACATAGCGAAACGGAAGAAGAAAAAAAGCCTAATTCCGTAAGGGCTTTCCTTACCAAGTACTTATATAAACCTAAGCCGCGTAAGTCAAATGAAAGTCAATTGGCATATTATTGGTGTAGTTATTGTTATGAAGTCTTTCAATCACACGATGTCAATCAAATATGCTGCTTTAATTATTGCTAATAGACTTTAAATACCCACCGAGGATTTTGTGTACCTTCGTCGTTGCAGCTATTGCCTTATATGAGGTTCAACATTGTCATTAAAATTAATAAACAGAAGCTACATGAGTTAAATTATTCCTATGACTGCGCCTCATTGGAAATGTTAACCATATTATGACTACTGTCAATTAGATTACAGTGATGTACTATTACCTTGCTTCGAACATTTTCAATCCTTTCGAAAACTGGGTAATGCAATATTCAGAATACCTAACTATTGTGCTAAATGCGTCAAAGAAGGATAACTTACAATTTGTTTACAACTGCAGGGGTGAGAAACTTTAAGACTGTAATTAAAAAATATCTTCTGATGAAGGATTTTAGTAATAAATTACCCTTAACTTAATATACGTGTATTTATCAAATTAACTTTTAGATACCTGGATAGTCGTAACTGTTATTGCCAGCAGTTTAAACGCGTTATACCTATCCCATATGCTCATCCTCTATCGGTACATTGTAGATACTATTTCTTAATTTGCTTGTAAATATTAAGAAAAATTGCAATAGTGTTTCGATTTTAACCTTTATTATAAGCATGTTACTTTATTTGGTAAATCGATGAACTAAATTTCTTATTCACTATTTGGTTAGTATTAACAAATTCAAACTGTACCGTGGTGAAAAATCTGAACTTCCTATTGATAAATATACCTCATTTGGCTCCGTTATAGTAAGACATGACTGAAATATTCATACTCTATACTCTAATTGTCGTCATGAGATTGACACATAATACTAATCCTAACAGAAAAAGTGTTAATTCTTGGTACTAAGTGATAACTTTACCTTTTAAATATAGCAATCAAGTATCTGCTACGCTGGATATCAGATCTCATATATGCTATGGGGTATCTATGAAATTTGAAGATAAATTTTCGTTATAAAAATTCTAGCCAAGTCCTTGCCGATTTAATAATATAATCATTCTGTTTGTTTTTTATAAAATAATAGCCTTCGTCGCTATTCATTTCATATTGTGTCTGGGCATCTTATTCGTAATATACTGCATCATTTATCCATTAGAAGGAGTTGGTAGTACCTGGTTTTTAGACTTTGTCATGTAAGATACAGTATTTTTGTTCTCACTTTATCTAATAATGACATCAGTACTAATGCATTATTACTACTCAATGACAGACCCATCGCGACGTGCACTATTTTAATAAATATCTGGCAGTTTTTGGTTAGTAAGTACTTTTTTTGTCAAGAGCATGGGAATATTAATGCTTTAGACAACAGGTATATCTTTTTTATCCTAAGGTGATTGATACACAATCTTATGAAACTTACGACAACTTTATTATAATTTGTAGGCGATTGTATCACAATTTTGACTACTTCATCTTCTTCTATAATGTCATGTGTGGTTTTTTCTCGTGCTTATTTCGTATTGGTAAGTCAATCATACTTGGGCTATTACTGCTATCAAGAATGGATTGCAGTTTACTGATGAGTCCTTTCGAAATGTTTGATTCAGGTAATTATAGTCTCAAGTAACCTTAGTTTATGTAAAAAATTCATAAAACTAACATGACTGTAACACAAATCATAAATAGCGATATTCCGTAAAGTAGATTGATCTACACTTATTTTGCGTGTATTTCATAGCAAGATCTGTAGTGTTTGCAAAATGTACTGATGGTAGAAATTCCAAATTATGAGCTTTATTGCTGTTTCGCAGCTTAGTTGAAAACAATTACCGAATCTTAATTATCATCTGTGCCTGATTGCAAATATCTAGGATTTGATGGTTACTTGGGATTCTTGTATGTAGAACACATACATTGTCATCCAGTACTGGTAACCTTTTGTGAGATTTTGCTTAATAAGGATTTTATAAAATCAAGTCATGATATGAAAGTCGCTTATTATGGTACGAAATAGCCGATTTTATTGTTATTGAAAATACTAAAATTTATGACCACATGTAAATCGGTAGGTTTACTGCTGTGCACGTTTATGTAACCAGTTATTATTATAACATTATAAATAGGGGGATCGGATGACGAAAAATGGGGTAATCCTAGAGAATCAGAATTCAAAATACGAAATATACAAGCTTACAACCGCTGGCGAGTGGCTGTCCTTCTCATTCGGAACAAAACGTTACGTAAACTACGTAAAGGGTATCTGGAAGAATTGAGAGAAATAGAAAAGCTAGAAGAAGAACATCATGAGGATCAGGCTGCTATAAGAAGAAGAAAATTATCAGTTAATTCACTATTAGATAATGTCCGTCGAAGTAATTATGACATTGCCAATAGTGTCCCAGCCGAAGCTAATATCTCGAATGATGTTATTCATAATACTATGGAAGGGTCTAACGAATCATTGGCTACCGCTAAAGAAAGCAGTCGGCAAAACAGCCAAATAATCTCAAATGTTAAAACAGCAGTAGCACCACTTTCACCAACTGGTAGTAGTCATGGACAAAGTAACGATGAAATAGAGACAGTGCGACAAAATATAGTCTTAGAGGTCGTAGATAAAAAAGCTCAATTTTCATCCTTAAGTAATAGCATGGGTGAATTATCAGGTGGAGTCAAAACTAATACCGATTCCCCAAAAGATGAAAACGCTGCACGAAGACGGCCTCCGTATCCTGGTGTAAAATCTCGACATGCTTCAAATAGTACTGGTAACATTGCAAGAGATCATGAGGGCAAGGAGGCACGTGAATATTTGTTGTAAAAGGCATACTTCAAATTAAAAATGCAACAGCAGCTAAATAATTTAATCTCAACTAATTGGTGGAGATAGTACCATGGTTTCCACAAACATTTTTTCATATACTATTTGCTTCACCAAGTAGCCATAAAGGCATTTCTTAGCTCATATCACAGAATTGAAATGATTTCATACTTATTACCGATCTAATGGAATTTATTAAGATATGATCATGACTAAGCTGTAATCTAGGTTTTTTCATATCTATCCCAATGCTTAAAATTAAGATCATAAATGCGCTCTTTTCCGTTAAAATTTTAACTTAAGTATTTTTCTGTATCTTTAAAAATTAAGAAAACAACGGTTGTTTCCTTCCTAAACGCAGATTCTTATAGGAAATTATTTAAAACCAAATACCTCAAGATGTAACCAAACACTATTAAAAAATAGAGGACAGTTCAAGTACTAGTCTTTAATGAAGTAAATGAGATAGTAGCTATATACCTTCTCATAACTAGTCTTATGCAATTTAGCATAAACCAATACAATATAATTACAGCATTAATAACCTTCAATCAAATCAATATAGCATCATTATTATCCTATCAATATTCAATTGCGGTAGAAAATAACTTAAATTTGAATCCAAGACGTTCAACTACTAAAATCTCCAAACATGCTGCCATATTCATTTCAGCATAGCTCTGATTTAAGTTTAAAGCTAACCATTTGATAATGATTTAAGTTGTCCGGGTTATATAATTTTCATACTGTTATAACTTTTCAAGCTTAAATTTACCTTTACTTCATCATAAGTTTATATCTTTACGGCTGATGTCATTTTAATTGAGATTTTACCTTTTAAACATTGAAGTGGTTATTTGGTGTGTTACAGGTATGTCATAAATAATTCTAAAACGGTTATAATATTTATAATACTGCAGTGAAAAACTTTTTACATACGAGTAATATCTAAGCTTTGTTTATGTACGCCTATATCATGTATGATCTTCATTTTCGGCCGCAATTCACTCAGTTATATCTAGTACATATTAGAAGGCCTTAGTAGTACAGTTATTCATAATTTAAATTTTACTATGTTCTTGATCTTATAAAAGTAGCGAATGAATATTTCTAATTGATGGATTAAAATAAATAATACTTATCATAATTGCAACAATTGATTTTATTTCATAAATTTACCTTATCTATGGTTTCTTGCCGACACCCTAAATTACTCAGCAGTAACAATATTACTAGCTAGCCATATTTTTCAAACGAAGACGTCATTTCACAGCTTTAAATGATGTAATAGCGAGTTTCAAGGGTACAATGCTGCATTTCTTATATTATGCTACGGACTTTTCGAAAAATTTCAATCAATTTTCCAGAAGTCCCTGACTATGCTTTTACAAGGCTTCAATAGCATAAAATGATGTACAAAATAAAAATATCTACGGCTGACTAATAATGGTTACTGATGATATACTGTAGTGCGTAAGATCATGAATAGGGAATTTTAAGTTTAGGCAAGTTTACTTCAGACCAATACGGTAGCCCCGATCGATTATGTAATATTTTGGCATTGATAGCCTAGTGTCATGTATTCTTATATTATGCTAGAGTCTTTTCGGAAAATCTTAATTTTCCAAAAGTCCCTGACTATGCATTTATATGCTTCAAATAACGTAAGATGATATGCAGCAGAAAAATAAAATATTTTACGGCTAGTTAATAACGCTTACTGATGATATACTGTACGGTGTAAGGCCATGAATAAGGAATTTTAACGTTAAGACATGATCGCTTCAAATCAATACGATAGTCCGGTTCACTAGGGAATCTATGCGAGTAGTAGTAATGCTCACAATGAGAGCTGCATGCGTGATGGCAAATATTGAATAAGCATTCAAATGTTCAAGATAGCCTTCGAAATCTTTCTAATCTGAGGTATTGCAGTAAAACTCGCCAATAATATCGGAATTACTCGCATTTGTTAAAATTGGATACGTAATACTGCCTTGTTGCAGTCTGAGATCGAAACGATGGTTGAAGTTTATCATCATGTTTACAATAATGGTACAAATAGAGCTGCCTACAAGGCAATATAATAATAGTGACAGTAAATATATTATGTCCTAGAACTAAATATGCACTGTGCGTCTACATCACAGTAAGAGCTCTAGTACATACAGCTTTCATTAACCTTATTAAGGTTATACACTACGCTTTCATGCTACAAAAAAAATTGAGCTGATTCCATCGAATCAGACAAAAAATTAGGTATCATCCTGGATGCATGATGATGCTACCTTCCTAAAGAGACTCTACTTCAGTATTTTTAGTACTTAGTAATCAAGTTATGATTGCTGTAGTAGTGTATCGCTAATGCGATGTGTAGCTCTGCAGCTGCCACATTCCCAGTTTATTAATGTTAATTGTACTTTTAATATTAATTTTACTAAGTATAACAATTATTATATTATCAACTATACTTGTATAACATATTTATAATCATTAAACGCCAAAGCATTCGATAGTTTATAAATAGATCTAAAAAACATTCTCATATACACAAAGTAGTAGTAACGCGATAGCCCATAGCTCCATGCTGTTTCTTTATGAAATGCAGATACTGAGTAAGGTAAGTTAGCACTCTAGCTTTCCCTTATCTCTATGGTCTATATGTAAGACAAATAGTCTATATATAACAACTTGATAAGATTTACGGAAACTTTTGAAAAGATAATACCTTAGAAAGATCTATGCTGGCTGGAATAATAACATACTATCAAGTAGTATACGATCGATATATAAATCAATATTGACGAAAAAATACAGCCAGACTTGAGACAGTAGGGCCTTATTATATATGCGCAGACTAGCGATGAAAAGATGTAATGGGACAGTGAACAATGTCATCAATATGAATAGAAATAATTGAGCTATTTACTTAAGTAATTTTACTGCAGAAGCCTACAGGCATTTGATTATTAGCAAGGTTTGAACTATAGTTAGCCCACGCCTTGATTATCTATTCAATTTTTTTTTATAATAATAGAAAACGACCGCCTGAGGATCAAGATACGGAAATTAACATAATCGATTGGGCTGCAGTCGGTAGAAGCCATTGGGCATCGCTGCTGTACTACTGCCATAAGCCTGCTTGGCGATGTGTATTATTTATAAACTTCAAGTTACAAAAACTACAGTAATCGACTAATTAGTAGATGATATTTGATTCCAATCTTATTTCCTTATATTCTAGTAGCTAAATCTCATTTTATACTTAAGTTAACTATTGCCACAGCCTTTTCAAATTCGTATTCAACGTTTCAGGAAATCCAGTTTACGAAGAAACCCGCTTCGCCATGAATAGGTTTTCAGCGATCAATCTTTCCTTAAAACTTAAATCTAATCGAATCGAATCAATTAAGATTGCTAATATAGTCATTTCTTTTGGAAGATAATAGAATAGTCTGGTTAATATTATTAACTTTATGTGCTAAATCAGAGCACTTAATGACTGGCTGAGAATTGTATTGGTTACGGCCATGACATTTAATTACGTTATACCGCCATATAATGACGATATGTTTGAAAAGATATTAGAGCTAGAGCCGTAATCATTCACTATTTTATCATTCCATGTTACCCTACTAATCCTATGATTCAAGATGGACTAAGAAATTAACTCATAGCTCGATTAAAATAAGAGACGGCGATACTTCTGTGCTTTATTCACTCGTAATACTAGGAGGCAAATCGACCATCATTTGGAGTAGTTGCTGATTTAATTAGTTATAGCTTTATTTAGGATATGAAAGTTAGTGAATTTTCTTCACTAATAGAGCGTTTCATATTGTTTCTCTTGCAGTTCATCGAACTTCACGTGTAGCAATTATCTCAATGACACCGTGATAATATCAGCGCAAACTACAGTAGCGGTAAGTTGAAGTAGAATGTATAATAAATTAGAAATGTAATGATCTACTAAATTTAGACTACTACAGTTTTTCTCTTACTCTAAAGACTAATACTAGGAATTTTTACGAAAGATATATTTAAAATAAAAATGTAGCAATTACTTGAACGATTTATAAGGGATATTTTGAAGGCATAATTTTATCCACAGGCCTAGTACTACTATAGCATTTAAATGACAGATCAATCAAATAATTATATTGTAATGAATGGTTTAATACCTATATCAAAGTGTATAATCAGCTTGAAATAAATTCGGCACTATTTTTAAGTTCATTGATGATTAAATTCTAGTAAAGCAATTCTTATGAGCTGATTGATATTCTAAATTTTTGGCATCAACAATAATCTCAATAACCGTTTGATAGTGATGGTTATTAGCACTTTCTTCAGGGATCATATCTGATTATGCCCTCTGGATAAGCAACATCGTAATAGTTAATATATTTATAAATACTCTCTTGATATCAATTAAACATCTATTCTTAACGTCTAAAATATCAAATATCTCTCTGCATCCATGACCCTCTAAATGTACTAGTCTTAGAAACAGCAACGAAACAATTTTAATCTACTATTGTTATCAATATTTTTATCTTTAATATTTATCAATTAGATATTTTTAAATATTTAATATACTTGTACTCTATCTAAAAATTTAAATAAACTAGTGTGTTATAATACTTTCTGGCCCTTTATAATTTCGTTTACAGGCTTCAATCGTCCTTGTACTAACCTTGTTGCATAAGAGAAAATATATGAGAAAATATTGTCATGGTTATCCTGGTTTGATATAGTACGTTCATGATGATAATGTGGGAAAAATCCTTAACTTAAAATATGTCCGTTCCATGTTAATTTATCGTTCTGTAAAGTTTTTTAGCCTATATATGAGTTATAAGACTGATGAAAACTTTTCTACATTGAAGTCCAGTAAACTTACTGGAAGTAGGTAAAAATCGCTTCGGCTACGCGATGGCTTTCGGCGTATCCACAACAGCAATATTAACACTCTTCAGTAATCAAACATTTCATCCAAGTCGTTGGGTCTCAGGTATAACTCAGATTTAAATCAAATGCAGTAGCTTCTATTTCATGGTATTTAAATTATATAAGCTTGTTATTTACATAGATAGCACAACAGCAGACTACTGTACTATTAGCAATGATACCGAATTAATCGTCATAATCAAGGCATGATAATTCTAATGACAACATCTTTGGATGCCTTATAGTCTTAATTGGTATCTTTGTGGTCATCCGCGCTACCCTAATTTATTATCCACTTTTTGCCTGTTTAACGACGGATTTTCGATTGTTAGGATCCTTTCTGGGCTTCGCTTACAACACTCAAATGTAATGATAGCATATCATGTTATCTAGCTCCTTAAATAGTTTACATATCCGTCTATCAATATTCTTATTAAGGCTGATATTGATTTAAACAAATCAATTTACTAATTATCACTTTTCGATTGATATAATGCAGATTTACCTTCCATGTAATAGCTGTATACGAATGCCCATCATTTAAGGTAATCCCAAGCTAAAGCAGCAGATTATATATAATTCTCTATAGTGTATAATTCATTCCAACGTTACATTTCTCAGCGAATACTGTGATGATTACACCTTTTTTTTATAATTTTTAACGGCTGTAATTTGCATATATTCGTATAGTTTCTAGGAGATTACTCGAATATACTGTTCAATGTGCCAATTTTTATATGCTTGACATGGCTGCAATGTCGCTTTGGATATTTATTGGGTATTGAAATTTATGCCCGAAGTAAAAGAAAGCAAAGCAATTCGGTAGAAAGCCTGACTTATCTAATTAATTTCCTACTATTATAGTCAAAGCTAGGTTTAGAGTGCTAGTCTGATAAAGTTTAATTATTCAGATTTAGTAAACGTGAGCTCGTAATGAACAAATATTTTAAAATTATTCTTGCTTAATACTTCTTATAAGGAGCCCTATCCACCTATTTTACTACAAAAGTTTCAGTATAAGCATGTTAAACACTTGTTTAATAATCGAAAAAGGTAATTTTATAGCAGTGCTAATCATAATCATACCATTACTTCCATGTCGCCTAAATTCAATATTACTGCAGAGAAGACCTCGTTATATTGAAATAATTAAACTACATAATTGCCGCATGCGGCCTTCATGTATTTAATTTAGTAATAAGGAACCTGAACAAACACAGAAGCCTAACTCCGTAAAAACTTTTTGCAATAGATTCCTTTATAAATCAATTCCACGTAAGTTAATCCAGATGAAAAATTGATCTATACTGCTCTTTGTCTAGTTTACAATTGCTGCAGTTTAGAAATGAATAATATTACGGCAATCTATTATTATTTCTTCTGCATTTAGTATACTCAAGATGATAAATAGAGCTAGAAAATGTTTGTATTAATACATATAATATACTTTCAACTAATAATAGATTTCAAATATCCACCCAAGATAATCTGTACTTTCGTTGTTACTGCAATCGCTCTTTATGAGGTTGGATAGTTTTTCTAATCAGACGATGTATTACTTGCTGATAATACTGTCGTAATTTTTAGGCAAATAATTAAAACTAACATTTTGTAAATGATTCAGCTTACAATGGTTTATAGTTACATAACAACAAATATTTTTGGTTCCATGGAACTTTGGGTTCGAAGAAATGCACGTGGCCTAAGACTGCTTCTTAATGTCTCCGACGCAAGCAGCCTACAGTTTGTATATAACGGCAAACGTAAGATGCTAAGTTATTATACGTATACATTTAATGAATTAATAATTCTTTCCAGTCGTTAACTATATATAAATCATATTTATTTTAAATATAGATGCATGGATAGTAGGGATTATTCTGTCCTGCTGTTTAAATACTATTTATTTGATTTCCATGTTTATACGCTACAGGTAAAGTAATATCCTCCATATACAGAATACTGTAAAAGTCAATTTGAAATTATAGCTATGAAAAATATTAATATTTGACACTGAAACTATTGTAATACGTCCTTTTCTTTAAGAATTAAAACTGACTATTGCTATTCATAATTTGTGAGCGCTTTTTATGTTCACATTTAATTTTTATACTTCAAACAGAACGAATAAACTGAAATTATATCGAGGTGATAAAACAATGCTTCCAGTAGACACTTTTACTTCTTTCGGCAGTATTCTTGTAAGTTTATGACATCTTTCTACATTCAACATCGCTTATTGATTAATTTCTTGTCTAGTAAATAGAATTGAAGTCTACAATATTTATATTCCGATTTATTCTTTATCTAATAATAGCATTTAAGTCTGTAACTTTTATATTACGATCGTTTAGAGATCAAGTATTTGCTACTGTGGCTATCAAATTTCCTATATGATATGGGGTAAATATTGTTGATCTATAATTTTTTTATAATCACGATGCGATAAGGTTGGAAGACTAAAATTTACTTTATACATCTTTAGCATTCGCCATCATCCAAATAATTATTTTCCTTACAATCATGTTTGTCATTTATTGCATCATTCATCCACTGGCGGGAACTGCTAGTACTTGGTTTCTCGAATTTGTAATGTTAGGCAAAGAATTCATTACCTTATTAATTATCATTAGAGCAATATCGTTACTAATCTTACTAAAACGATTGCTAACTTTCATTTCACAAATTTATAAACAGACCAATTGCTTCTTGTGCGCTTATTGTCAGCTTCAGTCAGCTTTTGGTTAGTAAGTACGCCTTAAGCCTAGAATATGGTAAAGCATATGGTATAAACAACAGGTACTTCATTTCCAATCTCAATTTTTGGCCAAAAAGAGCATATTTGTGAATTCTCATCATATAATCAATCGCTCTTTTCTGTAGGCGACTTTTCCATAACTTTGCCTACTTTATTTTCTTCTACAATGTCATGTGTGGTCTATTTTCCTGCTTATTTCGTATTGGCAAAGCAGCTATACTTGGATTAATATTATTACCAAGAATGGACTACAGTTTATTGATGATGCCATTTCAGATGTTTGATTCAGGTTAATAACTCCTTAATTACGAATAAATATAAACATCTTTTGCTAATAGTCTCACGTTCAACTTTAAAATCAATTTAGGATTCAATAGCTATTTAGGATTTTTATATGTTGAACATCTTCATTGCCATCCAGTCCTTATAACATTTTGCGAAATTCTGCTAAACAAGGAATTCGATCAATGTGTTGCTGCTATGGATACTCCTCATTCAGGTGAGACTGCAATCATTTTGTACGAAAAATGATTAAAATATTAAATTAAGTATCGTCTAAAATCTCTAGCAACGGAGATAGAAGATAGATATTCCATGCAAAATCCAAAGCAATCCAATTATAAGATTGAAAATAAGAAGGCTTTTAATCACTGGCATTTAGCAGTACGATTAATTCGTAACAAATATTTGCGCAAATTACGCACTCAGTACTTAGAAGAATTAAAAGAGATAGAAGAATTAGAGAAGAAAGAAGATAGCAAAGCAGCCGTGAGAAAAAAACGACTATCCGTGAATTCTCTGTTAGAGAAAGCTAATCCCAGTAATTTCAATACTATTGATAGTGGACAGAAAGAAAATATGAATATAAACAACCCACAGGCAATGGATTTTGCAGGCTCTGCTGAAGACAAAAATAAGGCTAATCAGTCAGACGATCAAAACCCTGAACAGGAACACTTGACTTCCGCTAAAATCGAAATTGATCATAGCAGCATTGAAAACTATAGAACATCCCCTGATAGTTCCGTCTTAATAGAAAAGCACGATGACAAACAGCAGCAAAACCATGGCCAGAAGGCTGATGAAATACCAGTTACTATCCAAACCTCTAACAAAGATATCGAGCTAGATCACAAAACCTCAGTTCTAGAACCTAGTAATGTTAGTGATGAAATATCGAATAATAATTCACTTGATATAGAAATAAGTAGCGGAGAAAAGCTGCAGCGGGATGAAGTAGTGTATATGCTGTAAAGGTATTTATTACTTAGAAATAGAATATGAGTGCTCATAGTACGCTTTTATTCGCTAATGTAGACAAAAAATAAATTATCAGGTTTTAAGTTTAATAAGACATTGTTTTGATGTTCATAGTGTAAATAATTCCTAGAGTTTAAAAAATTATAAGAACGGAGAGATAGCATGCTCATGCTAGTAAAGATTCACAGTAATAGTAAGAAAAAATTTCATTGATAAAATGAAACAAGACTATTTCATTGCCACGAATATCAATAGTATAAATACGAATAGTTATACGCATGTGAAGTTCGTATAACTTAAGGCATAATTTTATTCAGCATATTGAGTATTGTAATAGACATATTAACAGGTTTTAATACTATTTACTACCTCAAATGTAGAACCAAATAATATAGATAATAATCTGAAATAAAATTGCGGTCAAGAAAGACAATATAGCTGCTATATTCATGTTTAAAGCTACTGGAAAAACTGTTAACCTTTCCCTACATTAGTGGGATAGATTATAGTACTCAAGATAGGGTGCGATCCTTATCTTGCACCGCACAATCTGTAATAGCTCTAAGCTTTGGCAGTCACCATCTTAGTTATTTACGTGATACGGTTAGCTTAATTAATCGATTACTTTACTAATTAATCAAAGCCAGGATAAGAATCAATAATACCAGGTACTACCCAATCAAAATTGTACAACCCTCTGCATAAAATGTTGTCCATTCTGCCCTACATTTAAGTGATTTGTTGCTTTTACTACTCGGCATGAATATTAGCATTTGTCATGATAGCTTCGCTGCTACATTCGTATTTAAGACTTACATGTACTGCCCTTATATCTCCTATACTGTGCAAAAGCACGATATCATATATGTGATCAACTATTTCACTACCACTAACTAACCTGAGGGTAGATTAAAATCTAGAATAATAACCTAGCTGTAATGCATATATTCAACGTTGAGGAATGCGATCACACTTACTGTATATTCTAACAGTTCGGAATACTACTAAATTTCGGGTTGCCCATAATATTTAACCTTACGAGTACATTATACAACTTTTCTAACTGTATAGCTTGCAACGAATATTCTTATAGCAATTTAATACTAAGAACATTTGGTTATTGCTGCGATACATTGTATCTCAGTTGTATGGCTATTTTTTATTACTTTTTAATGAGTACAGAGGGAAGTAAGTGTCTAGATACACACTAAATTGAGTGTGATTAAATTATAAAGTGTCATGTAGCACAAAACAATGCCAATATTTCTATTCTAAAGCTCAAAATATTCTCCAATTCGTAAAACATATTCTAACTGTATAAGCCGTGACGAATACTTTACAACGTTAAAGTGCTTAGAACATTTAGATATTACCATGATAGATTATATCTCAATTGTTTAGCAATTTGCCAATACTTCTTTAAAGAGTACGGAGGCAAGGAAGTATCCAGATACGCACTGAATCGAGTATAGTCACAGTATAAAGTAAAGTATTATATAGTACCAAACGAAACCAATATTCCCGTTTTAAAGCTCTAGATAATCCTCCTATTCGTAAAACTTATTCTAACTATATAGGCTGTAGCGAATACTTTTATAGCATTATAGTACTCAGAACATTTAGTTATCGCCACAATATATCATATCGCAGCTATATAGCAATTTGCTAATTCTTCTTGAACGAGTACGGAGGCAAGAAAGTATCCAGATACGTACTGAATCGAGTACAGTCATAGTATAAAGTTTTATATAGTACTAAACAATGCCAATGTTCCTATTTTAAAGCTTAAGATAATCCTATTAGTAAAACTTATTCTAACCATATAGGCCGCTACAAATACTTTTATAAAATTGTAGTACTTAGAACATTTAGTTTTTACCGCAATATACTAATTATATCGCAGCTATATAGCAATTTTTTGATACTTCGTTAACGAATACGGAGGCAAGAAAGTGCCAAGATACACCTTAAATCGAGTATAATTATAGTATAAGGCATCATATAGCACTAAATAATGCCAATATTTCTATTCCTATTCTAAAGCTCAAGGTAATCCTCCAACTTGTACAGTATAAATAAACAATAGATGAGAACTTTGCGCGGGTAATTAACTAGGCTTAAGACACGTGACTAAGTACCTAAATACTATAGCAACGGTTGACTTAGCTTGGGCCAATCGTTAAAGTTTAAATGATTCAAATATGGCTGCTGCCGATGGAAATAGCAGCGATGAACTATCTTCTAGCGTTCTACTACCAGAAGATAGTGCTGGAAGTTCTGTTTCTTCGCGCTTACAAGAAGAATATGATGAACTATTGCGCTATGCTGTTGTTACCCCTAATGTACCGTTAGTTCATAAAAGCAACGGATTAATGTATGCTAGATAGGATACTAGCTGTCTTTTTGTATATTCAAATATCAACAAGTTTATCATCTCTACTCCGTAGTAATTTGTTATATGCTGTACGATTTCAATTATTATCGTGGCAATGCAGTTTTACCCTATGATAAATGAATGGTAGATATTATGTTCAAGTGATGATTAACCACATAATTTTTATTGGCTAGCGATGATAAGCAAGAAGACAAGAGTAATCTTGCAGAAAAGATGACAAATATACGGTATCATACATCACCAAAAGAAACTGTTATTCGCCACTTCGTAGATCCTGAAGATGAAGACGAGGGTAAAAATCAAGCTTATTTTAAAATTACCCCATTTAAAAAATGGATCGATAGCAACATACAGGAAATTGTCAATAACATTTGCGAAGAATGTAAGCCTGAGGAATATTATTTCTATTGCTTCTAGAACAAAATTTACGTGTTAAAAAGAGTTTCGTCACAGTAATCAGCGATGAAGATAGCGAAAATAGTCAGAATTCGATACTATCTAATCTAAGTCAAGCGCAATCACCATCAATTGATGCAGATTTAGCTAGATTAGAAAATCAAATGAATTCTTGGAGTCTTGACTTTAAAAGAAATATATTGGTACGAATATTAATAGGCTATCATACTGATCTTATAAATCATTTAAGCTAGAGCATATTTCATTAAGTCTACCTAGTAAATTCTAAGATTTTTACCTATCTTTCCAGGCTGAATTCACTCAATCTAAACTAGGACTTATAAGTAAGTATAAAGAGTTGATCAAAGAGGAAAAAGAAAGGTATATAACGTTCATGATACGTAGTTTAATCGTACAATTAAGTATAAAATAATTTCTCTAGTTAAAGTTAACTAATATAATAATCTGAATTACAAACAGACATGTGATTGAAATAGAAAAATATAACAGCGAGATTGAAAGTTTAAAAGAATTATTATCCACATACGAACACTCAATACAGAGAAAAGACTGTGTTGTATCCGATCTAACCAAGGCATTAGAGAAACAGGTCAGTAAGAATAAAAATTATAGCCTTAGTAAAATTTATCAAATTGTGGCATGACTTCAGCAATCAAAGAATATGTAGTAGACACTATAAGTATAGATCGTACATAGAACTATCACCGCAAAAATAAATATCTATTAAAACAATTTCCTTTCTCTCATCTCACAGCGTGAACGCTTAGCATTATCTCAACAATTTTGCAAATGGAAATTGCACTTATTTGATAAAAAGCGCGAAGCATTTGCTACTAAGTTAGCTACTAAACATTATCGTCGAACTATCGCGGGACGTGCATGGGTTGCATGGCATGGAGTTGTAGAAGCTAAATGGAGACAGCGAGTAGAAAAGTCTTGCCAGGTACTTATAACTGAAGTAGATCTCAGTATTTATATTGTTAATAAATCACCGACATATTCAAATACATCGTTCATTTATAAATTCAATACTAATGTAATCGACAGGCTAGGGCACAAGAAGTATGTATGGCTTTAACAGAAGAATATGAACAAAAGTTAGCCGCAGTAAGACCAATGTCCATCGATGTAGCCTGATTTTATCAATCATGCAGATGTATCGCAAGTAAAAAGAGATTTCACGTCAAATTTTTCAATATTACATTTATTTATTTTAGCTATCTAGGAAATATGAAGACTCTAGAGCTGAAATTGCTCGAATGCAAAAGGAAAGACAACATTATGAAGAAACGATGAAAAAAGCTTTTATGCGTGGCGTTTGTGCATTAAATTTAGAGGCAATGACCATGTTCCAAGAAGCAGCTATGGCTTCAGAAGAAGAAGCTTCTCCTGATCGTGATAATGTTCAACCTGGTATAGCTATAAGCAAAGAGTTCATGGACAGTGTCTCACAATGGACACAGAATCAGACTTTGCAAATACATCAACCAAACGATGTGCCAGCGCAACCACATTTAGTGACTGACTTAAATAACCGTAGTAAAGAAACTAACAACCAGAATAAAGCGACGATAAAAGCTACGTTAGCGACGCGAAATCAACTACCAAACCCAGCAGCGAAAGTTAAGGTTGAACGCCATAGTGACAGTATACTTACACCACATGGCGACGTATTATCCAAAAAACGTTCAGCTGTATCTAAAAAGGCCCTCGATAGTAAGAGTAGAAAAACAGCTGGAGCTATTAGTAAATCAGCTCATTTGATCAAAGTTGTTGAATAAATCCATTTTAATTCTGCTAAATGTAGAACATCATTGTAAATAGCTACAAAGTAATCCATACGTTGGCAGCAACTGTAGACTAGAAGCATAGTATTTAATCAAATATTTGAATATCTTTAAAACTAAATATGCATCAATTATTTGCTCTATCACATAATAAAAGGAGCATAGCTTTGACATACTATAAATCAATAATCTTTGTGTCTTGCAACGGTATTATGGTATTCTTTAGAAATAGCGATTAATTATTAATATATTTTGTATTATATTACTTTTAAATCAAGCTAACTGCTATTATAAGACTTCTTTAGCAATAAATTTGTTTGCAGCTTATCAGTAAAAAATTGCCTACATCATTGCTTCACGATCTATAATAAATTACTATGAATAGAAGTGAATTTATTGACAATTTAGTTTTCTAGAAGAATATTGATCCTCTTAATTTTTTATTTTATTTATAACATTCTGCATATGTGAATTATCGTAATCATTTGATCTATGTTTTAGTTTCTAATATTGACTTTCACTTCATCTAATCTTTCATTAATTGAGACTCAAATATCGAATTCTGTTGCATAACAGCGCAAATGATATGAATAATGATATTCCTCTTAGACTTTTATTCCATTACTCTCACTTCGTAAAATGCCACCATGATGGATATATCGTAATTTTAAGATCTTAATTATAAGATGTAATCGTCCATAAAGAGCTTGATAGACGTATTTAAAATTCTAAAACCATTGTAGAGCAAATGTTAAGCACAGATACTCATATATTACAGCATAAGCTATATTACATCGCTAATTTAATCAACATTTCATTCAAGACAACTGCAATCGCATTTTACTAGTATCATGATAATTACTATGGTATATTTTTCAATTATGATATTGGTAATATCAAATCATAAGCACCTGGTATCTATATTATATAAAGAGATTTTGTGTGTGTGTTTGTGTGTATGTGCATATTACAGTAGATATTATTAGTAAAAAAGTACAAGTAAGGTACACAAGCAAATTGAGCGATGGGTGCACTAGACATCTTCAGCGGTATTTATATACGCTTGGGTACACTAGTCCTATATAATCAAAAATACACCGATCACATATCATTTTTCAATAATTACACTAACTCACCATTTGTTGCCTATTATGATGCGCAATTTTTTTGCCGTCTTGGTAAGCTACGAACACCCACTGCGTCATTAAAATAGCAAAGCTCACGACGATTGTACTACCAATTAGCAAAAAAACACCTGCCAAATGTTCCACCCCGATAGTCTGGAAACCAGAATTTGAGTTCGAATTAGGTGAAAGACATAATTTTGGGTTAGACCGGTTCCTAGATAACATTAAATTTTATTAGCTAAAAGCACAGCTCGCATATATCTGTAAGAATTTACATTAATATGAAAAAATATCAACTAGTATATGTATATTCTCTCGAAAGTAAAGATATGTCTAAGCAATTTTATGGTACTTAATAAAAATGCAAAATTACTACAGAATTTAAACTACTTAAATTCACTAGCGGCTACATGTACAAATGATCATACTTGAGCCAGATCTTTAATTTATCTTTTATAAAACCATTCATTCGAAGCTTTAATATAGCTTCTGATAGTTGCTTGGTATAAGGTGAATTAAGCGGTAAACCCAAACCATGACCCACGATAAGAGCTTCTGCACCAACAGTCATGATCGAACAATCTCGAGCAACATGATAGCTTAATATAGTTGAATCAGCTATAAAAGCAAATTTACCGTGCTTAACAGCCTTGATTCCCTCAGTAATATTATTAAACAAGTGAAGGTATGGTTTCATATCGGCATAAGGCGAGCTCTTTAATGTGTTAAAATAGTTGTTAGTGCTTCCTTCTTTAAGGACGCCATATTTTATTGTGTACTGCTGAGACAATTGTACTAAAGAGGTAATTTCTAAAACAAAGATAAAGAACGCTATTAATTTAAAATAACGAGAAATTTTAATAAAAATTTATTTTTTAGTTTATGCCATTTTCACGTGTATTTCCACATACAGGATTACCCTATGGTATCAAATTTATTGCTAATGGAAGCCTTTATTCTAATTTCAATAGCTATATAGGTAGAATACTTAACCTAGATAGCTCGATATTTAAAGTGATTACTTACTACAACTATCATGTATCTATCAGAGCAATTAATTTAAGCAATGAATTAATATAATGAATTAAAAAAAAAATTTTAATTGTGGATATATATATATGCAGGTGTTTGCGCCATTACTGCAATCAAATATTCACCTGGAGTTAGTCTATTGATCGTCAGAAATGCTGCTAAATTGGCCGTATAAGTGGATATAATAATGGTGCATGATAGCCACCATACTGCTGTAACTAATCGTGACGGAAAAGACCTTGGTGTAACGTCGCTTCCTTGTTGTAAAAATGCAGCCAGTGAATTCCAAATACTATTGACAAGGTTTAAAGCTTGTAAAACTTCTTTAGAACTATCTTCCCATTGGTGAATGACTTCTTCAGGGGGTAGATGGCTATAGTCAAAGCTTGCAGGTATTAATGAATCTAAATGTTGATTCGTATATTCGGCCGGGTTAAAATAATGTTGAAAAGTAACTGTTACAGATACTAACAGCAACGCGGCCGCGATCATGAACCAAACCATTGGCTTTAAGGGAGTAAAACATTGATCAATCGATATTGGCTGATATTTTGGTTTATTAAGTAATATTTTTATGCCTTTTTCCATAACAGATACTGTAAAATCCATGTGTTCTTGTAGTTCTGCAGTAATCGATAATGGTACAAGCGCAAGATCCACTTCCTAAGTGACATAATTTTTATTACTATTGGAATAAAACATAGCTTATATAGCATTCCCAGTCTATATAGGGTAACGTCATTTTAAGTTATCATAGTGAATTCCTATACGATCAAAGATCTCTACGAACGGCACTAGCAGCTAGAATATTCCGAACGATAGCTATCGCTATAGCACTAAATATAGTTAATTTCAGGCTTTTAACTTACTCTTCGTACTATTTTACCGATCATATGAGTCCCTCGTAAGCCATCAGCAGTCAAATTTGTTCTTCCATATTGACCATCATCTTGGTACTCTATTGTGTACGTAAAGCCTAATTCCAAACTTAACTTTTTCAGTAATTCGATCATAACTCCTACAGGTTTCCCTGTTTCATCATCTATCATGACAAATGGAGGTTCCTAATTGATAAATATTGCAACATTAAATTAAAGTCATTTTAAATTTACATATTATTGATATCAGTTTATAAATTCAGGATCATTCCACGCGTTGATTATCGCACCCTTAGATACCATCTATTATCTAAGCAAAGTTTAATATTACCAATTTCTGTAAGTCGCAATATTAACAGTATCAAAAATAAATTAATATACATACTTTAATTGTTATAACTCGAAGATGTCGTCCCAATAAAGCCGAACCGGTATCAGGTACAACCAGAGGTCGGCCAGGAAAGTAGGTTAGAGTAGCATTCCACTCAAAAGTATTATTCGACCAAGTGCCAACCTACATATAGTAAATAATGTTGCTAGTCATAGAGCTGCAATGGTTTGATGTAAATTACGCCCATATTCTGTAACTATTCAATTACTGCATCAATTAGTTCAAGAAATCAGCATAGTACCTGTATCCAGTCGGCGCCATGACAATTAAATATTTCATATTTCTCAGATGACTGACCCATAATTGTTGAAAAAGGGGAGAGCGTCTTATTCCCGTGGGTACTTGTAACAGGGTCAATTATCTTAAAATAATTATGAATGATATAACATGATTTCAAGACATACCAATGATATTTTCTCAACTTATACTTATGACGTCTATTGCAATTATTACTATGATGAATTATGCTTATGCATTATAAATCTATGCTGTACAAACTTGATCAATCCGTTGTAAAAGAAGCTTCCCATATTGCCATGCTTTTGAAAATTCATGTATGCAAGACATACTTTCAGATTGAATAATGATTCCATCCTTCCTTAAGTAATCTACGGCAGACGCAACTGCCACCACAGCATCAAAGTATTTTAGATAAATCGGCTATATATTGATAACGGAAAGATGAAATAGGAAATTTAAACTTCCTTAGCAGCCTACTATCCATCATTTTGGCCTAATATATGGCTCATCTCGTATGCAAGGTATTAAAATCGTATATGATGTATACCTGAAGATCTGGATATAATTCCGTTAACTCATCAAATAGTCGGCCCTTAGTGGCAGCTATTCCTACAGCTAGTAATCCATCGGTATATTGAGGCGATACAGTAGATAAATCGTTCTATGGGCGGTGATAGATTAAAACTCATTGATATTGCCATGAAAATTAGCTTGATCGATTTTATTACAAGATTATGTTATACTGTAATACGCGATACAGAGCAAGTGAACATACGCTGAAAAGGGTAACCACCTAACAAGTGCAAAATCTAATTACAGTATGTTTATTTCATCAATGAAATCACCTTGTCATTAAGATCAGTGAGCACAATCCATGCCCAGCCCTTTTCAAGCATCGACAGTTTGTTAGCTTTCTCTAAAACAGTTGCACCAAGTTTAATATCGGTGGCTAACACGATTATTCTGGAGCCTGCATTAAATTATTTACAAACAAATCGAAATCATTAGCATCAATTTCTGGCCCTAATCACGAGTGCAATAGAAGAATGAAAAATAGAATTGAAAAGATAATCCATGTAGTACTGTAGATGAGAATAACAGTAAGAAATCAAAAACGCAATGTGATAATGGATAAAGAGACAAAATATAAATCAATCAACGGTAAATAAGATACCATAGATAATACGAATTACCTGAAGTCTTAATCCTCAATAAGTGAGCTTCCAAGTTCATTATAGTTGAATCATGCCTGATTTGAAACAGTTCAAAATTTGATATTTTCCAGCGATTTTTCAAAGCAGAGAGTGTAAATTCTGTCAATGTGTTAACCCCTATACAAATGAAGGCATTATTGATCAACAATACGACAAGTCATTTATTGCTATGTTTTCACACAATAATATTCAGTGGCACACAAGACAGGAATTATTTATGTGATATCTTTGATGTTTGAAGGACTTTAACGAAATCTTACCGAAGTCTGTTTTAGATCCTAGCAAAGCCGCATTTTTCCAGCCGTAGTGATTAAAGATAGATGATACAGCCTTCGACATCTTGTCATTTGATGGTATCAAACGTCTGAGAAAGTCTAATTTCGGATTTCTAACCACGGACACATCCGATGCTAACGGCGCCAAATGAGGTATTTGTAACGCGGAGTAAATCCATTGAAGTGATCTAACGGCATGATAATGTAATGGTCCGACAACTGCAACGACGCCATCCTCCACTAATTTGCATCCTAGTTATTAAAATTGTCATTGCTACAAGTGAACGCAATTATGATATATGATCTTACAAAAGATTATTAAATTAATGTAATTAATAAATAAAAAATAATTTATGACCCCAATTCTGTAATATCCAAAGCAATCAATCAGTAATTAATTATTTATAAGCATTGCGTCTCTAAAATTTATAAAGCTACCTTTCTTCATATTGTCGAAAGGATCACTGAAATTTGCATAGACAATGTTTAAACTGACTTGAGTTTCGATTGGCAGTTTATGACTATTAATGTAATGTTCCGCTGTCTTCAAAGCATTCTCAACTCTGCTAATTTCTTTCGACAGTATCACACCTGTATAAAAATTTAACATTTAAATATTCCTACAAGTTGGTCAATACAGGAAGTATTGATTATATAGTGTAATTTTAGGCAATTTGTTATGTATCACAATTATTACATACAGTAAAGACTCCGCAACTACTAGCTAGAAAGTTTAAAATATGGAAGTTATAAAAACAAGTTTGTCTTCCGATCAATGTAAATACTATAAAATGACGATGGCATGCGAATATGGACTACAAATTGTAGTCTACAATACATATTCCCTGCAATACACGTTTCAACAATTTTTGAATTTATATTCCTTGAAAATCTTCTTTATATCACCTAAGGTAGCTGGTATTGGTAATATTTAAAGCTATCGAATGTAAATTTAATATCCAATGCAATAACATCCTTTAATAACAGATTCAATATAGCATAAACGTAGAAGCTTGAACCAAAAGCGGCAACAAACTTTAAAGAAACTACAAGAATGTTAAAATGTTAATTTTATCGCACAATAGCAAATCAAGAAATTTAAATTGCTCACCTATTTTTATCTTCATTTTAGAGTCTGCTTCAGTTGCTGTCCATACAGCAGCAGCAATCATAATGATAAACGTTAAGCTGGAAGCCATATTATTAAAGATTAGGTTTCAAGCGATATAAAGCGTCAAAAATCATCAATAAGTTTTTGCAAACAAATGAAATATGATCTAGCCAAATTCAATATTCTATCGAAAATTATATTGAACGGAAAAATCAAAGTTGAAAGTTCTAATCAACTAAGAATGTTTCCTATTTATAGAAAGAGAGAGAAACAACCATTAGTACAATAGCATCTTACGTAATTGCCAAGGCGAGGATTTGTTCACACAACTTTCATAAATCCAGCTTTCCGTTGTATTGATTTAATGTAATGTAATTATCTAGCTCCAATCAGCTCGATTGCAAATCCATTATCCTTTAGCAAGTAGGATGATTAAATTAATAGCACTTTATAACTTTTGTACCCTATTGTTTACTTCAAAAGCCCTTGCTTCAAGACCAGTATTGGAGTCTACACCCAAACTTACGTAATATGGCTTAACAGTAAATACAAATGCGGAAGTACATCATCATTTTTTCTTATCTTTGATCTTTTAACTTGCTCTATTACACAAATGATAATAGTAACGAAATATTACTGGGGCGTAACTTTATGATTTGTAATGGCAGGATTGCGTAAGTTACGCTGAACCTTTCCTATATCTAAGTGATTAATATTGACGGATTATGTAGCCTACAATAATGGCTTGTAAGGTTATATAAAATTGAAAGGAAGTGATTATTAAGTCAGCTTTTGTATAAAAAAAATATTCTTCAAAAATGTGCCGTCAATCTAATATGACACTGACAGGATCTAAGTTTACTGTATATTACTATAATTATACGTCTGAAAATTATCGCTATTTTGGTAACTAAGCAAATTAAACTTAGGTAGTCACTTCATAAATGCTATCATACTGCTAAAAACAGTAATAACATCTCGTAAACGGAGCCTACTTGAAATTTAACAATACTTGGTTATCAAAGCTCGATTTAGTCACTTCATAATTATTAATATTACGCCCTGATACCATCTAATTCAGATACAAACGTACAGGTAAGAGCTTGTACGACTCATGCATTGATATTATTCATAGTATTTCACTGCGGTGGTTAAAGTATAAGCCATTATTCTTAATTTATCACTAATATGATATTCAGGTGATCAAACTAAAAAGGAATTACGCTTTACATTATCAGATAAATGTTTGATATCCAAAACGATTGGACTTTTATTCTAAGCCTCACGATAGCAGTGACACTCTTACAAAGCCTGACAATTAATGCCAATATTATCTTTTCGTGATTTTGAATTAAGCATTATAATCACTTGATGAATAACAGTTTCACGCTGTTATAACTCAATAAATAAGGTGCCTTGAAGGGTAAGTGATAACGTGTTTTTAAAACATTATAGAAAAAAATTCAGTGTCTAGTAAAAATTTCACTTTCTCGCATAAAACCGTTTCTTTAACAAATTCTAATTTGCACTATTTTTGTACAATTTATAACCTTAACCTTAAGCTGATTGGGGACTGCGCTACGATAATAGATTTCATTGCAAACATTAATTGTATTATAAAAAGTTAGTTATGTACAATTACGTAACTGAAGTTAAACGTGCTTCTATTATTAATTCTTCTGTCAAGTATTTTATTAATTATCTATTAACAATGTGACATGCCACACTAAATTATCATACCCTTTACACAAATAGAGCACAAATCTTAATTTCTGTATCTTAAGAGATCGTCCGATATCCTAAAATTACGATAGCAACAAATGCAAAATCAGAAGTTTCTGTTTCCTGATTCCTTAACAATGTTGTGTCTAGTAAACAAGTAAGTGATCTTGTCACCCTGTAACTAAAATTGAAATAAATTGAATCACTTCAGACTTCCACTGCCGTTTGCTTTTTGGTAACAACGCTATCCGAGGCATTCATTAATCTTAAAATAAGTAATATTAGGTCAAATCTTCTACGCGAAGCCTCTAAAATGTTCTTCGATTTCTATAAAAATTTATATAAAATCCTAAAATTAGTTTTAGTAATGTAATTTGCTAACATGATAGTACAAGCAAATTTTAAAATATCGATATATATTATAAAATTAATTATGAGATCAATATTAATATCAGAGTGTAGCAAGTGACTTTGTACTAGTTTTTAAATTAAATACCAAACTTATGGACCAATTAATTTAAATTACTCGCGGTATAGACATCATCTTAGTCACGTATCAACCTACCATATGTTCCATATTACCCTTGGATTTACTTCTGAAATTGCGGTATGCAGCGATATACCATTGTATAACTAAAATTATCCAACTTATAACTATTCCACAGAGAATTATTAAGAAGACACCAGCCAAATGTTCAACTCCAATTGTTTGATAATTTGCTTTGGGTGACTGATCAGCATTTTGACATCTTTTTGATCCGTACCTGAACAAAAAATTACATTAAAACCAGCTTACACATCGCAAATAAAATAAAAATATGAAGTTTCTATAATATCTATTTCAATAAAGTAATTCTCTGTTAATGAGCTCAATTTAAATGTAAGACTGACAACATTCACCAGAATTGATAATTCATAATATACACCGTACTCACCAACGTTCAAGCCCTTTTGTAATAAATCCATTTACTCGAAGATTTAATATGCCCAATGTAATCTCCGTGGTATAGCGAGAGTTTGGTGGTAAGCCTAGAGCATGGCTCGACTTGATAAATTCCTGACCAGTGGTTATCAGAGAGCAATCTTGAGTAACAAGATAATTTAACGTAGAAGCATCATAAAGAAAAACGAAACCACCCTTCTTGGCAGCTTTGATTCCTTCATTAGTATTATTGACTAACTTCAAATGTGGTCTCATCTCTGGATAAGGTGTATAATTTAAAGTTCTAAAGTGATTATGTATACTTCCTCCTGCAGGTAAACCATATTTGATTTTATGTTGCTGCGATAGCTGAAGTAAAGATGTAATTTCTGAAAAAAAAAGAATGAGAAGATCTTTATGTAAGGAAATACAAATTTAACGGTTTGCTTTCGAAGAAGCGACGAGTTTATTTAAACTGAAATTATGGAATCTGCTGGAGGAGTCTGTAATCAGTTATCCATGGTCCTGCGATTAAAACCTCGAAATGTTACGCAATATTACCTATAGCAGTCAGTAAATTACTTTATTTTCAACCATCTATTATCACAACGTATCTCATACAAGATCAACTGCCTTTTATATTTACAATGTTGCAACATTGCTGGCTATTAACGATGAAAAATTCGCATTCATGAATGAAATTGCATGTTTTAAATATATTTACCTGGATCTAGTCTATTAACCGTCAGGAACGCGGCTAAGTTGGCGGTATAAGTGGATATAATAATTGTGCATGCTAACCACCAAATTGCAGTAATGAAGCGCAACGGTAGTGATCTTGGATTGTAATTAGTGCCTTGCTGTAAAAATGCGCTTAACGTAGACCAAACACTATTACTAAGATTTAATGCCTTTATGTCTGCCTTGTTGTCCTCGACCCAATTTCGAATATCTTGTTCAGAAGGTAAGCCACCGTACTGATAATTCGGTAATAAATGTAACTGCTCATTGACGTAATCTTTCGGGCCAAAGTAATGAATGCAAGTTACTGTTACGGAAATTAATAATATCGCGATCGCTATCATCAACCAAACCAACGGTCTTAATGGAGCAAAACATTGAAAGACTGACGGAGAATGATACTCAGGTCTTTTCATTAACATTTTATAACCATTCTCCAAGTACGGCATTGTAAAATCAATGACCAATTCACGTTCCTTGGTAATTGACAAAGGAGCTACTGCTAAATCTACTTCCTACCATTTCAACATAATAATGATTATCAAAAATACTCTTACAAGTAAGCGTAGTGATATTAACGTTTTGTAGCAAAGCTGCTCGCTCAGTTCTTAGTTGCTGCTGTATACATGTTCATATATAGTACTTTACATTAAGTATTTCTGCTCTTTAAATATAATTATCTATCTATTATTAATTGTAATTAGTGAAAGTATTAGTCTTATGAGCTTACCCGCCGCATTAATGAGCCAACCATTCCACTCCATTTTACACCGTCAGAGGTCAATTCTGGAATACCGTATTGGCCATCTTCTTGAAATTGTAAAGTGTAAGTGAAACCAAGATCTAAACTTAACTGTTCAAGTAGCTCGACCAAAAATCCTGAAAGTTTTCCTGTTTTGTTGTTTTTCATCATAAATGGTTCCTCCTATATGCAACGATGTAAAGTAAGGGAACAAGCACATATAGCGGTATTGATAAAAAAATAATATGACATACTATAACTGTGGTCACGATTAGATGTTTTCCAAATATAGCAGATCCGCTATCTGATATAATCGAGGACTGACCCAAAAATCGTGTATTATTCTTGTCTAGAAATAATCTTTGAACGTTTGTCCATTTACCAACCTACAGCGATGGTAATCATTAATATATGTATTATATGGAAAATAGTTTAAATTATGACATGCTTTGAGTTCTTATGTAGTCATCATATTGCCCAAAGCTAGCACCTTTATCCAGTTCGGATAGTGAAAATTAAATATCTCATAAGCCGCATTTGGTGGATATAGACTACTTGCGAACGGAAATTTAGACACGCTATCATAAGTGATCTCATTACCAGCGCTCAAGACCTTGAGAAATAAAACGAAAGATATCAATCAATATTTGAGAGAAACCTCATATGGCATAACTAACAGGTAAATTAGTCAGAAGTTTCATCTAACTATATAAAATTTTTAAGCCGATGCATTTGATACAAACGTAATTAATGCGTTTTAAGAGAATTTTGCCATGCTGCCACGGATCAACGGATTCTCTTATACAATTCATCCCTTCAGGTTGGATGATTACTCCATCGTCGAGTAGGTTATTGACCGCATAAGCAATAGCTAATGCAGCATCAAAGTATTTCAAAAGGATCGGCTATAGAAATAAGAAAGCTGTACTAATTCTAAATTTTATGGTTCGGTACTTAATTTTTTAAATTATACGACACTATGCTTCGTTCCTTATGCTTATGGTAACAAATAAAAAAGTACTTGTAGCAGATTTGCTTAACAAATGCAGCATTCTGAACTTGTTACCTACACTACCTGTAAATTTGGATAGCGACCAATGACATCATCGTATAGTTGCCCCTTACCAGCCGTCTGTGTTACTACCAATAATCCATCACTGTATACAGGGAAAGCTAGCTTGAAACCATCCTAATATTAACACCGTAATATGAATGCAAATCAAAAAGCACTATAAGGTATACTTACTATGGCACTAACATTGTTAAAGTACTATCTTATAAAGATCATTAAGAGCATAAAATTGTAACAATTTGGACGTTACAATATCACTCACTACCTTATCAGCGACGTCAACTAAAAGAATCCAAGCCCATCCACTTTCAAGCATAGATAATTTGTTAGCCTTATTTATAACATTCATTGCTTGTCGAGAATCCGCTGCTAATATTACAATTCTTGCTCCTATTTTTTTAATTAATGTATTAATTTGCTAAACTGAGAATTAAAAGGAACCAGTCTGAAAGACTATCATCGAGACATATAGTTGGGTAACACCGTACATCCTCTAGTATCTACACAAAATAAGATATGACTGAACACCCAAGTTGGAGTTAATACCTGAAGTTTTAATTCTTTTTAGCCGATCATCCAACGTAACATCTGTTGAAGTATTGCTCATGATACTAAATAGCTCAAAATTTAATATTTTCCAACGGTTTTTCAAAGCAAGGATTGTAAATTCCGTCAACGATTTGATGCCTAAGCAATTTACAGTCAATCTGAACATTTAGCGACTGATAATTATAATTACAGTTAACTATCACAATTTCTTCAGCTCTTAATCATCTTGCATAGTTAATTCTACATTTACATTTAAGATCACTCAGCTCTACTATATGGCTTTTCTAGAGAAATACATATTAAAAGTAATGGATACTGTCGATAAATGTTTACCAAAATTTGTGTCTGATCCAAGTAGAGCAGCTTTATTCCAGCCATAACTAGTGAAAATAGACGCTACAGCTTCTACCATCACACTGTGTGGAGGTACTAAACGTATAAGATATTGAAAATTGGAACTTCTAGAATTGGACACGTCTGATGCTAACGGCGCAATATTGGGTATGTGTACAGAGGAGAAAATCCATTGAAGTTGTTCCACCATGTTATCAGCTAGCGGTCCAATTACTGCTATGACACCATCTTGCATTACTTTACACCCTAAATATGGAAATATAGTTTATAAACCCTGTCAGACAACTATATTCAAAGCGTGAACTTCTACATGGATTTCAAGGATATCCATTATGGTATGATACGATTAGTAGTTATAAGTATAAGATTATAGTACAGTTATGGTTAATGTCCAATTTATTGATCGAGTATGTTATTGGCACACGAATCTAACGTATTATAGTGCTAATTAGAATAGCATACCTTTCACAACATTATCCACAGGGTCCGAGATATTTGCATAGACAATTGAATAGCTTACATTAATTTTATCGGCAAATAAGATGCGATTGATATAATCTTCAGCAGATTTCATAGTATCTCCGATCTCGACGGCTTCATATGGCACTATTAAACCTATCAGTTGGCCATCAATTGAAAGTAAGGGTAACACTATTTTTACTCAATGATCTATTGCAATATAATCATCGTAATAGTACAAATATCACTATCTTCGATTAAACAGATTCGTATCTTAAGCAAATAAGCGGTCAGGACCATTAAGAAATTAAAGACCAGATAACGAGTCTAATTCATAATAGCAAGCACTGTGCTCTAAATGATTTCGATTCAAAATAAGTGTATTTCACCTAATATATTGTAAATCGTTTTACAATAATTTTAGCAAAGTCTTTCTATATGCTGATTGCTGTTTAAATTCGTATATCATGTGCAATTACAATTAAACTATGATCTTACCAATTTTTACTCTCAACAACGTATTTGCCAAAGGTAAAGCCATCAAATAAGTAATTCCAATAAATACGAGGTATATTAATCTTTGCCTAGCCATCCTGTGATATATTAGTGTATTGCGGCTGCCAAGAAGTGAATAAACAAGTAAATAAATAATTTTTGGGTTGGTTAACAGAAAACTTTACGTGCTGCTAAGGGTGAGTACATAAATATACTACACGATATTTAGGAAATGTTTCTGTTACGTAAGGCAACCCACTTCTCTAACCGTATCGTACACAATTTTCATCACAAAAGTTTCGGAATACGCGTGTAACGGATTTTACTATGGATGTATATTTAAAATAGGTTACGAGTAGTAGATGGACTATAGCAAACAAAACTATCTACTTCAGCAAATTAATCATAACGAATTTTGTTACATGTACTGTATGGTATGTCCAATTGAATCACCAATAGTAAACGGCCTGGCAGCGAAGCTACTTACGTACATTCTATGTTTACGACCTAGCGATCATACAACAAGAACTTTTTGTTCCCATCTTAGGAGAGCGCATAATTACTACATTCCTGTATGAAATTCAATCAACGTATTATACCCTGCCATAACTATAACTTATAAATGCATATTGTTGGCAACTTAAATCAAATTATTCTTATATCTAATTTGGCTTCCACAAAACATGTTGACCACGATAATCAAAACTATAATCTATTTTAGTAGCTTTATTTCACACCTACTTCTAATTGCAATAAAGGATGGCTACAGAACTTTAAGTAAACTTGACTGTGTGCATCTTAACCCGGTATATTTTACAAGAGCTAAACAAGTTGACGGTTCTATGTAAGCCCTTAGCATTAGTTAGATGAATCATGCATTGATAGAGTACAGATGGGAAAATATTGATCACAATTGCTTATTAATTTACTAATTGAGTAATTGTCTTGTAATAATATCTGGATTTCATGCAATTAGCGTTGATTCAACCTAGTGAGAGCATTATATTATTTTCCATATGTCGACACGATTGTCCTATCAATTGAAGGTAAATTTATTATCGTTTACAAGTGCAGTGAATGAGCAATATCGTAAAAGATTGTGCTTGATAGATTTGCTATCTTACTTTCTAAAAGTGCCATTATTGTTATTTAAATGTACGCATACAGCATCCATGGCACAATTAAATAATCGGTCATTAGCAGTGAATTAACGTCATGGGTAACGCCGCCCCCCCTAAAATAGTTCATAATTACATATGTTCACAAGTCGACAAGGCGTATCGCTGTACTGTACAAGAATTATTTTATTCTGTAAACAATTATCTTATTCATTTGCTATAGAGTGTACGTGTATGCAAGAAAATTGGCCAGTGCAGTTACCGTACGATTGTACTGTGCAAAAACGAAGCCAAGTGCTAACCTGCATTAAAATTAAAACAAAGCTTCCTTCTCTTCGCTATTATAACTACTATAATATAATCGGTTACTTGACAGCGTACGGTACTTTCTACCCAGCCCCGAGCATAGAAAAAAATTGGACTTTAAAATATAATAACAATAATATTATAATGAATCGTTAATAATAATATTCTATACTTGTACGGAATTTCAATTCAGAATCCGGGAAGTACTGTACAACTACGCGCGGTACGTAAAATGGTGTACTGTACACTGTACAGTAAAGAGAAAGTAATCCCAGTCATGTCTGATCCAGGACTCTGAACCCTAGGGTACAGCCTAGAATGAGTGTACAAAGAGACTGGACAGTAGGCGACATACTGTACAATATGTCAATGACTACGGTACTGTACTGTACAAGAAAAAAAATGACCTTTAGTACAGTACATAGTGTACTTTACAGTACTTCTAGACTGTACTGTACTGTACAGTAAGTACTGTACTATACTGTAAAACCGGTTCCTTTTGCGTTCAAAAGTTATTAGTTGAGAGCCATCTCCAAAGTGTCAACTGAAAAAGGGTGCGGTAAGACTCTATTCCTTCTCCCAAATTTTGAAGTTTACGAGGATAACTAGAAATATAGTTATTCTGTCTTGGAAAATGGCTAGCAAAAGCAATAGCGAATATGATGACTGGTACCCGGAACTAGGCCAGATTTTCAGCGATTGTGCTATTCAAAATGACCCCAGCTCGCCAACTGTCGAAGCCTCGAATCCTCAAAGGAACGATTTGCCGTCTGGTTCAGTCTTGGACGACGACGAAGCCTATCTAAAATCGAGCATATACTTGCTTACAGAATTTACTGTCGATCAATTGGCTGATAAAAATACTAAAGTACGCAATAGATTGCTACAGAAAATGCCAAAGGCTGAAAGAAAGAGCGCTAAAATGCTAATTAGCAAAATGCGGAGAAAGAAGAAGAGCCGTTCTTACTCAAGAAACCGAAGACGTCGGTCATCTCATGAAAGAACAAATCTTCAAGACACTGTCAAAAGATATGAACAACTCATAGAAAATATCAATCATACCGTGTTGAATTATAATTGCGAATCATCGCTTCGCATGGTGCTTGATATGATTGCGAATCATCGTTATGATTTTTGGAGTAGCTTTAATTAGTAGCCGCTCCAGAACGTTTTTACGACCTTAAATTAGTCGTGAAAAGTGTCTACTGTAGTTTTATTCTGTTGTTAGTTTCTCAAATGGTTAAAGTCAAACATTTGTGTCTCGTAGCTTGGCTGTTTTTATGCTACTCATTTGTGAACTAAAGAATTTTTGAATTAGTATTGGAAACAAACAGGTCAACAAGGATAGGTCAATGTGAAGCGTATTCCGTGAAGAGAGCAAATATTGCAAGATCGATTGGAGTGGACCGGACAGCTCTGTACTGTACTGTAGTAAGTCTTTAACAGAACTGTAACGGTCCATACAATCGATCTTTTGCCATATTTGCACCCTTCACGAAATACGATCCACATTGACCCAACCTTGCTGCTTCCTTCTTTCCTTTAAAATGATCACACGCTTGTCTTGATACATTGGACTAATTCGGAAATTGTGTCATGGTTGCACTTGTTAGGTAGCAAATATATATATTTTAATTGGTTTTAAATTTGGCTGTGTACTTGAACGGTCAAGGAATAGTGTGTCGATTGAAATCTTACATTTGTGAATCGACATTCAGTACAGTATAAATAAATGTAATACGTTAATTTGATCATGCGGCGTGACTCTCATTGACGAGAATTTTAGAGGTAGTTGTGTAAATCAATAAAAGGTATATTGTTAAAACAGTGGAAAATGGTTGTCAAAGTGTTGGTCATCACTGATTGTGTACAGTATACTGAAGAATTAAGCGCTTCCTTAGGCCTGGTCAGATAACCTCGGCTTCTTCATTTTCTCAATCCTAACCGTACTCGTACTGCTCGCCCATACCGTGTTATGGATAACTACTGTACATTGTAGTGGTCCAATCACGTACAGTACACATCGTGCAGAGTTCGTTGAGCCAATCAACAATTTGGTATACAATTCCTTTTTCGAAAACGGTAAGAAATAACAGGACGTATACTGTAGCTTTAGTGTGCAAGGGAACATTATTTCCGTCAATCCGTAAGTAAATGTTTGCAATTTGCCACGTTGAGCGATGGATTTTGGCGGTTACGACTGGCAAATTGCAATCCGATGCTGTGCAGTACAAATTTAAAAATGTGATACTGTACAGTACAGCGTGATCTTTTTCGTTCCAGATTATTAAATAAGTACTGTAAATGCTTTAATATTGACCAAATCATGTAAAAAGTAATTCAAACGATAGTGCATTAGTTGAAGATTTCAAATCCGTAGTTAAATTTCTGTTTTATTAAAGCACCTGCGGAATAATAACTAAATAAAGGCAAATTTTGCTACACAGTGTACAGTACAAATTTAAAAATGTGATACTGTACTGTACACTGTACAGTACTGGACTTGTAGCCCAAGTTCGGTACGGTACTGTACTACAGAACAGCAAGTAAGACTGTTTTGCCGATCAGACACATCAAAGTGGATTGGGATGAAGAACTGAGGTGGATTTGCTCCCGAAAGCTTCTCCTTATTTGATGATTAATTAAGTAGCAAGTCGATACTGTTAGTTATCGCCCATTGGACTAGGAAACATTGAAGTAATGGCCCTTAACCATTCTCCAAGTAAAGATCTGAACAACATAGTCGACTATGTTATGGACGACAGGGTGAAACCCATCGTTCAAGATGAAGAATTCCAATTAAGAATGACCTTAGTCATTACATCAGGGAGCACGGCTGAAGAGTTAGCAGAAGAAGGAGTGAAATATTATAATGATATCCTACGTAAGATACCGATGGAACTTAGGAAACCTGGACGGAATCTGATTCGCAATATCCGAAAGAAGAATCAAAATATTAAAAACTCGAAACTGCGGCAAAAGCGGTCTTCCGAAAAAAGGGAGGAAGATGCCAAATGCATTGCGAAACTTCGACTACAAATCCAAAAAATTCGTACTGTTACAAGAGATCCTAGGCTGCCGCAGCCGCTGAAGCTTCAACAGATCGAACACTTAGCGGATGAGAATTTGAAATTGGAGATCAGCATATAAAAAAAATTAACGTCCAAATCGCATCACCTGCTTAAGCTGGAATTTGTCACATGGCAACGTTGCACTTCCAAGATCCCATTTTGTTCTTACAGTATTTTAAATTTTGTAGTTTCGCCTTTTAAAGCTGCTAAATTGCTAACTAAAGGATTTGGCAAGTTTTAAAAGAGAACAGTTATGCAATCACGGATAGAGAGTATTATAAATGAGAATCGACAAACGCTTTTACTCCTATTTGTATGGGCGATGCAGTAACAACCATTGCTAGAGATTTTTACAGTACATTTTGTATTAGCAATGACGTTTACGAAAAGAATCCTCAACGATCTATCTAATCGTAACGTTAGGGAGTTCTGAGACAACTAGGCTTTCTTAGAACTTCCTTGTATCGCCCATGGCAGATAAACTATCCTCTTTAAATCCGTATTGCATGACTGTTTTTCGGAAACAGTATTTTATACATAGGTGTGTTGTATATTGTAGGCGCGATAAAAACGATTTGTAGCCTTAGCAAATTCAACAAGTTTAGTTTACTTTTTATCCTCTTTTATTTAGTACGTAGTATTCCTTTGCAGATTTTGCTATCCTATGTGATAAAGGTTAATATTGAAGTTTTTGTAGACTAAAGTAAATTCTATAACTTATTTGGTTTAATCACAGTAGATTTAACTCCAATGTGTCTTAGTACATTGTAAACCCGAAAACTTTATCATGATTAGAATTGAATAGTATCCAGTAATATAGTTTAGACTTACACAATCTTAGATTGTAATTCAAGTGATATATTTAGCTAATACTGTATAACATTCAAGCCTTAATGAAGATAAAAAATGGCAGCCAACTTTGATCATAAGATACAGTAAAAGTTATTTTGCTTTATGATGTAATACAGTATGAACCCAGACATTTCGATCTGAGTTCTACTCTAAGACGGCTGCTTTGTCTTTGTGGATTTTATAGTTATGTTCCGTACTCTGTAGAAAGATACAATTTATAGCTGAACTGTGATTACAATAATGAATTTACGATTAGTATTTCCGTGTATCTAGGATAGTATATATCTATCCTACTTATATGATTAATTGCTAGTTTGATTTACAATAGTTTAAAGTGACAAATCAGTATCCTAGTATCGCCAACTGCTCTGCATAGCATATAAAAAGTGGTGTAGTGAAGTAAGAAGTTAAATGTTAAGATACACCTAAAATCGTGAGCATTCTCATTCTTTGATAGTTTGATTGTTAAAGGGGTTACTTTAGCCCTATTATAATTTCTTTGTAAGATTGTTGGCAACTGTGAAAATAAAGTGATGTTTTTTGTTCTTAAGCTAACTTAAGTTTGAATTCAAGGTTGTTAATCTTAATAACTGTGCGTCCGTTATTACTCCTACTAATTTCAATTAGTTTTAACGGTGAAGAAATAACGCTCGAGTTATGCTTTACTTTGGTACGATTTGTGAATCGATATGCTCGATGTGATTTATTTAAGATTGGACCACTGAAGAGTCTTGCTATTTGTGTTGTATTTAATCTAAGCTAGATAAGTTGTTGAAAAGGGTAATGGGTAACTGACTAATTTATCATAAGATTAATAGATAAAGATCTTATCCCAAAACTATGCAAATTTACATGTTTCACTATCATACGTTTATCATTTTAAAGTGGCCTTCTTGTGTCTACTCTGGTTGAAGTATTGCAGATCGCTTTCAATCTTACTTTATGCGGGATATGTGTATGATCGCATTATTCCTGTAAATGCAACTTTTGGGTAATGTTTTAGTTAGCAATCAAAGAATTTTACAAATTTTTAATATACATTTTGAATATACTGTACGCAAATTCTACGCTACCTATATGTGATATTTATATATTATTTTGATCCTCGCATGTGTACAAAGTATTTTTGATTTTCAAGACTAATTGGCGGTCGAAACGCTTGTCCGCACTGAATAAGTAGATACGATTTTATAATAATTAATAGAGTTTTTCTGAAATCAAGTCTACAAACAGGAATTTATCGTAACACCACAGATATTACTAATATAAATGTCTTCATTCGGAAGAGTAGATCGATACAGAACAAAAATAGTAGCAAATACTTTGAACCTTGTACTTTACCTACAAAGCTCCATGAACATGCCATAATCTAGAGTAATACCTCTTCTTTTTTATTTCCGACAGTCAATTTCGAATTCGCAAAGGGCTCACCGAGGTAAACACTAATTAAACAATCTTGTGCTCGTGCAGTATACACACACGCAATAGCACTGTATAATGCCACAGTCTTCAAAAATTTTAGTATATCACAATATGCAGAAGTCAAGTGTTCATTTATGACATACTTAAACTCCAGCACGGATGATGCAGATGTTCTATCCATTCATTTTTTTGAAAAGAGTGCCATAAATAGTTTCCGATCTAATAGTATTCAATAATTCAATAATGCTGTGTATTATAATGTAGGCGTATGGTACCTCAATTAGAGTTAAGTAGCATATAGATAATATCTGGTTACACGCTTAGATTGAAGTACTAAACGATTAAAGTAACCCGGATATATTATTCCCAATAAAAATGATAGGATCTTTAGATAATAACTACTAAGACATTTACTGCATTTTATAGTTATATATTCTTCCTAAATATATCTAATTTAGATAATAATCCTTAGATTTATGTTCTGGGTTTATCAGCGGTAAAAGTATGAAGTACAATCTTGAAAATTCAATCAGAATACCCCCACTTCATATTGTTTAAGAAAGTTCAGATTATGTGAGGAAGAGATCACTTCACTGTAGTATTCGAATTTATTAAAAATGCTAAACCTTTCATGTATTTGTATTTAATTGATCAAAAGCAATTCTAATATGTACATATTAGAAATCAGGATCTATGTAAAGTAATGTGCCATATGAGCAAAGACAAATTATATTTTGTATTAAATATCTGTCAATAATGATAGTTGTTTGTACGATATGGCTAGCAATAATTAGATTCTGCACTATTGTATTAAGTACATCAGCATCATCGCAATGATGTATACATATTGCAAAGTATAATGTGACTAAAGAAATTCGTTAACAGTGACATTCCAGTAGTATTAATCTCCCTTTCTTTGGCGCAGTCTCTGCCATTAGCAACTTTAAAATCCGTAGCACAGCACTAACAGAATTATTATTACCAGAAAATACTGTAAATTTGACTAGAATTACGCGCATATACCATTTTCGTACGCTAATAAAATTATAATTTCATATGTCAGAACTGCAGCTATCCTTATATGAAATTGTAGGATCTCGCTTACTTCTCTTCACTTCACTTCACTTTGATCAATTTGCTATAGGTACTTATAACTAGAGCATTACTTAACTAGTTAATACTGAAGGAATTTTAAAATTTACACGGCACTACAGAAACAGTGTCAGATTTATTGACCGAACTTCAGATACTACCTAATATCGCATTTTTATGAGGAAATAGCTGATCAACATGTTGTACTTGTAGTCCTTGATGAATATATGTATGTGTTAATAAATGACTTGACGTCGAAGTACTCTGATAAAGATTCAAGGATGAAGTAATTCTTGTTTAATCTTTACAAGTTATGTTTGTTAACTAATATCCAAATAGAATTAGAATTACTCTTAGCAATGTAAGAGGTTATTTACCACTAATGTTCTTTACAATAGATATGTCAAGAACTTAGCTACTTAGAGTATATCTCTAGAAATTAGAATGAGTAAAGCCTCTGAGTCTTTGAATCCTTGAATCACTGATTGCACGATGTGTATAGTTATAAGTATGTAGTCTTTCGGCTACTGATTGGCTACAGATAAGTCATATCACCGGACTGGATATAGTTCTCTTATTACAGCAAGTACTAATGCAGTTATACTATCTTATGTTGTACAGTAGGATGATATCCGTGAAAAGTTGTAACATTAATAAGTTAGAAGATACAAGATATACAGTACTATAAATAATACCAAATTACAACACAACATGGTCATGGAAGTACTACAGTAGCACCTTACTGCAGTTTAATTAAATAATACTGTATATTGTATGAAAGAATCAAGTAAATTACTTTATCAAGGGTAGCATTAAATAGGGTATCGGTATCGAATTAAAATACTTCTATACTAACAAATATATGGTCTTTTTTTTAAAACGGTATCTGTTTCATATTTCCACAATTATTCTCCAACCTATGAGCTTATTCTCCTAAAAATTATTCACTTCCACTGCATTTGCTTAGAATGTAACGGTAGCGCCTATCGATATACTTATACCTTGATTTTCTAGAATCTTATACACTACTTCGGATCATATCAAAATAACCAATTTTTCGGATTAAAATTTAGCGCATTTAGAATAATTTTAAATTATAATCAATGTAATCGTTATCATCTGGAAATAAGCGTTTGATTTAATATCTCAGGATATCTCGTAGTAGCATATATTAACAAAGTGAGCATAAATCTGTTTGTAATATACACTGCTTTCAAAACTGATAGTGATGAAGTTATGTCAATTATCAAGAAGGTAATAGAGGCATTTATCACCAAGTACTGTACTATGTAAAATGTAGATTAAAACTTTAGATTTATTTGAAGTCAATTTTGTTATAAAATGCCACTGATTGACTCCCCGTTACAGTATTAAAAAATAGAAAATATAAGCAAGTTACTCTTGACATAAATTGCATTACTTCATAGGTACCAGTATGGCTATAATTTTGGTAAAAAAGACATACTCATGAATAACTTAAGCAAAATACGGCACTCTACTAATAAAATCAAAGCATGACAGTAATAAGGAACCGTGAACCTTTTAAATCATTTTGCTAAGCAATTTACGTAGTAAAGACCCACAAGGGTATTTAAAAGTGCTACTCATGATAGCACTAGAATCGTATACTATACGGATCATAAAACTTTCCTAAAATTATGGTACGTAATAAATATTGTTGGTTACACATGGTAATTTTATAAACAGATAGTTTCTAAAGGGATTAAGCTAAACTCTTTCATGCCACTGATGTTCGAGTACAGTTTATAAGATCTTTTGTTTAAGGATCTTCTATTGCACTTAATATATAATTTTGTAAGTATTACTTGAAAAGTAAGATACTTGAAAAGTAAGATACCGGAAAGTATCAAACCATATCGAGCATTTTAAAATCTGCTTCTGTGCTTGATTATATCTCGTAGATACCGGAAAGTATCAAACCATATCGAACATTTTAAAATCTGCATCTGTGCTGGATTATATCTCGTATGTACCGTACTTGAAAATATGATATGCGCTTGACAGGTTATCCTTTAAGCAAAGGAAAACTTTACGAAAATATAGTTACAAACGATAAGTTGAATATTTATTTTTAAATCACTTATTATATTGTACACTAACCTATCGTAAATTAGTTCGCACATATAGTAATGCAATCCAACATATTAAGGTGCGATTTACATCGTTTATTTCACGAATTGCTTTTCGAAGATTAATAACCTCCTGCAGTTGTTGATGATATTTTTGTAGCACATCTTCCAATTTATCCTCTAGGCATTTAACTTTATCCGTCTTGTTCTTACGACTCTTTTTAGCTGATTTACAATTTTTAAGTAGCCGTCGTCTTCCTTTGATTTGTAAAATTTCATCAGGTGGCATTTTCAGCTCTTCACGCAATAGTTTATTTAGGTCGGGCACTTTAATATTTTCTAAAACCTTATCACATAGACCAAACCTTGCAAACTTGTCCTTATCAGATACTTTATCTTTACTTTTATTTCCCTTCTCTCGTGAAATATCTGCAATATTGTTATTAAAGTCGGAATTTTCTGAACGAATCTCCATAAAGTGGTAGAGTGGTGGGTCATAATTACAATTGCTATAATTCTCTATACCAACGTAATCTTCCGAAGTATCACGAATAGGAAACTCAACCAGATAATCCAAATCATCGATATCATTGTTAGAGTTCATACTTGTAAACGATCCAATAATTTTTTCTCTTCCTTCCTAATTATATGCAAAATGAGATGGCTTAAGTCAACTACTGTAGGTCCATTTGGAATAAAATTAAATTTCGCATTATTTGTTAATAAGGCAAATTTCAATAAGCTACCTCAATTTTTAAATACTATTAGGTGTGTGATGGTTCCAGTATTACATTGAAAAACACGTATACCGCGTAAAGAAATTATAACTTTTGAATTTGCCTGATAGTGATTGTACTAATTGCAGGGGAAAATGTTCTTGTACTACTGATATTCATTCACGGTGTATTATATAGCGTTGATTGATGATTTCGACTTTGGAACCCTTAAGAACTGATCATTGGAGAAATACGTCGCGGTATAAATACGATACGGTTTTACGGTACGTGCAAAGACCGCAGTTGTACGTATTACTAATTAGCAATTAATTATTACAGTTACAGTCAGTCCTAGTTACAGTACTATCATTTACCGCTTTTATCATATGTCATCCTACTTGCATGAGTGTGCATATACTGTAGCAAACATGAAAGAGCTTTATATGGTCTCGATGAATTAAATTAATTCTATGTCACTTCATTCCCATAAAGATTAACGTCTGTAGATCGAAGAGCGATATTATCCACAGCAGTAATATAAAACATTTGACATGATTGTCTAGTAGTATACTGTAGAGATGAGTTTCCAAGTCGTAGAGATGGAAGAAAAAATATAACATGTTTGTATTATCGAAACTAATCTTGCAAAATACAAATTCCTATTAACTATAGTACACCGCACTACATATTACTGTATATGATACCGTATTGATATACACCACAAGTATCCATGGACATTCTCGGCACGGTAGGGACCCTACGGCAACATGGCCTGAGAAATTAGTACTGTGCTATAGTACAATACTACACATTAACGCATAATACATAATTATACATTACTTTACCTCATGCATAATTCATGATATGCCACGTAACGTTCATAATAAAAAAAATGTGCGTCAACGCAATAATCATCAATCACAAGTCTTTTACATGATCAGAAGAAATGAACGCAAGGCAAGTGTTTAGACGTTTTGACTTATTAAAAAGTAGAAAAGAATTGTTCATCAGACCTAGTGTTCCTCATGGTCATTAGCATTCCCAGACAACATTCAATACAGTTGAATGATGCATGGTCATGTAAATCAACTACGTAATAGTAATGCTTTACCTTAAGCTTTATACTTAATATTACATTTAGCGTGCCATCTTTGGCTAGGTTACTTCGATACATGCTATACATGAGATTAATTACTATTTACCTGATTACGATACTCCCTTTAGCTAACAATTATGGCAATAGATAAATTTCTTACCGTTCCTTCTTTTAAGCTACTTTTCAGTAATCATAGCAAAGTTTCTCGCATTTCATGCACGAGATAGAATTACTACTATTTATTTATTAATAAAACTATCCGCATAAACAACTTTAATAAGTAAACAATTGAATTCTAAATTCATCAAATTTTAGTGAGTGCGTAATCTTGCTCTCATTATCCTGCCATGCTCCCTATACAACAACGTACTATTGTACTTGTATAGCACTATTTATCCTAAACGCCAATGAGTGGGCGCATAGACACACCATATTGTTTTCAATGATTATGAACCTGCAAAATTTGCGAAGCATGCATTTTCGAAATTTGCTAATGTTGCATAATTTACTTCTTTTATCTTATACCAACTTCCTATTTGTATAATGCCTACAGTTTGAACCTATACAGTAAATGCCAATTGTAGCGAAATACGGAATGCTGCAACCACGAGGGCAGCATACTTGACTCCAGCTACTAAAATATTTAGGAAATTTTAACCTTACCGGAATGTGGAGACAGGAGTAGTTAGTTATACTTGTAATCTGTAACGCAATTATACGTAAGTTACAGCTATTTTTGACTTTTTATGGTAATTTTATAAGAGGTGATAGCGTAGCATCATACTAATTTTCCAAAACGAGATGGTTGCAACTGTAAGTAAAAATTAACATGATACGAATAGCTGGCATAACATATACAAATTTAAAATCACCCTAAATGTACCATAAACAACAAACCTAATTTATAAAATATACCCTTATTAAGTAATAAGAAGACTGCTTCAATTTCAGACATTACTATAAATAATTATTAGAATGAATATCCGGGTAAGCCATTAAAATATCTTCAATAATTCTTAATGTTTTGATTATTTACCGTTAGCTACTCCAGTTATATTAATGAAGTATTATTTATGATATAATCAGATTGAGCAAAGAGTAGTAATAGCATGTAGGTTATAAATAAAACTGAGGACTGCAGTAAGGTGTCAACTCTTTTGGCGATCAGTAAGGTACAAGTGTGATTCACGACAAGAAATTCTGTTGAACAGGTTACTATTACTTCCTGGTATACATTTATACGCACAATTTACTCGTATAATCAATAGCACCGTACTTTTTAAGGCATAATGACAAAGATCTATTTTATACACAGTAAGTTATTAGTGTATGTCTAATGATTTTGAAGAGTCGTCCTTCTTGTAGCCTATGATATAATATAGTCGATCTACAGAACTGATTAGATATCAATAGTAGAAATATTCATTAGCCAAAAGATAAGCCGAACTATACAATTTCATTTTTCTTAATGCATTTATCCTTGTTTGATCTTGGTGCTGACTTGTGCTTTGATCCTGTTGAACGCTTCAAAGTTATTTATCGTAAAAAAGTATCTCTAGGGCGCGCATTTAGTATCTTTTAGTTAACAGAATTCCGCACTCATAATCTCAATATATCTTCATGTTACCATAGAATTAATTCCAGCATAAGACCTTAAATATGCCTCGTTATTACAGTTCATGCAAAATCATTTTAGTTAAGACTAGATTGTAAAAGCTAGCTATTGAAAATTTTTTCCTTATTTGACGCTAATGAAAGAAGTCTAGACTCTATTTTATAAATATAGATTATCACTATTCAGTATTGGAAAGAAATATGACTTCACTTATATTAATTGGAACTAATATAAATGTAATCCTAGAACTTTACTATTTTAATCCACTTTTATTGTAAAAAAAAAGGTGGTTATCCATTAACATATAGGATCGCATGATCTATAACAATCTGTAAAAAATTTTTGCTTGCTTCTGGTTAAAAATAGAAGAATTGCCTAAGCCGCATTAAAGATAAGAGTCTTAACAATATTATATCAATAATGTACTACTCTACTTAGAGTGACTGTGTAGTGTACATTATAGTTACTCTGAGCTTATTGCTTAAGTGCAATGATCGTATACAGTAATAGCTATTAATAATCCTTACATGGTTACTTCTTATATACTTAAAATTAGCCTGCTAATGTTCTAGGGTTAGTTCCATTAGAATAATTACAATTGCACTAAATAAGATAGTATGAAATGTGAAACATCAAGGCAAACGGCTATTCATTACATTCGACTGTTATGCTATTAATTTACTTCGCTGAATTAATATCAAAAATTTTATAATGTATTTATATATTGGTGCAGCCATTTTTTTAGTGTACTGTTCTTATCGATATTACTTAACGTTTCTCCAAGTAACAATCTAATGTTTCATCTATTACAATTAATTTCGTTATGTCTAGAAAATCAATTCAATCTCGACCAGCAAAGCAAGCAGCAGATCTCAAAATATTTCCGTTATATTTAAAATTCAACGTATGTTACTACGATACGTCATTTTTGAATAAATACAGGCAAAAAATTACTAGTAATTGTTTTGCATTGCTGAAGGCTCGAATACGTTAAGATTATCTCAGAAATGCTTGAAAATTAATGTTCACAGGAGCTCACACAAAGAATCTAACTCTGTTTTTTATCTGGTATATGTTATGGTGTTTATTTATACGTTATGTATTATATTTTTAAGTAGATTGTTACTATTGCATCACACCTTTCCCTCTCACCTTATAGTCTGCAATTATAATAAACTATGTAAATTTGACCCCTACAGAAACCACTGATACCAATGCGGTTTCTATACTTTATTTTTGTACAGTAAGGTGGGGATTAACTTTATTTACTTTATTTACAATTGTCCCCCTAAAGCAACTGTATTAATATCGGTTAAATATAGTGCATTATTCACTAATTGGGCTACTGTATATAGGATTACTTATATAGGCACTAAATCTTATAAATCTTAATAATTGTATTAGTTTAAATCTTATTCTTAGAATTTGATATCTTCCGCTTGTTACTGGAACGCGCGATTAGCTAAAAATAATGTAGCTAGTTGAAATTTTTGTTCAGCAATACTTACAAAAACAAAGGCGATTGCTTGCATTGCTTCCTCTGTACTTAGCTGTCTGTTTATACCAGTAGTTGCTATAGCTTTCCTTCAAACTTTTGTCTACCGTACAGCACAATGTGGAGTACTAACAGTAGATGAAGCAATCTTTGAGTAATTAACAAGACTAGGCTACCTGATTCACTTTCGCGGTTTTCTCTGGAAATTACATTTAATAACAACATTTACTTATTTGCTTCTGAAAGATTTACATGTAAACGTGTTTGCATACAATTTCATAATCATAGCGAAGTTTATCACAATTTTACTGTTTCATACTCTTGTAGTTATATCAAAATAAAGTCTATTTTGAAAGTTATCGCTTTTTATTTAAAATGTGCAGATCTACCAATAAAACTAGTGACATAGCACAGAGTACAGTATAAAGCGATATATTTCACAGTGTAAAGTAAACAAGTACGCGAAGTATCACGAGCTGTGAGTTCTACTAGTATTATTAATAACTAAAACAATCGTATTCAGTATTATGACAACAGCTGTTACATTTAAACTATCAGTCGCATCTAAATGCATCATTCATCACTTTTATTCGAATTAATATTACCGTCAGTAAATACAATTTACTATGTCGCATAGTGCCGTATCATTAGTTCGTGATTAGTCACCCATCTCATTTCTCTGGCACAGTTGCCTGGAATAACGAAATATCGTACAATTTTTTCGATATATTAAAGTCGAATACAAAATTTTCATTAGTAACATAGCATGGGTGATTTCTAACTTAGAAACTAATTTACATTATAATTCTTGGCTGAATTAGTAGTAGGTCCTCCTTTTGATTAAAATTTTATAGTGTAGCCATTCTTCTTCTGTCCCGTTAATTTTAAATTTATAACTTTCAGTAAACTATATGGTACGGCACTGGCTAAGCACTGCAATTTCCTACTTTTGCACAACCACATCCTATCTTAATTGTAGAAAATGAAATTGGCCCAGAAACAACATTTTCGAATTATTTTATCTACGATACTTCTCGGTTCGTAGCCGAATGTATATAATTATGATTACATATATAAATATATATATATTTATATATTATTTTAGAGCATACAAAGGGAATTCTTATTACAGTTATCGCGAATCTATTGCAGAGTTCGATACTCTTTACTGCATTTTCAGCTTTTTAATAACGTCAATATAGGTTACATATGCTATATATACGCAAAAGATATCTCATAGTAACTTTTATTACATTATTTATCCAAATTTCTCAATTTCAACATCATGATGACTAACCGTACGATGGAATTCTATACCTTATCTGAACTAACAGCTGCGGTAACGATAGTTGCAGAGGTAAGTGTCGTAATTTTATCCAATTAAAGTTATTTTAGATATTTTCTTTAAAAATATCTCGAAATATATTTAGGAGTATAAAAGAGCAGTTGTCATGTTTGATATTGGAATCGGTCCAGATCAATTTAACAAATCGAGGTCCAAATTCGTTGTCAAGTTGACGAAACTTTTCTTTCAAAGCAGCACCAATCCAATTGAAAACTATCAAATAAAGATCGATAAGATAACCGGGCAAAAAGATTCCAATAAAACCATGGTTACTTGGCATGTTAACAACTGGGTCAATATTAGAAGTGATGGTTTAACAGTGGCAGCAGGAGAGCAATTACTTAAAATGGGGCCGGAAGCGGTAGGAAAATTTTTGGGTACACCCTTTGTCGGCAAGGTACGAATATAAAATAGCAAGTAAACCGAACGAACCATCGACCGATGTACCTAAATGTCAATAGTAAATTTTGATGCATCGTGTATTTCATTAGGCGATGCACTATTTGATTGGCCGTCAAATACGTACAGTACATCATATTATAAAGCTAGTGGCTTGATAGATATGGATGGATACGTTTAAATTTAATCTACTTACAGTTATTACTGATAATAATCCCTAATACCATCACATAGATTCTGGGTTAAGGTAGTTACTAAACAAGGCAACTACAAAGTTCAATTTTAAAATATCAAATATGCAGTTGCCGATTTTCGTAACTGATTTAAAACCATTTCGATAAGTAATCATTTAAGAAATCCCTCCCTTTTAATATTTTGCAAATACTAATGCCAACTGTTATGGTCATAACGAAGTCAGCGAGTGAGTTATCCATACTTAGCCTTTATTTAACTCATGATCCTGAATCTGCTGATTATGGATTTGTATATACTACCATACTTTTGCTTTGCCTGCAGAGCCCATAAAAATTACGTTATACTCAAAATACGTACCTTAGTCTATTGATTTCATAAATAATGACATCGTAACACAGAAATAAATTCCAGTTTTGACTGTTTAATAACGCACTCTGCGCATTTAGAGCATCAATCCTCCCTCAAAACGCGCTACCATAACAAATTCATCTGCCGATGAATGATCTGAATTCCTAAATTATGATATTTTAAGCTGTAGTTGTTATCACGATGAAAAATGCGATTCGGTGGTATTTACCAGTGCGTATTTTTTCATCAGTCAACCTTGATCTATCACAGCTGATGCTAAGTTTGTAAAGTACACAATCAGTGCCGCTAGAGTACAGCACAGTACATTATAATTGAGTTCCTCCGCCTCTAGCACAGACTTATCCATTGGCAATTTCTCAATTGTGAATGAATCATGTCCATACTCTGACATTGTACGTACGGATAGTAATTAATAATTAATCAATGAATCATTCACAATTTACAGTTTCCTGTGGCCATCATGATGAATTCACAGCACTGCAAGTAAACGCTCTTTATTTAGCGGTGGACGAGCTTTCAGCACCAAACAATACCGTGCAGCACACGTTTGTACTGTACAAGTGTACAGTGTACAGTATAGTACACTTACAGTACTTACTTTACCGCAGTAACGCTGACTTACTGTACAGTACAGTACAGTACAGTACACTTACAGAGACTTACAGTACAGTGCTCGGTACTTGTATTGTACAGTACTGTAGAAGCGCATACAATAATTGAAGTAATTCTAAAACAGATATATATACGCAATTCCCACCTCCATAAGTTGTTTTCGAATAAATTCTTTTTAAATTTATCGAGTTGGGCCAAAATACCAAGGTAAATGGCCCCCAACAATCTTAATAAGAAAGACATCAAATATTTATAGAGGCTTACTCATGAAACCGATCAATAATGATAAACCTAATTATAATTAGTCAATTCAATCGAAGGAAAATTCAGCTTAGTACTGCCACAAACTCCAAGTACGGTACTGTATCCTATAAAAGTTCTCTACGGAGTAAATGTCTTCGGTTAAATAATCAATAAAATTATATCGGCGATATAAATAACGTTTTAAAACATCAACGTTAGAATAAGCACATGAATGGGGAACTGATCTACAACCTAAGTTCATTTAGTCAATTATAAAGTTCTTGCTGTATTCGGGAATTCATTCAGTAGTACAGCATAAAATTACTAATTACTTTAGTTTCTTCTCTCGAAAAAACTCAAGTTGTTTTACTGCAATCCCTGTAGAATCCCATCAACCTTTACTACTGCAACAGTTAAGTGTAGTAATGGTCGAATTGGAAATGTCGTTATGAATTGGTGATGACTGAATCATGAATGTTTAGATTACAATACACGTAAATCGGTAGTACCACAGTACGGTAGTTGGTATCACGTAATGTGTTTCACTGTGATATACTGAATTCGTACTTTTACTCTACATTGTAACATGGACTAGTAGAAGAAAACCTTCTTCTACTAGTCCATAACTGTACTGCAGTTGAAAAAGTCTTTTAACAAAATTAAAAGTGTATCGTTCATCATTTGATGTAATGCAGATTGCTGCAGTTTCGAAACGTTTACCGCACTGTATATATGTATCAATGATCAATAAGTCTGACATCGATTTTGCTGTACAATTGCATACAATGTAAACATCATATGAACTGCTAGTTAGTTGATAAGTGATCATGTGTTTACGTTATTATTATTAAAAGCATTCATATTCGTATTTAGCAGGACCATTTCTTTGACATTTTCATCTTTACCTTTCATAGGTTTTAACAGTATTCTCAAACATAGAAGCAAAAGCAAATAGCGGTAGCAGATTATGGACGATAGTTTTGTTAACAATGCTGGCCCTTGGAACTTTAATGAGTATTATAGCGGTCATTTATTACTTGGTTAGTAAAGTTAATTTGCTATTTATTATCTTAAGTCAATATTTCATCACAGAGTATTTCTTTCAGAAAATTTATGTAATAAAAATTTACGTTTACGTCTTACGTTTCAGCTAAGAACTGAAGAGACCAGTGCTACCATGACAGGCAACGGCGAAGCTGAAAAAGTAGAATATGGTACTTATAATAATGGTCTATCTTGTAAAGAAGACGAAGATAACGATAGTGTGTATGAAAACTTGGAATTACACATTAGAAAGGAAACGTGCTCTTAAGTAGTAACGTATAATTATGTATACCATTTCTAATTACTACAATCATCGTTCCGATTGATCAAATACTAGTGTTAAGATTTAAGGGTTATGCGTAGTAGGTAACTAGTAGAATTGCGCTGCGCTCCTTGATCCATTTGTAGTACAGTAGATTAAGCTGTGCGGTATTGGCACAAATCACACTTTTTAGAAATCGTGAGCAAAGGTTCACTCCGAGCTTCCTTCAGCCTGAATTCAAGATTTCACTTCTTATTAACACTAATTGTTGTAGCGGGTGAATTGTGCAAGTATTATCAATTAATTTAAATAATCAGAAAACAAATTAAGTTGCCTTAGATTTGCTAAATAAATAATATAATATCCATAATAAATGCAGCGTAGTATGTTATTGTGTGAGATTAATTTCTTTTTTCATATGCTGTAAACAAAACAATAGGTCTTTACATATCGCTATACTTGCAAACTATAGCAGGAAGGTGCTTTGGACTTCGTACCTTAATAGCTTACGATGAAAAGCAAGCATAAAATACCTTTCAAGTTTTCGGTTTCGTACCGCACAACAGCTATCGTATAGTATTCACTTCGGCATTGAATCTGTACTGAGTCCTTATAGTTTAAACTTGATACCATAGAGGTTTACCTCTAAATTTGCTACAAAATAACGTCGCATCTATTTTAACTTAGCGGATCCTATCCAAAATAAAAGACATTCATTAAAACTACAATTAGACCATTATGAACTGTCATATTATAATTTTTCGGTCATAATTTTAATGACATGTTTAGGGTATAATTAACTGCAATAATGACTGATGAATTAAAATCCTCGATTTTCCCTTCACTTAATTTAAATGAGGCCTTTGGTAGCTCGATACAGTTGAGTATTCGTATCGTAATGCATAGCAAAAATTAATAAACATAGCTACAAGTGTCGCGTATAACTGATTGTTTTGATTTACCGTAGCCTACTAATAACGGGTTTCAAATTTTTCATGACTGTATTTCCTTATGTCAGTCTAATAAAATGATATGGTAACTGGCAACCCTAAATAAAATAAATAAATGAAATTCAATTAATTAAATAAACATCAGCAACCGTCATAGGTCATGCAAGGTGTAAGATATCGCACGGAAATGCACGCTATACATTACATTGATGATATATTACGCAACTTAATTCAAGTACTGCTGTACAGTATATTAATGATATATAATATTATCATTATCATTTTGTACTTGAAGTGAACGGCAATGTATCAAAGTACAGTATAATGCACCGGAAAGGCTCCGATTCGGAATGAAGTTCAATACCGACATTACTGGTTACAGGCACTATGGTAAGGTTTAAGGTTTAAACCGTAGAAGATAAAAAGCATATTGCAATGAAACTTTCAGGGCAGAGTCAGACTGCAAAATTTGCGTTTGACAGAACACTTCCGTTTGGTATACAAGTAAGCTAAAAGGAGGGATTACTTCTCTCTTACTGTACTCTACCAGACCAATTAATTTTTCATTTCATTTTAGCCGTAAGCTGCTAATGTCATTTTAAATGCGCAGAGTACAGAACGGCTGCTGGGCTGAATGGCGCATGACGAGAGTCGCACAGTTTGACAGTGCTGTAGTGTACAGTATAGTACAGTACAGTAGAGTACAGAGTATAGTACCGAAGGTTTGTGCGCTCCCATTTTTTGAGTTTCGCCACGAACGCGAAAGCGCTAAAAATCGATGTCCATTTTATCGACGTATCTTCATCAACTACTTCAGTGATCACAGCTTTCATTGGTTATTGAAATTCCTTTTAAGTTAAGTAAAATTATTAACGATGTAATAGGGATGCAATGAATTTTTCACTTCCCCAAAAATCATATTATCTGTCAATCAAATTCAAAATTCATTTTTCAATATGCTGAATTGCTGATACTGTAGTTATCGTTTCAACGCTTCGACATTTCGACTGCAAGCTGGAATGATATGTACTGTACCAAGTCTGACACGTGCTGTCAATTTATCCAATCATATGGACGCATTCCCATGATCTCCTAGGCACATGATCCTGTATAAAAGTAGTGACTCAAGAAATTGCTATATAAGAATCTCCAACACGCCTTCAAGAAAGATAAAACTCCAATTCTGATTGCCTGGCTGGTTGGTACAGTACCTGACAGAGTAGAGTACTGCGCCACATTTAGAGTACAAACAGTACAGTATAGTGCTACTGTTCCTGTGGGCTCCTAGCGCACCATACAAAAACTACATATCTGCAAGAGTCGAGTTTTATTTGCTGGCAAAGTTACAGGATTGACTGAATATTTGATTAGGTATTTATTATTTACGTCCGAAATCTGAACACATAACAATCGCATCAGTTGTTGCCTCACAACGGTATCGTACCGTATTGGAGCCTACTTGAAGGTGCAATTGTACGGATACACGCAAGACTGAAAGGAAAGTGCGTCATTCGGATCTTACACGACTGACAATACTGTACTTAACCGTTCGTCCTCAACTTGAGTCTCCATTTTTTGGAAAGATTTGTTTGGTGTGAGTTGGTTTCTTTTTACACTAAGATCCCTTCCGCTATGCATTCTGAGGTTAGATTCGTAAATTGTAATAAAACTTCATGAATTGATCTCACCGCCTAATCATTGAATGATGATACCATGGTACATTTGACTATTTGGTTATGTCTGTATTTTTTCACTGCAACGAAATGCTGAAATTCACAGTAGTTTACAAAACCTGCAGACTTTTTTATCTTTAGCCAGTGATTGGTTGGAGAGACTTGTTTAGTGCTAGCTATTTCCACAGTCTCGTAGATCACGTAACAGTTTGAAATGATAGTCCGCACAAGTTTAGAGCATTAAATGCTTTATTCAAGGGCTTAGTTTCCTTCAATGATTCAGAAATGAACGGTATGCTGTTGAAATGGATACAAATGTTTTGGACTCGATGCGCTTGCGACATTAGAAAGTATTGTATTTACAATGACTGTATATGGACTGTTCATTTTCTCATGGACGTCCTGTAAAAATTTTTTGTGACATTGTTAAAAGCCTATTCTTGTGTTAGATATCCAAAATGAAGCCAGAAATAACTGTAGGCGCGATCTAATTTGTTTTCTTCTTTGCACTTGTCACTTCATTCTTAGAGTTTTGAAAGTCGAGACAGCAATGAAAGCCCTTTTCAAAGAGCGCTAAAATTGATTTCTCCCATAGGAGATGGAAGAATTGCAGGTAGGTACCCAGAATAAAAAGTAATATCAACTGCTGCATATTGCAGTACATCACACGGTGGAACTGCGAATTGAGTTTGACGCATATATCTAATGAAACCTCTTTTGAAATTCTCATTTCTAACAACTTCATCTCTTATTGTTTCCGTCCATTTAATATTTTCCGGTATGAACAAAATAGCTGCGAATTCTGCACATTCTGTGCATTCAAGTGATTTCCTGAGAATTGACAGCAATGGAAGTCACTCGACCAGTAATAATAACCATCAAACTCAACAACTTACTCTTCATCCCTGGCTTAATCAGCATAATGTGGAACCAATGATCGAAGGAGCATGGCCTTCGCACAAAGTATAAAAGTTATTAATGAAATATTTTTAATAAATTTTTTCATCTTTTTTTAAACGCTTTGAAAATGTCTGGTATTTATTGGCCTTATTTTTCACTTCAGTTATCACGTCGAGTATAGTATATATATATATATATATGTCCATGTACTTGTCCATATATATATATACAAATATAAATACCGGTACTACAAATTTGTTCATATGCTTTTTATCAAAACTTCTCTTTTGATTATAATTTAATATATTTAATTTCAGCTTCAAAGAAATTTAAGTTTCACTTCAACTGACTTGGTTAACTATCAGAATGGATTTGGCAGTACTGAAAATAATATTCTCGAATTTCACCGTGAGTATTCATTTCTGTAAAGTATGAAAACTCGGTCAATATAAATTCCATCACGAAAATTCGACCTTGTTAATTAAAGTATTTATAAAAAATTTTTCCTAACTGCTTTATTCCTTCCTTATACAATTTATGACAGCCACTGGTGGCTGGAGTTCAGCTATTACCCGTGGCTTTTGCAGTGAATCCTCACCGAAGTTACGAGATGATCCTTCAAGGCAAGGTGGCAAAGGATTAGCGCGTAAGAATGAACTTAATTAATTAATTTTATAAACGTAGAGTCTAGTCAAGATTTAGCAATTATCCTCGGTGCACTTGTACCATATTAGGAAATGATTCAAAGTTTTAATATACTGTAAAAATTGTCAACCCTACCAAATTTTGTTACTTTACACTATATTTTTATGCATACATGCCATGCATTAATGTATAAATCAATATATCGTCGCCAAGTACAATGAAAGATATTGTGTTTTTAATTAGTAAGAGTACCCATGATTAGCAGTCGTGGTTGATCTAATGCTATACAACGTAATCTTTTTAGAATCATGCGACCCTAAGATCACTTGGCACGGTAGTTTACCTAGAAAAATTCTTATCGAGCCAGAATACTCCGTTAAGGTTTTCATTGGTGGGGTGCCCTGGGATATTACAGAAGGTGTGCAAAGACTGATTTAATTTACGCTTAATAGTAGTTATCAGACAACAAAACTGCAGGTTTCTCTGCTTGAAACCTTAAATTAAGGTGTTGATGATTACCGCTTAAAAAAAATTTTGTGTCCCTTGAGTGGTATAGTCCATTGTTTAAAAGTTCAAATTGTCTATGATCCATTTCCTTTCAAGAAATATTGCTCTTAACCTTATTACTTTATTAAAATAGTTGAATTGTTGGCCTCGTTTGGAACCTACGGTAATGTTACAGTCGAATGGCCGGGCAAAGATTGCGACCATTCCAAACATCCTCCGAAAGGTTTATATTTTTAGACTCTCATGACATGATTTACAAGGTGAAAGTATCTAAAAAATTAATAATCGCGCATTTGACTGAACTTAGGGTATGTCTACCTGATTTTTAACTCGAGCGAGTCTGTTAAGAAGTTACTTCAAAACTGCTCGCGCTCAGATGATAAATATTATCAACTGGTATCCAGTAGACAACGAAAAAGCAAAGAAGTGCAAGTAATCCCTTGGGCATTGAATGATAGCAATGCATTAAGAATAGCAAGTTCCCGACTGGATATAGATAAAACGATATTTGTCGGTGGATTACATGGCATGTTGAATGCAGGTAACTTCTTAACTTTATCTGCCCTACATGTAGAATCGCATAAAAATAGATCCCTGCTTGCTGTGGGGAACCTCTTCCCACTATTGGTTAACTCAATATATATTACAAAGTGAACTTCGAATAGCAATATCCAAGGCTGGCAAACCTTTAATTTTTTATTTTCTTACAGACGGTCTTATGCACATCATGGATGATCTGTTTGGCGGAGTTGTCTATGCTGGCATAGATACTGACCAATATAAATACCCAATAGGTGGTAGCTTTAAAAAACAAAAAATTAAATCAAAATGTTAATTTATACCGCTGCAATAATTACGAAATATTAATGATTTTAGGTTCTGGTCGGGTGATCTTCAGTAATCGTAAATCCTACATCAAAGCCGTAAATGCTGCTTTTGTAGAAATACGAACTAAAAAGTTTAAAAAACGGGTATGTACGGTACTTTTAACCTAATAACGATCACTAGGAACGTTTATTTTGAAACCTTATGATGTATTTCTTGAAGTGATTTAATGCTCTATGTATGTAGATACAACTGGATCCTTATTTGCGAGATGCTATGTGCACTCAATGTCATAAAGCCCCAGGCCCATACTTTTGCCGCGATAGTTTATGTTGGGCATATTATTGCAAAACGTGCTGGAATTTGCGACATAGGCCAGCGTCATTAGCCGACCATAGAGCTATGAAACGGACAAGTAATAAGACTAAATCAAGGCCTATACCCAGATAAAAAGGAAAGCCTGTTGATGTCGTAAAGAGACATTTATTATTAAAGTACTTTGCCCGCTTTGCTTGCGTAATGTTAAGGCAAACGGATGTAGTGAAATTTAGTTTTAGCATGTACTCTTCGATGTATGTCGAGTATTGTATCGTGTCGTAGATACTGACTTACATGGCTATTCGCATCTCATAGTTTGCTATTAATTTTCTTGGGAGTTTTTGATCTAATCTTGGTCATCCGGCTAAATGTAGCTAGTAGAAGTGACTATAGTTTTTATATATTGCAAAGTTTATTTGTAATAAATTTTATTCAGGTTGCTGTTTATTACCTATTATAATACATTAGCTTTATAACGCTATACGTGTTTTTATGTATCAGGTTTACGTTTTAGATTAATTATTCGTTGGTACATAACTTTTATAGTGCAGGGTTAAATTACTATTAATCTTTATTAGTCTTGAGTTTAAGAATTTGTGTAACATGATAAATATTAATCAATTCTTTACAATAAATGATTAAATTATGATGGCGATTCTTTATTCGAATATCAATAATAAGAATCGGCGACGAAGCGTGACAGCAAGTACGATACCACAATGCACATTAGATTAAGAGGATTTCCCTACAAATCACATTAAAATCAAGGTTTAATTTTACGTTAATATTTAGCGAGTTTGTGCTTACATACAGTATAAATAGCTTACATAAAATTTAGATGCGGAGTGAGCAGCGGAAATGTCAGTTGCTCAAGACTAGTTATAAATTACCTGATAAATACTCGTCTCTGCACCGTCAGTTACATTTCTCGGATTTAGTGGACACTCAGAATTAAATTGCAAACTATCCGATGTGGATACCTCTTGAGCAATCCTGCATTACAAGGGCAAGTAATTAAATTATAGGCCGAGATTACCAATCAGCAGAACTACATGTAGCACCGTAACATGCTGTGGTTACTGCAATTAATTAATGAGTTATACTCCTTTAGTAGTGAAAATTGCTACTCTGCACTGCGCCGTAAAAAGTTAACAATAACTCCATGTTTTCATAGTAACGATACACTAGCACTACATATTAAAATATATAAAGATCATTTGTACTTAACTTTATTATGATATCAGCTTAAATTGAATACTCAATACGCTAAATTTGTAAGCTCGTAAGCCATTCAAGTTTGTAAAATAAACTTTCTCAAAAAATTTAACATTGTCATTGTACCTTATTTTTCTTGCAACGTCCGAAGTCAGCATTGTAGAACCAAACAATCTAAGGAACCATGACTTTAACACGCCATCTTTTCGAGATCCTAAAATTTTTAAATTGCAATGAGAGTGCATAGCATTGATACAGAATAAATATAATGTAATGTACGGGACATCTAAACTAGTGGTGAGCTATTAGTTGCTCATAAGATGAAATGTATACCTGTGTAATATTATATAAACAGTAGTAAATACCGTACTTTGTTAATTAATTCAAAGCGACAGTAGTTTTATCAAGCTTACAGTTAATCTCAAATTGCGAATGGCTATAACCGCCTAATCAAGCTCTACTAAATAGCTACGTTAAAAAATAAAAATAAAACTGCAGTATAAAGCCGTAGTGAATGTACGCATCTACGTTTGTTTCTGATAATACTTGCATCAGCGTAAGAGATAAATCTAAATTTTGTTTTCTCTCAATATGCTACTTCCGTAGACTATTATATGGCTGATTACTACAGCATTACGGTACTACCATTTATAAACAGTAACAGTGCAGGATATTAAGATTTACTTACCAGTATCTACTATTCGTAGTTCCCATAAGCCGTAGGGACTTTCACCCCAGCATCTAACAGTTGAAAACTCCCAATTATTAAATCCTTCCCTGGAACTGTATCAAAATCAATGTAATGAAAATTTCTATTAATCCGTAATCAGGTAACAAGTAAATGGCGCAGAATGTATCATAATATTTGACGTTGAATTTTATTAAAATCAAGAATGAGTTTACTGTACGAACTTATCAGTAGTCCTAGAACTTGCAAGTTTCGCTTCGATCCCGCTCGGACATCGTATATAAATCTCTATGTTACCTCTAAACGAGTGTTCTAAATGAACCTAGAAGAATCAGCATAGAACAATTTACAATACGTTAGGAAACTATTGAGGAAGTCTACCTGATTATTGTAGTTAGGAGAGACTATTTTTCCATTGACATATTTTTCACTTACAGACACAACAACGTGCTCAAGGGTATACACTAGGCCCGTAAAATTAACATTAACACTGGAAGTATGGGTGTTATTAATTAGTACGTGGCCCGAATCTCCTATATAATTATCGGATTGCCATTGTTGAGAAGGAGGAAGATTTTCCCAAGTCTATAATTACAATATATAACGGAAGTATAGCTATGTTAATCAATTCATGCTTTGGAGTTTGACCACAAAACAGGAAAGAGCAGCAAGCAACATTCAAGAGTAAGCGTAAATCTTCAGCTACGTCCAGATTTAAAATTTATCGTTAATTCAACCACAGATGATGTGCATTCATATTGTAAAACTATAAAATTAGAATAAAGAACATAAGGACTACCGCAGCTAGTTTTACAGCATTCCATGCGCTGATTAAGCCAAATCCGAAGAGAGGGTGGTGATGGAAACCTGCCGTATTTGTCATCCAGCGATTATCATTAGCTCGAATCTGTAAACAGCAAAAGCGTCAAAAGTGTAATAAGACTTGAATGATTTCAATTAACAAGAGTTTCATAGTATTTTTCTTATATTTTATAACACCTTAACAGACGACAGTGCAATTATATATTGGACATCCCTCCATGTCAGGCAAAAACTTTTAATAAATAACAGTCGAGGCTTAGTATTTAGAAGTTTACTGGCATTTTTTATCGAATTACAAGTAATCAATCATTCTATAATACACTTAAACGCACTTTGTTGACAACATCAGTGCTACTATCCCAGCGGCCATTGGAGCCGCCGCCGAAGTACCGGTAAATGACCTTGTGCAGCCAGAATTCCTATCGCTTTTCCAATCAGTTGTTGTCTATAATTAATGAAAATCATCAGAATTAAATTATTAGAATTAAACGGCAAATACGGCATGAATTCGATTCACCCTAGACGAATATTTACTTATTACATAAAAATTAGTATAATATCATTGATAATTTCTTACAATACTTGCTGAACCGGAGCTACCACCAAAAGCAACGGCATGCATCGCTGAGCAAGGCTCTGAATAAGGAGTTGGACTTAAATTTTCAGTAACTGCACCTAATATTAAATAATGAATAGCAAATATAAAATCTGTGGGTAATGAATATTTTTAGCATACGCACTCTTACCAATTGTCAACGTGTATACTGAGTTGGCAAACCCATCGTAATTACAATCGTCCAGAGTGCCACCATTACCAGCAGCAACCACAAAAATGTTGCCTAACTTTTTCCTCCCATTCGTAACTCCAGCCAATATTGCTTTCTGTAATATTTCGGTAAATCAACAGTAGAGTTTAATTAAAGAAACGATTTCGCAACCATATTTACTGCTATAAAAGGCAGTGGTAAAATTAAAATATAAAATAGAGTAACACTTTTGTAAGTTCTCGAGGTCCATCAACAGTTTTGCCATCATCCAATGGTCCCCAACTTTGTCAATATCATAAGTATAAATTTCATATAATCACCGTCAAATTATTTTGGCCAATATTAGTATGCATACGTAAATGATGATCGCGATACAGTATCTATGAATTGAAAATAGCACCTGTGTGCCATGGCCAGTGCAAGACTACTTGTGCAGTTAATAAAGAATGCATTAAAAAAATTCTGTTAACCTGCAACTGTAGATATCATTGGTTTGTGATTTAGTGCTGAAAGCGGCGGATTCTTTTGCATCGGTAGTGGTCGTATCTAGTAAACGTATAGCTAAGAGATTGCCGAAAAGAAGCCAGATTAATAACTTGTTTAAAATATTTACTTTTGTTGTAAAAAAGAGAGCTTAAACATCGCATGCACACTTGTGCAAGATCTGCAATACTAAGGACTATCTTTACAAAATACAAGCTATACAAGAAATAAAGATTGTAATTTATTCCATTACTTAAACTGCAATAGCAAAGTCATTGTGGAGAGATAGAACAAATACTCGTAGTTGCAATTGGTAGCAAAGCTAAATAGCCTGATTTCGAAACTTTATGATATAACTAGCTATTGATTTGAATTTGTAGTAGTATAACGCATATAGATGCCGAAATTTAATGCACCTGAAAATTTTGATCCATAAGCTACCCCCACACCACAGTATTGATTGGTTACTGCTGAAGCAACACCAGCACATCTACAATGAGATTTTATCATTGAAGATTATGGTAGAAAAAGCCTTACGATTGCATTAAAAATGCGTATAAAAATCTAAGGATAATCTGCAGTGATTAACAACTAATTTACTTTACTCAGTACCTAGTACCATGGTAATTAGTCTGTGGATATGCAAATGCAGGTACCGGATCGTCATCATTATCGATTACGTCCCAGCTCCCTTTTGGCTCCTATTAGTTTACCATCAGAATTTTTATCAATAGATGAAAGTAGCAGTATATTCACAATATAGTTTGCAACTGACTGCTTCATAATTTTGGCTACATGTTGTCCTAGCAAGACTACAATTATAACTGGATCGTAGGAAATGCAATGCTACACTACAGACCTAATTTATCAACAAAGTTAAAAACACTTTTAAATCTAATCCCATTTATAATAAATACTATCAACTTCGCGACAAGAGTTATAGTAACTATTTGTTAAGATCGAATTTAAGGCATTAAATTACACAAATGTTGTATTAATTCAGTCACAGGCATCCATCAGCTAAATCTAATAATGGACGCTAAGTATTCTATTACGACCATAACGCATATTTTGATAAGGTAAGCAGTCATGCTCACTAATTGCAGCAGTATGCAAAATTCCACTTACATAATTATCTACTAGATCTTCATTTTTCCATTGAACACCTACGCCCATCAGAGTAGAAGGTAAATCGTTATTTCAACAAACAGTTGACAATGAATAAACAAAGTATTGCATAATTAACACAAAACCAGCACAAAAATATAGCGGTAAACTAGATTTGATGATTTAAAATCATTATCTGCAATCGGTAGGTGGATAACGGTCCCGCTCAAGAGACTGTTACTGTTCCAGGAAATTGCACTTTATAGTTTGTTTCTTAAATCAAGCTACTGCATTAACGATCATAGAAAAGTTCATTGTGGGATTCTACTTATATCTATGATTATAAAGCTAATCATTACAATTGCTTTCTCAAAAAGTACTATAAATGTACTATAAATTGTACACTGTAAATGTTGGTAAGGTGCTGTGCCTCACTGTTCATAACGAAATTTTAAGAAAAACCTGTTCAACATAAACAATTATTATACGAAATGTTGTAATCGAAGCTAATGTGCTGAACGAGGTTACATTCTCCATTCAATAATAATGAAGTTTATAGTCTAGAGTTTTCCAGGAGATTTCACTATCTTATAGTAATGAGCTATGTAATGTAATTTAACTCCACTCAGGGTACATGAATAAAGATCACCGAGCCCTGGTGCTTCAAGCTTACCATCATCTATGATAGCGACGACGACATCCTTCCCGGTAATATTATGATTCCAAACATTTGTCACGTTAATATCATGATTTGGATCTCTTAAGTTATGCTATGATCAAAGGAAAGTTGTTAGTAATAAAGAAATAATCTCACAGAATGTAAATCCATGCAGTTGTAAGATTGAGAAGAGATTAAATATAGGAATAAAATATTTGCAATGAAAACTTGTGTTATACTACAGTATGTCTCGTATTGATCCCAAAGCATTCTTTGGGCCGAGTCTCCCAATCATAGAAGGACTACAGGTAAGAGAGTACAGTTTGAAATCAACAGTACTCCAGGTAAAAGCGCACTATTGTAAACTAAACTACTTACTCTATTTCTGAACTATATCGCGCTTAAATAAAATGCGGTAACTTGTTTAGCAGCATTATGGAAGTACGAGTGCTACACTCAATAAGACGTAAAAACTAGATGAGGGTTAAAGGTAAAATTTTTCCTCTATCATTTCCCAATGATGTCAATAAGATAAAGTAGTAGATTCTCTTCAAGAAAAAAAGTCAGATTAATGTAAAACTTTCTTATCGAATTGATTGGAATACTGTGCAGTCTCATTAACGAAAGAGAGAGATGATTCGCACCGGATGCCATCTAACTGAAAGTAACATTCTTTAATTTTATAGTAAAGGATAGAAAAGATCATGCCCTTACCAGATGCCATTGATCAGGATAAAATGGATCAGGAAAGTTTATAGGGCTTTCAACTTGTCGTTTATGTCTAACTAGATTCTCTTGTAGCTGATGCCATTGAATGAAAGGATGATTCTGTAACTTCTGATTGAGCTGCAATACACTATGGCCAGCATGAGAATCCACTGATGAATAGTATAGATAGTAGTTAGCTAATTCTCCAATACGACCGTAGAGTTTCAACGAATATTGGCTGGCAATATCGATGGCTACTTTGTCTAGATACTCTACTGAAGTAGCTTTGATTCTATTGCTGTCTTCTTTCAACTGAACAGCCCACCATTGAACATTCGACTCTTTACTCAACGATGCGATTGGCCAAGAAGATAATAAGACCAAAACAACGATCTGTCGTAGCAAAAGCATAATTATTTTGTGTTGTACCCAGATCGTATTATTGAAAATAAAATGAAAGGGAAATCTAAATTATTTTGTCGATTGACTGATTGACGTCCACTAGTAACTTCCTCGTCAAGAACAACAACAATCCAGGAAATAGCCAGTAAAAATGGATGATTTAATTGGACTGGATAACATCCAACGTGGTCGAAATTGCTAAATTAAGCACTACACAGAAGCGATACAGTCATCCAAATATATCAACAGCTTCCTAATTTATATAGACTAGTTTACAAAACCAAATCTCTCTCTTGACTAGGCAAATAAACCAACGAGGATGTCGAAACGATCCAACTTGGTACAAGCAGCAATGCAGTTTCAATGGAAATCAATCAATGAAATAATATTCTACACTACGTAAGTCATCGCATCCGATGTTTTGGTAAATCAATGATAGACTAGTTAAGATCGTAAAATCGATCCAGGATAACTATCATGCAGTCAAACCAGGCCAACTTTAGTGCTATCCTGCTACAATACTCTAAACACTGTTCTCAGTAGGTTCTGTTGAGATTTTCCCTTCCAAGTCTCTTGTTATAGACATCGAAATCGAGAAAGAAGAAACTGCTACTGGCGAGCGTAGTAGCGGCTAGTATAAATGAATTATCAAGAACTGGGACGAAGACGACGACGCTTAGAGGAGTGCAACGCAGACAGCCATCCTGACTATAGTTATTTCTATAGACGCTTCAACTTGGCAATGTTGGAGCTGGAAAAATCAGTGCTGATACAATACCTAGCCAGTAGATCATCGATTACTATAGGATACAATATAGAAATGGTAAACGATGGAGTAGACTATAGTGTGCACAATCACATCCATACAGTCTATGATTCAGTATAACAGTGAAACTGGATGGAGACTTAAGTAAGGGCTCATCGCACAATCCTCAAGATGGTGTCCAAATCTTGCAAATTCATTTTGCAAGATTTGGACAATTTAAATTATTATCCTAAGCAGTGGGAAGAAAGCCAATGGAAGGATAAATGTTAAATTTATATAAATAGCTTGGCCAAAGTAATATTCAAGATAGTGGCTATAATGTCTAGTTCAATCCTACATTGACTGCAATATGGAATTGGACTAAGAAGAAATGTCATTCGAATCCCCCCGGCCACCAAACAAAAATATTCAGTATTTGTAGCCATTCAGAATTGCATCTATTTTGTTATGATTGGAAGTCTCCATTTTAATCGCTGTAATGCAATTCTTGAAGATGTCAATCATATCATGTGCAGCAGCATTTTCCATACTATACGATGATATAAATAAGGATAATCATTTCATCAGATTGGAGCATTCTTGCGCCAAATGTCCAACTTTGGAGTTTGAATCCTATATCTTCTTCATTCCTTTTTAAGGTCATCAATCAAAGTAATCATTTATCTGCGGACATTTCGAGCATCCTTCATCGGTGCCACCAGCCGGTAAACATCACATACGCTTACAGACTATTTCAGTGCTTGTGATAGGCTTGCAATACAGTTGCACAGGACAACATACTAGATTTCACCGATTTAAAGTCTGTAGTCTGATCAATTTGCAACTTGCAGCTGTCTACTTACAAAGCAAACTCACTCACTCAGTGTATCCATTCTTAAGCTGCTAATGAAGAACACGGCTAAGATAGTGGTCATGTCTACCGACAACTGACTGTGCTGTATATCCGGATGGTACATCTCATAGGATAATCAAATCTATAATACTTTACTACTCTTCATTACAGTATGCGTATTATTCACGTTATTTTATTTTGATCTTTACTTAAACATTCAACATCCTGGGTTGCTTTAATTTCCCCCTCCATGAATAGCATAGTTAAGTTCTGTCTACATGCACATTGATCAATTATAGCCATCAAAAACTTGTGATAATGAAGCAATGATAGCCGTGGTTATATAAAATAGAAACTTTAAAGTAACTTTACTACATCTGCTCAATTAAAGCTTTTTATTATGTAATCTAAAAGTTTTATAATTCATAATTACACGCAATCAACAGATACCATTTCTAGACTGTTACAATCTATGTATCTGATTTTAGGAATTTTTCCTAAAGAAATTATGGCGCTTTAGGCGTAAAAGGTGCAATATTAGCGACGTCAGACACGGCCACGATTAGCCAAACTATCGGATTTCGTAGCGTAGTACTTAAATTGGGTAGATATCTTGGAATTTCCTGACTTGGGATATTTTACACAATTTTCTTCATCAGTACTCCAAAATGTTGTCAAGTCATGATAAATTTTTTGGCGTCGAAAAAATGAAATATCGTAACATAATTCACAAAATGCTTCTGACATTTTCATCCGTACAATGGTATAATTGGCTCTCCATTGAAAATATTGATTATATAAGCTATCATCTTTATCAACTTTTAGAATATATTGGCTCAATTCTTCAATATTCTTGAAATCGAACGCATTAATATACGATCCTGGTGGAGCCACTTGTGGGTCTTGATAATTGGCTCCTCCTAGCACAATAGGAACCATATCGTAGAGTAAAGCATTGGCATAGAATTTCTCCGTGACATAATCCTTACAAACTTTATTTTCAAAGCTGAGATAAAATTTATATTGTCGACCCAACCTCTTCCAACAACCTTTAGTTCTGGGGCATGATAAATTACCACATTTGCCGTATTTATCAACTTGCATCAGCCGACTTAAACGATTTATAAACGTAGTTCTTTCAGGATAACATTTACTAGAAGCCCATGCAACTAGCTTCGTCTTGCCCTGAGCATAATTGCGGTTAGGATCAAAACCATCCCTAAATTGGCCAGGAACTACCTGACCATATCGATAGATAACATCGGAATCGGAGGTATAAGTCATGGTCACATTAAATAGTCCATTGATCTCTTTAGGTAGATGACCGTTAGTCAAGGATGTGGAAATCATTGGATTCTCTAAGTTATGATAAACCCATTTTTGCCCATAGGGACGGCTTCTAAGTATAGGATAATCATGAATATCTCTCACTTGGTAAGATGATCCATGAAAAACTACAGCATGACTTCGATAATAATCTCCTCTATCTTTCGTTATAATACATTCTACACCGTAATCTTTACATTTAAGGTTACCAGCTGCAATTGGCCAATCAAATGAAAACCACGGCGTCCAAAACAGTATCAAGGGTTTATTCTTCTTGAAAAATTTTATAGACGATGAAGAAGCTTTAAAATCTATGGTTACAGTTATAAAGTATACAAAAAATATTATTGTAATTATCACCACGGCCGCACATGCTAAGAATCGATCAGAGCGATTACTAGCTGCTTCCTTCTTGCTCATTAGAAACTCAATAAACTCGATAAATCGAATAGAAATAAATAAAAAGAAAGCTGTATTAATAATTTCGATTGCCAACCTGAGTTAATAGAGCATCAATACTGTGCTATACAGTATACGTTAATGATAATTTGAATACAGCGAAAGAGTTAACAATAAGATGTTAAAATAGGGATCAAATACTATTATTACTGCAGTTTACGTAAACCACTAATGCCAAATCATCACGTATCCCTCTTTAGGCTATAATTAATTTATAATGTGGAGACAATTTATAACATAATGTAGCTAAGTACCGTATTCAATTGGAAGTTTAGGATAGCAAATTACAGAATTTATTTCTTAACTTTATTTATTAGGTTATTTCACGTAATAAAACAGTTGTATAAGAATCAAATTATTCAAGGACAACAATTTCTTACAATCGCATTATCATATAGGTAATGCCACCATGTATATTAATCGAAGAATCTGTAATTAAAAATCCTGAGAAATTGTCCGGCCAAATTAAAGCTTCCCTGATAGCAGCAAAGCATTCGATGATAAATTATCCACTGAAATTTTTTATAGCATGTGTCAGTTTTAAACATTGGCACATTTTAATTTTTCCAAATTTAGCGCGATAGTTTGACATATGTTAGCATACGATGTAACGCCTCAAATAACAATATACGCAGCCGTAATGAATACTTTTTATCATTGAGATATAAAAGTACGCGGAGCTGATAAAGTATAGACGTAAAAAGAAATATATGGAAAAAATTGAACTATCACATGATGCCTATTTAAGTATTACTATTGATAAGGAAATTTCCTGAGAATATTTCATATATAATTTTACTAAATGCACACAAGTTTATAAAATCCAGATATAACATCATTACAACCAAAATCTATACTACTGAAACAAGATAAAGACTGAATAAGGTATTAAAGTACGTAATCTAATCAATCATTGATTATTCTACTAATAACTGATATGTGAGTGAATTATCGTTAATTTATCAAATTTCATATCGCTCGGAAGGTAGGCTACTAAAATTTATAAAATTCATATATTATACAAGCACATTTCGCACTAAATCCCTAATAGATATAATTGCATTCCTAAGCCTCAAAATTAATATTATTCACGAAAGCTACCTTATCAAATTTAATGTTTAATCTTGTAAATTATTTTACGAGGAGGCGTAATATTTATTCTAGAAGCGCTTTTATTTACACACAGAGACTTAAATGTGGACACACTCAATAAAGCTTAGACTATAATTTTGATAATACTTATCGATCATATTTATGTCCCAATCAATATTCACAAGGTATAAAAACTGATGGTTATATAATCACAATCATAAGGCTAAGCTAATAAATCGTTATAATCACCCTACGTGTATAACGTAAGCATCGCTGTAATAGAATATATATGCAGGGGAATAACCAACGGATTCGATCTTTCCCGGGGAATGACCGATTCCCGGGATTGACCGTAACATTATTATATCGATAAAATAATTCGAAGCTCTTTTTTTGTAAGATGGGTACTTTATTTACATCAATTGTTACATATATTTAAAAAGTACCTGCGACTCATTATGATTCGAATAAGTAGACAATTTCTTGAAAAAGCGAAAATGTTGTGAGTTGTATAAATTATATAATTTATGCATTAGTACAATGCATTTGATCTTTTAATCTATACTACTTATGACGAGCTATGTTTAAACATTAGCTGGTAAAGTTACTCTTAATAGGGTGGTGTAGCTCATTTATTCTACGACCTGGTGAAGAACTTAATTTGCTCCATGGTACTGTAGATAATAGAGCATTTCTAAACTATTGATACTCTTACATCAAATTAAATAAAAATGATATGTAATACTGTTCTAGAGTAGTAAGAATTATCAAGGAACTAAATATCACTTGAAAGTTAATGTTAAGCTTTATAATTACTATTATTTATAGACGTATGTTTTCGTACATCATTTATAATGTGGCTTAATATGAAATCTTTAAAATTTTTCTAGTACATTCAGAAGGCTAATTATATGTGCGGTACAATCTATATAGTCATAGATATGTAGTTAATGTTCCTAATACACATAAATTAGTGATTAAGTACAATATGTATCAATTCCTTTGCAAATGCCAACACATCATTATCAACATGCAAGGTATCATATGGTAATGAATCTCTGTTACAAGGTGTATTAGCGACGTTTGATACCGTTCGTATTAACTAATTATTAATTAATCATCCTAGCTATATTAGAATTCAGGAGATAGCTTGGGCGAAATTGGGCCAGTAAAGTGGCGAGGCCCAATAAGTCCGTCTGATTTTTCTCTAAAAACGTAAGCATTAAAAGTCATAATGTTGTAGCACCACAGTAACGTTTAATAAGTTTGTAATCGAAACAAGTATTAATTATTATGTATTATCAACTTACACTTCTGGCTCTAATTGTTGGATTACATTGTCGACATATCGATTGTCTATAGAATCGTCGAAAGAAGCCAAGTATCTGTATAAATCGAGAAACAATGAAAAAATAATGCGATCTGGACCACCCTCTTCATCTTTAGTTAAGATTGAGCATGCAATTTTCATAGTTTCAGTTAAATTCTGTTATAAAGTTTAAAAAGCATATTAGATATAATTTATAGATTTACAGTCTATCTATAAAGATTAAATATTTAATCTTAAGAATATCATCTAACATTTTAAGCTGCAATTATAGTTACTTACTGGAGATAAATCACTGCAGGCTAAGCATAAAAATTCAAGCCATTTAAATTCGTTTTGAAAGTTTCCAAGGCTGTAAAATGAACAAGAGCTATATTCAATCGCTGAAATTTTGATTCATTCGCACATCTAACTTGTTAGTCTAGGAAAATACTATCTTACTTGCATAACTCTGCCAATTTTTCTCTCGAAAGATTTAAGTTCTTCCACTTTTCCAATAACAGCGACTTCTTAATTGTATCAATCGGTCTTAACTATTAAATAGATTAGTTTAAATGATCTGTTTTAGTTATATAAAGATCTAGATATATCCTTTAGATACTAAAAAATTATACACAGTAGAAAATTATTTATTAATACTTTGGTCAATACCTGTTTATTTAGAATTTTTAGCAAGCCAATACTCAATATATTTTCAGCTGGGGGCGGCAATTCTAACCTCTCCTTAATTGGAGGTTGCTCACCTTGCGATAGTGCATCAAAGTACCTATTTTATAACGAAGATTTAAGTTTATCCTATTACTAACTGAGGTAATCACACACATACATACAGTCTATCTTAATAATAGGAAAGGACAATAAATTTGAATCCGATTTTACTCACGCATAAGACCATTGTAATAAATCCGTTGGCTGAGTTCTGATCGCAGCTTTAGTGAATTTCTTGAGCATGTCAGGTAGTTGCGGAGGTATCTTTATTTGCTGTGAACAGTATATTGGCTCATCTTGCCCAGTTAACGCTGATTGCATATTGAACTGCTATTTTATATTTACAGGTGAGGTATCGAGAAATGGTTAAATTGTGCCCTGTAAGAATGTTTTTATAGTTTAAACATTAGCAAAATGGTTAGAATCTGTTGAATATGTCAGAGTTATTTTCCATTTTAGTGATACAATGCATCAAGATCAACCTTCTGTTGCAGCGGATTTGCTTATAAATTAAAATGACTTCAAGTTACTGCACTTAAGAATCCCAAGTGGATACATATTAAATGGTTACCGATATTGTGTTATGTAAAAGATGTAAGCCAACATGACTAATTTTGTATTTAGTCGGAAAATAGCTAAGATTACCAATGCGTAAATGAACTCTCCTGTATAGATATTCTAATAATGATAAGCTATATATCTTTTCTACCACTTTTAAAATGAATCTAAATTGGTAAGGTTCGCATTCGCCGTTATGGAGGGCATTATGATGGTCAGAATTGCAATAATACTGTAAATTTGATTGACTATCTTAAATAAATGATGTTTTACATAGTCGTTGAGATTGATTTTATCCCGTTATCATCTTACGCGCAATTATAAACTGTTAGAAAGGGATCAACAATACGACGATGACAAGCCTATGAAATCGAGTATGCGTATCTACATATGCTGGTATCTATATCATTTTGGCAATCTGCAATCGTATAACGAAATAATCAAGCATGAAGTTATTCTACCTCTCAGTTATAATACACGATATCCGTCGAATTGGAAGCCTAAACTAATACCTATATCATACCGCATTCTGTTTAATCCATTAGTCATAATTTTTACCTTATTAGTAGACGCCAGGTCAAGGAGAAAGAAGATAGTTGATCGCAAGAATTGTTGCAGCAAGAGATTGCGGTATCGAATTGAACAACAATCTACAATAACGCGATGTAGTGAAGTTGGGCAAACTATACGACTGTGTCGTTGTTGTAGTAGATTGTTAGAAGAGGTTGCTATCGTTTCCTAGCAACCAGTTTCTACAGCTCCAGAGTGACAAAAGCGGCTTGCGCAAGCCTCCTAGGGTTCGACTAGGACCCTACTAGGCAACCTGGTAGGGTGTCTGGCTTGGACTTGGACGGACTGCATCGTCGAGAGTACACAGTATACTGTACACTGTACAGTACAGTATGCCTAAGGAATTTTAGCCGATAAATTTTAAATTTTAACATCCAAAAACAAATAAATTTCGGAAAGTGAGCAAATAATACATCAATCGATAGAGAAAGAGTTGAATAACAACATTTTGTAGTTAAAATCTACATACGACGTCTAATTTCTTCATAAATTATGTTCAATGATAAACCATACTGTATATATGATATACAGTGTACAGTACTAGACCTGTGAGTGTACACTGTACACTGTACAGTACAATACAGTACCGTACTGCACAGACTCAGTACACACTGCAGTCCATGCTAGACGTTCACGGTACGGTACAGTACGCGTCATGGTTGCGCATGTTCTCAACAAATTCATACCAGAACGAGTGTTTTACCCTATCGACGCTGTCGTGTCTGAGCTCTATACCCTACCACTGAGTCGAAAATGACCAACTCTTGCTACAATCCCACGTGATAGTTCCTGTACAAGTGCCGATGATCGATTGCAATGATGGCCGACAATCTGCAAAGCAATGCAAATGATCAAATAGCTTCGCCATCGGAAATGGAAAGCATGATACAAGGAAAGAAGAGAGGCCACCAAGATTCAGAAGTATCCTCATTTACTGTTGATCCTTCCAATAGACCGAAATTTCCACCATTAAAACCTGGAAAATCCAAGGTAGAGAGAGAGAGATGAATTACTTGCAAGCTTGCATTCCATTGCTGTACTATTTTAGTAGCTTATAGCTTACCATTGGTCATAAGTTGACATCAAGTGCTTTAATATCTGTTCTTTCAAATAACTTATCATGCAATCTATAATAAGCTTACGGTTTGCTAATCATTCCGTCAAATGAAATGCTAACGTCACAAGCGTAGTGGCTATGCTATATACTATCCTCTACAATAATTGCAATAAGAGAAAAATGAATGAACGTATTACTGTAGAGCATTCTCGTATGCTATGAATTGCTTGAATTCAATGTGTACGCGTATAAACTCCATAATCGTTAACCCAATATCGCTACCATTCACAATGACATAGTAGAAGAAATAGAGCATACAATGGCTACTGCAGTTGAATATAAAGTGATATTGTACATTGTTAAAAACTTTGAAACATAAAATATATCCCAGCGTGATTGAGCCTCGTTTCTCGACTTTTGCATGAGTAATTCATGATAGTCTACATTAGTAGAGCCTTCTTGGGTCTTCTCCAGTCTTCATAGGTTATACAGTACAGTATAGACACTGCCCTAGATAGTCATTCTAATTTAACAGCAACAAAATACAACATCAAGTATTAACCTAGGCAAATTGTAGTAACAAGTCATTTCCCTAAAAGTATGAAATACTAACTTTGTATTCAATGAAATCGACTCACGTTGGCAGGTAAACAGGCAATTACGAAAATTAGCTATACCATCACATCGTTATACACCTCTGAAGGACAATTGGGTGAACATCTATACGCCAGTTGTCGAAAAGTTGAAGCTACAAATTCGATTTAATCTGAAGACAAGAAATGTTGAGATCAAGGTTGTATTCACGTTAGTTGTTATCGATTGTGACTAGAACAACTGCTCTCACCTTACATAACTCTCGTATATATTTGATGTCAGTATACATGTTCATCTTAATTCCATATCGAAAAAATGTTTTAAATCTACAACATATTTCTGTACTTGTTTAGTGGATAGAATACTTTTGTTACAGTTAAGAGAATAAATTATTAATCTATACTTAGCTTTGCTTAACCCAAAAATGGTGCATTTGCTCGAATATTAATTAAAGTATTACCATTCTTCTATGTAGACGGGTTCAGAAACAACTGACCTTAACGCTATACAAAAAGCTGCTGATTTTGTTCAAGCTTTTGTATTAGGATTCGCAGTAGAGGTACAGTAAATGGCGGCCTAAAGTTTCTAGGATAGAGAACTGCAAGTATGGAATGATATCATCGTAGTGACTAATAGACTCTTATCTCTCATTTAGGATGCTTTAGCTCTAATCCGATTAGATGATCTATATATCGATTCATTCGAAGTTACTGATGGTAAGGAAATCAACTAGAATTTTCCTAATCTATTGCTACTGAAATAGCTTATGTTGATTAATTCTTATTACAATGTCACAGAAATTTTTCGTTAATCAATCATTTGACATTAGCGCTGTTATACTATTTCTCTTTCTCTAGTCAAGCCTCTGAAAGGTGACCACTTATCCCGAGCTATAGGTAGAATTGCTGGTAGTGGTGGCAAGACTAAATTTACCATCGAAAATGTTACGAAAACACGAATTGTTCTTGCTGACAGGTAATGTATATGTAATATATAAATATATTTTTATACTGTAGAATGTTGTGAATACCAGCATTTTACTCTAAATACAAACTTATTCGTTTATACAAATTCATGCAGAAATACCCTTTGTAAGCTGTACAAGCTTTAGTTTTGCCATTAAGCTACGGAGAATGTTCTAATTTTTATCGTTTCTAAATATATTTTGTTAGCATATCTACTATGACTCAATACGTTCTGAAAACTTTTTTATTTATTATCTTTCAGTAAAATTCATATATTGGGATCATTCCAAAATATACGAATGGCGAAAACAGCGATTTGCAATTTAATTTTAGGTAATTTTTGATCGCCTTGTAGTGAATTCGTACCTAATAGTAAGAAAACACAAACTGTGTTATCGTCTAGCATCGATAGATTGCATTGGCAGTATTTAGAAGTAGCGATAATTGATTACAAACTTAGAATTGAATCTGACGTAAAATTTTGCCAGTAATAACCTAAGAAATCTGAAACTCTTTAGTGTGGATCGATTTATGGCATTTTTCTGATTACTTTCTAGGGAGCCCTCCTTCTAAGGTATATGGCCAAATGAGACGTGTCGCTGATAGAACGTCAGAGAAATTTTAATTTAGAAATCATAACTGTCTTTACCAAAAGATGAAATGATGTAATGCTTTACTATTGGATGTAGTCGACAGTTGGCTTATCCTTATATAATTACCATATTTGCAAGACTTTGTAAGATTTAATCAACTTTTACTTAATCTAATCTAGCAATGGAATTTCATCATTGAGCTTATATCGCGAGCTTATTGGCTAAAAATTTTGTTATGCAAGCAATATTCTAAACTTGTAATATAAATGTTACTTTTGTCACGAATTATCTTGCCACACCTCTTTTATCCTTCCATTCTTTGTACATAACTACGATGATTTTTAAGTGTACATTGTCGATATCCTGGTAATCATACTTTAAAGATTTCTATTTCCTATCATAAGCCAATTTTTGTAATTATTGTGAATGTACGTCGTTGTTACAGTTTTGCAATAAGCCCATGATGGCTACTATTGCATACCATCATCGTACGCCAACTCTTCGTAGAGTTTAATTCTCCCGTCAACAAGCTGTCATCATCTGACATAAAAAAGGCAAAATGATATGTTGTTAAATATCTTACAATATGTGGATTTCAAGAGGCTCATTTACAGTACAATTATTCTACACTAATAGCTTAAAAGACTGCTTGTTCTACAGTAGCCTTTCTGTACGATGATTAAAGCCATATTGCCGCATCGCATTGTAAGTTGCAGAAATGGTCTTGGTAAACTATGCAGTCACTTACCATAATGTACTGTCAATATAACAGAGTTAAACTGTCATTTTTTAGGCTACAAGTGGTAATTAAACTTGCCAATTTAATTACATCAGTTGAAGTAACAAATGATGATCTATTTTGAAGCATGCGACGCTGTTCTATTATTAATTAGGTTTTGTTTAAATAATTTATGGCTATCATTCATTGGTTATTCAAATAGCCTACCGTTAATATTGACAATAGGTAGTCGATTCTTTAAATGTGTCAATAGGCCATCGTCATCAGTTGGTTATAGTACATGATGTGTCATTGAAATTGGATGATAGCAGGATCTTTTTCGCTAATATTGTTTGTATCTGCTGGGAGGACGAACAAAGTATACATAGTAGTCGTCAATATAAGGAGGAAAAGAATGCAATCCTAGCTCAATTGTATAGAATTTGTTTGTAGTTCAAACCTTTCAAACATTACATGCGTATTCATCTTCTTTGTCAACTTTATTTGTCACCATTACTACTACAGCAGTTGTAATCTAGCTTGGAATTATCTTAGCTACGGTTCAAACAATAGGGTAATTTGAAGAGACGCAAAATTATACAACCAGAAATTGAGTTGTGTCGTACCAAAGCTTCCATTCGCCATCCTAACCCTCAATTTCAGCAAGTCATTCTACACGTTGAGCAATATTGCTCAATCGTTATCCAAGATATTCATTATCTTCATGCAATAGTACAGCGTAGATGGGATTGCTAACGGCTTTAATATTGATCGAAGTTGAATGAGGAAAGCAACGTAATCATCGTGGAGAGAAAAGTATTGACATTATTTACAACAACTTGAAACTCTGGCAAAATCACGCATTTTCTAACCTTTTCATCAATTTTAGACGCTCAATTTCTTCAAGATATATCTTATAACTGAATTTCAACTTTAAAAATAATAAGAAAGAAATATACTCTAGAGGTATATCGCAGTCATCGATAGCTAAAATCATTTAGCCATCGAGATCGGTTAATCGGAAAGTTGATACCGTTAACGGAAGAATGTATTCGACAAGTACAGCATATTGTTTGCCATCAAGGACGTTCCCACGTTCCATCAAGATGGACACGAATCTATCTCGTACTGGCATTCCTCCACCTCTGCCACCGAAGAGAATGTCTTCAATTTCCGTCATGAATGACCGCTCCAATAAGTCGCTAACACTGGATTCGAAAAACGGAAGCGGTTTTTCAACTTTAAATCATAATAGCTCATCCGAATTTAGCGTAAGTTGATGTAGAGATTAATGAAATGTTATTATGAGATATCATGATCATGTCTTGTTACAACTACTTTTCCATCCAACGAATTTGAATTAAAAACTGATTCTACTACATCTAAAACGACATTCCTCGTAGTACGATAGTCGATAAACATGTAAATATCATCAATTACCCATTGAGCCACTAATAATTTCCTCTTGCTGTCCTCGTTAGAGGGAGATCCATGAAATAAATTACTCACTAAGTATTCATCCATTTGATCTCATTGCTCATTAATCTACATCGATAGCTTCAAATAGTAAGAGAGTGTCAACAACAAAACTTTTGAACCCTTTAACGATATCTTGTTTTCAATTTTATATCAAGTTAACCTCTACTATTAAGTTAATACTGTTATTGTTCAATGTTTTACTGTAGTCTTAATGCATAGGATAATGTTTATTGTTCTTCACATCCTATCTAGTTTAATATCACACATATCATTTCGAAATTTCAAACATGATAATAATCATTATTATTCCTTTTTGGCCACCGTATCGATCATAATTTACAGTAAAATAATGAAGTTGTCCACTTATATTCACTGTATTCGTATACAGATAACATCATTGATAAATACATAGGCTACTATTTGCCTTTTTGTTTTAGACCTTATGCTATTTTTTTTTCTGCAGTTCTTAAAAATGAAGTCAGCATCATAACTCTTACACGGAAAAAGTAGTTATTAGTGCTGTTAGAATGCCTTTTTCAATAAATAGACACCTATCACGCCATCGATCGACTAGTTAACATTCCATAGCTAATACAGTGTTCTATACTGAGCGAGCTAAACAAATAGATTATTCGCCTTTATTTACTTGGTCGGTCCTTATCTGAAATAACCGCTAATGACATTTAAGGAGAAGTTAATTTTAAAAGTCTCAGTAATCAGAAAGTGACAATCGGCAAATACAGCCAGGAAAATAAAGTTAATTTTGATCCTATTTACATTTTATTAAATCCAGTCAACAAGAAAGTAGTTAAGAACAACAGTCACATCCTAATCGATCAAGATTTATAATAAGAAAGAATATTTAATTACCTTTCATCTTCACTTATAAAGCATAACCTTTTAACCATAACATAATCCATTCTTTCCTTAATAAAATTTCAATAGTTGTTGGTAGTATTTTGGTATTTAATTTAGATATCTACTAGTCCGAGAACTTAAATCTTATTTTTATTTAGTGATCGTCTTAAGATAAATTTGATGCTAGGACATGATCATTTTATCAAATTATAATTATGGAAGCTTAGTAATACGTCTAATAGAAAACTGAAATAAATTCAATAATTATTCAAGAACGAAAGTCGATCGCAACAACTACAGATATCTTCCCTTTAGCCTTCACTTTCTGTACCACTTTTACCTGGTAATTTCAGTACAAATTAAAAGTCCTTATAGTTGTGATAGTACTTTTATGACAGTAAAATGTATCACATTTTATCATTTCAAGAGACCATTTTAGCCCATAACCAGATGCTAAGTTAATTAAATAAGCGCAATAATCACTATTACAGTACTATGGACCCTTGTAAATCGTAATTAGGAAACACTTCAAGATAGGCTATCGCCACAGTTATCACTCTTTATCCATTTTTATGGCTACCTGAATAACGATCCTTTTTCGAAATAGCCTGCAATGATGATGGTGTACTCATATACCATTTTTTAGAGCCTATTTCTTAACCAGTTAATCATGTTTCATAGGCGTAAAGTCAAGTTATTTTACTTATTAATTTATGCATACTCTTGAAAATATTAAAGCCGAATACAATCCTTCCTGAATATATATCCCACCCCTTAGATCATTCACATATGTTCTCTTGAGAAGGTATTTATATGAGACATGGAGAGTAATAATTTCAGGGAAATCCCTAAATTATCATTCAACGCACCACGATATAATCATTCCTTTCCTATCAAGCGGCGAATATTAATTTTCCTACAGCTGTAGGATAGACGAACTGATTAGCATTGATGAACCAATTATTTGATTCTACCCGAGACTATTTCGTAATACTATGCAGATAAAATGATGCAAATCATATCAGTTTTGTAATTCATTGTTGAACAACTGAGTTATCGCTATTATACCATATCATCAATAGCTTATGTCAAAAATGCCGAAATTGTCAAACAAAATGCGATAGTTTTCATCTAGCCAATTTAGTTTCATCGCGATAGATATCCAACAACGTCAATTATACAACTCTAAAATGTTGAAAGAATTAAACGTAAAAAGGAAGTAGATAATAAAGAAATTGATCCCCATGGTTAAGGAAATTCATTACTGCAATTATGGTATAATAGCCGACAAATTACCTAGAATAAAGTAGGGAAAATAGTTATAGTTTTTATGAAAGATACTGTACATCTTTACTATAAAAACTATAACTATAAGTATTCAGAAGGTATATTACAACAAGCGATTAACAGATAAATACGATAGTGAGAAACAAGACATAGCGCTACAGCATCATTAACTATAGATTTCTTGCTATATTGAGTAAAAAAGATTATCATCAAGATTTCATTGATAAATAATAGGTTAGATTCTTTTTATTCAGAAATATGCTTGATTAGTGGACGCGATTTTATCTGGAAACTAGCGCAGATTATCTTTTCAAGTAGATTAATTTATTCTAAAATTTTACTACCAATCGAATTTGTTCCGTTTTAACGTTGCTCCTACCTTGTAGTAATCGCTCATATATCGCCTTTGTGCCATTTACTAATCATTCTCGCCACGTAATCAGAACAAATGAAAAAAAATCTTGAAGCTATAGACTAGAGTTAAATAATAATCATAATATTTAAGAATTATCAGTTACACAAAACAGGCCGAAAAACTCTAGGTATAACCTGTTAAAATAGGAATACAGTTTAATTTCATGAGTCATAAATCTAATAAAACTTTAGACAACAAAGTAAACATAAAAATGTTTCTTAAAGAACCTTCATTTTGCAATAGGATGTCATTAAGCTATGAGTTTAGTCTCCTGGTAAAAATAATATAATTGTAGGCAGGCTCTAATTTAATTTAGAGAAGGAGGGAAAAACCCCTAGCATGCGATGCCTATCATCTATTGTTGCTGTAATAGGTCAAGAACTACTGTACGAAGGCAATTGTAGCCCGTAGTACTGATGGAAATTTGAAGATTAAATATTATAGTCAAGAATCAAAACAAAACTATTTATTTATACTTAGCACCATGATAAATTCCTTTAGTAAGTAGAAAATGTAAGAACAGCATTTCAAATCTAACAAAAATCTGCCTTATCTTTTACTTAGAAATCAGTGGTTAAAATTACATGTATCATAATAGCAGTTAACATTAATAGTGTAAACATATCACTCATATTTTTTCCGCTACCATAATAAAAAATAATGTATAGTCTACTAGATCTTCAAGACTTCAAAGCACTATTAGTAGTCAGCAGGTATCCTGCAATAACTAGACATTTATCACAATAGGGCTTATTCCAAAGTTCTAAGAAATCTGCAAACCGCCATAATCTACCCTTGGTATATATGAAGTATACTATGAATATAAGCAATACAAGGAATCAAAATATCGACGCTACCATCTGTTGTACTATTGATAAGATATAAATAGATCCTAAATCATCTTGAGCCACTAATTATCAGCTATAAAAAATCTTACATTCATATGTACAATATCATGGTTGTTAAGCTATAAAGCTTTGGTGACTGCCTAATAATCATTCATAAAATACCATGATGCTATCGAAAATAGGAATGAAGTCATTTCTATGCATTATAAGTTTTATTTTGTTTCTATGCACAGTCCAAACCTTGGAAGAATATCCAGTGATAATTAATAGCCAATCCCTTAGTCATGACGTCAGTTTAAACTCTTCTGCTTCAGCCAATTTGAAAATTTTTATCTCAATCATCTTGTAAATACGTTTAAACATTTCAAACAAAGCACTTTATTTTCTTTCATGACTTATTAAACTTATCACAGTTACGAAAATAATAATGATATCGTATCATAATTTAAAATAAGTTTACTGAACTAATTTCTGCTATAGTGAATCCCTGAATTTAAATCTCCATTGAAAGATGTCAGCTTAATCAAATAAAGGGACTTTTATGTTAATATTGAATATATCGCAGGATATTTCGAATATATCTGTGGAAAAACTATCAAGATTGGAGGAATGTAGTAAATCTAAATTCAAGTTAACTTATTTTAGTAATAGCATGTCTCAGAGCTTAATTCTTATCGAAAACTTGTCTAGCTTATGTTAAGAACATAAACTAAAAATATGTTGTATTTGAACATATTGGATACTGGACGTAGGAACTATCATGATATGTGGGCTAAAATGAAGTAAAATTTCTGACCTATAGAATTACATGAGCATTTATAATCTTTGACATGAAATGAATGGCGGTATGTTAGTGCTCTAAACTTGTATAATGCTCTATTGATTTCCTCAAGAATTTAGTAATTTGTCCCTGAACATCTAGAAGTCGACAAGATGATTAAATTTGAAACAATGTCTAATTGTTGCTCAGATGGCAGAAAAGTCATCGATGCAAAATGCCGCATATTTTTCAATTTCATTAATGTCATTCTGAAATATAGTTCAAAGATTCTGACATTTAATTAGGACTGTTACCACATCGTACCATATTCTGGTTTAAGATATAGGCTTCTAGACCGACTATATGCACTTGTACACACTGCACATAAACGAGTAAATCTAGAAGTCCATATTTAAAGATAATTAAGTTATTCACGATATACAATAGTCAATTATTCAAAGTGATGCTGCAATAATGAATTCAATTAAACTATAATGCCTATATTTACAAATTTTTATATCTCAAAAACTACAATCCCCTTTTATAAATATTTCATCATGAGTGAACAACATTTACTTTATTTCCTGTCGAGATATAATGAAATTGTTTAATTAAAGGCAATATGACAAGATGCAAGTACAATATAACGGTGATATAATTATTATGATGCTTATTTTAGCTAAGAGTAAATCGAATTATTTACAAGTGGTTTTCATTATAGATACCTAGCTCAACATAACCTATGCTAAGACGTTAATTTATTTATCATAGCTTTACCATTCAACGGATATTTAGCATCGCGTAATAACTGCCAATTTTTAACGGCGGCAACATCTTATACTGCCTTCTACTAAACTTGGCAATACCCAATGTTTTTCTATTTATATACTATAAGGGAGGATTAAGCGATTAAAATAGCTTATAGAATTCATCATTAATATGCAAGCCACAAAATGTTACAATATTCATCAAGCTATAGATGAATGTGTAGTACGCGATATTACAATATCATTGACCATGGGCCGGCCAAAGATAGCAATTTAATTATATCATGTTAGTTTTAATTATCGAGTTTATATTGAATTTTATCACTGTATATTTTTTTCAAATAGAAAATCACCAATGATTCAAAATATGAAATGATCCAGGTGGTTATAGAAAAGGTATGAAAGATTGAATAATAAATTACAGTATCGGTGATTAACAAGATTAATCACGCTAAAAATTGTAAACAAGACACCATCTAGTCAAGTTAAATCCTTTGAATATACAACCTACATTAAATTATCTCAGAACCATAGTTAATGAAAATCTTACCTTTCGATAAGGATAATATTGCTGAAATATTTTAACTCAAGTTGACATATATTATATAATAAGAGATTCTATTAAATATGCCATCAGCCTTCCCGTTACACATATAATTACTTATCCCCTTACCTCTCCCTTTAGCCTCCATTAATGAACAGCTGCGGCTTTGCGGTAACTGGAGGAATCGATAACCCTTACTCAGAGGATCAAAGTGTTGGCATTATTGTCAAAGAAGTTTTAAAAGGCGGTCCGGCCGATGGTAAATTAAGGTAATTTGTCACATATGATAATAAATTTATTTCCCATTATTAACATTTATCATGAATACCCGAAACCTACGCAAACTCGTCACTGTTATCTAAGTACTAATTCAATATTAATTACTAGAATTATTACCATAGTATTTAGCTTACAGTCTTAAAATTTTCCTTAGCTTCCTTATTAGACTCCTACACTAGGTAGAACCAATTAAACTACCATTACTACAAGCATGCTAAAACTTTGTCGAGATCTAAAACCGAAATAGCAGTGCATTATCATTCTTTCAATCCGAGAATTCCTTTTATCGGTTCTGATTATACTTATATATACTGTGCTTTCTTACTCATGTTTTTTTAATGTTAAGTTGTACTGTAGAAATCACGAATTAACTATTATAAATATTAATTATTAAAGGTTACATTGGAACCTATTATTCGATTTTAGTTGCAAAGACGCGTAGTATTCAGCTCAAAAACTAATACTATAAGACCATTTTAGTATCTACTTAAGTAGCATAAATGATAAATATTTTTCTATTAGATATCTATTTAATACCGTAAAGCTATTTTCAATCTTAAGCTTAAATAGGGCAAGTAACAAATAATTGCTGTTGCGTATACGTATATCTAATTGCTTAGTATGATGGGCGTGAGTTTAATACCTAAATGCTAAACTACTTCGCAATAAATCTTGCTACATTTATATTTTACAGGCGAAAAGATCATTTAATAAAAGTAAACCATGTATCTTTAGCTAATGTTACTCATGCTTTTGCCGTAAAAACATTAAAAGAAACTGGCCAAAGAGTAGATATAGTAAGAGAAACAAGTGATGAATGATTGTTAACTTTTTCCCTTTAAAATAGAGTCGATTTGATGATATAGTAAAAACCAAATATAGCAAAGTAACATTAACTTCTACTTACTTATGACTAGCTGCTTAAAAGAAAAAAGGAACTTGTAGCTTTAAATTCATTAACTGGTAGGAAAGTTAGAATATTTCGAAGCATTGATCCTCGATTATCTGGTAAGTAATATCACAAAAAGACTATTGGTACGTCCTAAAGCATAGTCCATATTATTTGTCGAATTATGATCATCAAAGGAGTTTTACTGAAAATTTTTTAATATCGCTGTGACACTTTAGGATTTGGATTGAAATTATGTTCCCAAGTTGTAGCTAGACGAGTTACAATAGGTGGTCCTGCATCAGATGCTCGCATTAATGAAGGCGATATCATTCAAGAGGTTCGATCATTAAATTAGATTAATCATTCTTCAACTACTTTGCTACTTTTGTGGATAAAATTACATGCTGCTCTACTAATATATCACAGTTAAGCATAACGGCCAATCACTACCTTAAAGTATGATATTACTCCTATTTCGGCTTCATGTGCATCTCTTGTTCTAATCATCTTCAATATTTCAGATAAATGGAACTAAGGTGGAAAACATGTCGATCGCAGTATTAGAAAATTTAATGAGCCAAAGCGATAGTGTGGAATTAGTCATAGCCAGTCATCCTTCTCGAAGTGAGAAAAATCCAATTAAAACATCATCGGCAATAATTCCAAGCAAATCGTCTCCAGGTGGTAAGTACTGTAATTGTAAATGCACTCCAGTATGCTATTACTCATTCATATCCACGTCCATGTCGATATTGGTAGCCGCACGCATGAAATGGAAACTCTGTGTACTCAATGTCCGAATTAATTGAGAACTAATGAATTTTATTCTAGGATTAAATGTAATAAGTCATACTAGTAGAGAAGCAAAATCAAGCACCGAAATCCAATCGATTTCAAGGAATACAACCTATTCGTCACCGCCTGTACAACTTATTAATAAAAAAAGGGAATCAGAGAGGCCAAGCAGACATAAATCCAAACTGCAACTTTCACTAGGGAACACAAAACAAGGAACAAATCAAGATATTAATACTAATACTTCTTTCGATGAAGCTCCTTCATCATCAAGACAGCAAGAATTAGCTGAAACGAATTCTCAGCCATTGCAAGTTTCTCCTCGCAGTAATACTGCTACACCTACCAGTACACAATTAAGTCCAATGCCTTTGCCTGAAGTAGTTGATTCAACACCCAAGAAAAGCAATGCTGAAGACAAGGCGAAAAGTCGATGCTCGTCGGATGATGAGTAAGTTGCAGGCTGTCTATCCTCATTGAGAACTACTGTAATAATCGGTGACCCAAAAATAAATTTTTGACGCCATTTTAAAAATTCACTAGGAATGCGACATCAAGATTAATCAAATTCCGTAAAGAAACCAATCTATGTATTCAAATTGCTGGCGGCAACGATGTTGGAATATTTGTTGCTTCCGTCAAAAAAGATAGTCCGGCCGAAATAAATGGGTTAAAAGCTGGCGATGAAATTATACAGGTTAATTCCATCATTAGCTCAAATCATCATACCAAAAACAATTTTGATTAAGCTAGGATTAGCTTTCGATATTTAATATATTCATTCCAAGTCTTATTTTGAAAGAGTATTTTGAGATGCGAGTACATTCTAATGCGCGTTGCAATTTTACAAGAGTATATCGAGATCCTAGTTCCTTCTAAATAGTAATGTTTGAGAACACTTTGAGATGCGAGTCCATGTTTGTAAATTTCTCCGCTTTAGTTGTAGATGAATAGATGCAGTTCTTGATCTGTTCGATAATCTAAATCCCCAGGTCTTCAACTTTCCTGCAAATATTTTCATTATTGTAGGCAAATGGTATCGAGCTAAAAAAATTAACCCGAGAAGAAGCTGTTCTTGTACTGCTAGATCTTGGCTCAGGAATTTCATTACTTGCGAAGCATAAACCAAGACGTTAGTTGAGCTACAGTTGTGCTGGAATATATAATAAATCGCATAATCTATCATCTCAGTATGATTACTGTGTTAATCTTAAGCTTTGTCAATCTAAAAATAGGTTACACGGAAATTAGAGATTCGCCAGGGGACTCATTTTACATAAGGTATAGATGTCGCTTAAATAGAAAATTTTGCGTATCGTAAATTGAATTTTTCTTTCTAAACAACTATTAAGTTGACCGTTAAATATTACGAAAACAGTAAATTATTAAGTAATACTTGGTTTCTATATACCTTAGATGCAATTTCGACTACGATGGGATAGCTCTAAATGAGCTTACTTTTAAAAAAGGAGAGATATTCCATGTTCGTGATACCATGTATAACGGAGTGATCGGATCATGGCAAGCTCAACGAGTAGATTGCCGTGGCGTGGAAAAAGACTACGGCATTATTCCTAATCAAGCAAGGTACGCCATGATTATTAATAAGTAATTATCTTTAGTTAATATCGCCATAAGTTGTCAAAAAGCTATCAGTTATGATTAATATCTGTTGAAAAGATCGACGAATGATACTATTTTGCAATCAAAACCGTAATACTTGTTGTTAGAATAGAATTAACCATTACTAGTCATGTAACAGTTTGTTTCTTGCCAGTTCTACCAGGATCTTACTAAACATATCAAAGCTTTTTCTGGATTATATTCTCGTTATCGTATTCCAGTTCACGAGATTTTGATTCAGTGCCACTATTTTAATAACGAAGAGTCTTCCTTAGACAATGCAATCCATAATCTATTTAGGAAAATATATACGTCATTTAAGTAGAAGCGCAGAATAATACTCTATCTTAGAATATAAGTCTTACTGTAAACTAAATAGTAATTTTTATTGATGCAAAGGGAAATGGTTTTAAATTTTCCAATTTAATAATATCCAAAATGCTACTAAACTAACCTTGTTTAATATATTATGTTATCATGAAATGATTACAATAATTAGAGGCGAACAAATTGCCTTATCCCAAGGACAGCAGAAGGTGAGAACAGCACAAAGAACTGCTGGAAGTGTCATTAAAAAAAGAATTAAGAAGAAGGTCGATAGATTAAGACGGCATACTGTCCAAGTCAGTATGCCATCAGCAGAAAAGAAATTACATGAAGGTAAGAATCTCATCATGTATATCCCCAATTCTTAGTACAATTGCAAAATTCTAGCACAGGAAAGAGTGAAATATAAGTATTGAATAGATTAATCACTGTCTATTAGAACTGCTTCCATCTAACGAGTTAATTGATATATTAGGTAACAGTTTAATTGACGTTCCCGCATATGATAAAGTTCTCCTTCGTGAAGGTAAGCAAAAAATCAATATCAGTAGAATAATCTTTTAATTTTATTTATGATTTGTTGTACTATCTAACATTGATCCTACTCATTGGGATACTTTAAATTTACCTAGATCACATAATTAAAAATCGTGCATTAGTGTACGGCTTCACACTAGCAGAATATCCTCAATATATAAAAATACGTTATAATAACCATATTCATCACTGACCATCATGAGTAATAGCAATGCATTCATTTATGCTGCTTTCTTAGTATAATATCCTTTGTGCTGACAGATAGGAGATGCTAACAACAAACATCAGTTATAGTACGTAATTTTACTAATAGATATTCCTTAATTTTAACTGCATTTATAGCCAATTTTGTTCGACCCGTGGTCATCCTTGGACCTATTGCCGATGTAGTTCTGAAAAAATTATTGGAAGATACACCAGAAAAATTTGAACCTCCAGGTATAACTTGACTGTAGTACAGAATTTTCGGCTTCCCTAAAGATATCTACTGTAGTTTAAGTAACTTTTATTAAATATCGATAATCAAAAATCTCTCAACTATCATTATGGCTTGCAATAAATTATTGATTTTGATACAGTTATTACGGATAAGAAGGGTATTCGAATCAGCGATATTAAAAATGTTACCAAAAAGGTAAATTTAAACTTGCAATACTTATCTTTGAAAGTTGATTTATATCTAGTATCTTCTCATAGAAATTAGAAGCTGCATTATTCGTCATTTTCCACATTTTTTTATCATTCCTGAAATGCAATTATTCAATGTCATAAGCTGAACATAAAACATGGATCAAAAATTATATTCCTTTAATATTATAGAATAAACATTGTATTTTTGAAGTGGAAATGTCATCGCTTTATAAGCTGACATGTGCCCACTTGTATCCTATCGTCATTTACACCTATCCTCATTCGAGATATGTTCTCAGGTTAGTAAAGATGTTGTAGTTTACCAAGATTAGCCTTATTGAAGAAGCTATATTAACATGGATCTATTTTGTGCTGAATATACTAGTAATTTAAATTATGCCTGATGAAGTTATTAAGCAGTGAAACTTTTCCATTGCTTTATAAAACGATTACTATAATTGAAATTTTCCAAGATTGCCATTGGGATTTAACTATTGCATTTTCATGATTAGGGACTTAATGATTGACTTCAAAGGCTATTCTAATGAACATGCAGCAAAACAATCCAGGAAACTTTATGAAAAAATGCTTTTAGAACAGCAAGAAAATAAGCATTTGTTTACAGGTACACCTTGCGATGATATACCTATTTTCATTCTTAGACTTTACGTTTATCCAATAAAGTTCCTACAACTAGATCATCCATGCATGCGATAATCTTCATAGATAAATAGTGTAATATCGTTGCTCTGGTCAAATAACACCTTAACCCTCATTTCTAGATGAAATTATGATGTACCTTGGTAATTCATGGTTAATGGCTGTCAAGAATTCAATTACTAAGCAGCAATTCGAACCTATTTGGATGCTTGAAGATCAAGTAAGTCATAGATAGAGCATAAGATAGTTGATCATTCGATAATAATGGTAAATTAGAACTTAGCGTTAACCGTCAATAAATGATTTCCAATTTATAGAATGGCGTAACCTCTTTCAACTATCCCTAATGTGATTTATTGATCTTTAGGCAGCTGAGAACGATGACGAATTATTACTCCTACGTCAAAAGTTGAGAACATTATCGCAACTGTCGGCGAATCAATCCATTCCAAACCTACGACGCACACATTCATTATCTAGTAAAAGCTTAGACGAAGATATAAATAGATTTGTCCCCAGATCAATATCAGAACAAAATATGAAAGGCTTGGAAATAAAAAAAGATGAAGATGGTAATTTGAATCCAGGGAATCCTAATCTTCCTGAAAGAGCTTATCCTGAAGTATTTGATACGGATAAAAATGAAGACAAAGCTAAAGAGAAGGAAAACGAGGTTTCACTTCGTAAACCGCAAGCAATTAATTTAGAAAAGTGGCCTAGAAAGCGTGATAGTCGGCAACAATCGAGGAAACGAGGATTATCTGCAAGTCTAGGATGGGGTAGCGAAAATTCCAATCCAAACAGCCCAATGAGTGAAACTATTCCATCCAAGTCAGTCCAAACTCCTACCGATCATGATAGTCATCCCATTGAACCTCATCCAATAGTCCACGAAAGGGTAAAGAAAACAAGTGCCATTGCTGAAGCAGAAGCAATTTCAGTTGATATCTTACCTAGTCATATCAGACCAGAAGATATCTTTACTGTTCATGAATCAGATCTTGTCCCTCAGCGTGATCAAGACCCTAAAACTTCATCTAATGACTTACCCAATAAAAGTATGTCAAATAATGAGCCATTACTTAAAGAAAAACCAGCTGTAGACGAAACTAAAGTAAAGCCAAGCGAGCAATCATCAAGTCAGGAAAAACCAAGCGGTAAATTATTAATCAAGGAAAAATCTGCTAATCCATCTCTTAGTGAAGAAAAATCAAATATTCCATCATCAAACGAAGGAAAATTGTCGAGTCAAACACCTTCTAATGATAAATTTCCTGATATATTACATAGTAGAAGATCGAGCGATTCTCCTAGGAACACCAACAATAAGCGCCAAGATGTTGCTGATGGTACGAAACCTCAGCAGATTCCTTCCAAGGGCACATTTGGTTACGCAAGATCTAATTCAAGACAAAAGCTATTTCCTGAAGGAAAAGGTCAGGTCAATGCAACAAATAAGGTTACAATAACCGCAACGGCATTTCGACGTACCAAGCAAGATATTCAATCTGGTAAACGCGGAGTAGTTATATCAACTGGGAGAAGAAAACTAAATGGTCCTACTCAAAATTCGAGTAGTGCATCATTGCCTCTCAACAATCCACCAACAGAGGATGAGAAAAATCCACCAAATGGTAATGAAAATCTAAAAACAGAGGTACCTAATATGTCAGAACGCGATATTGATGATGGTGCTAATAAACTTGTTGCCCCAAAACCATCCGAGCACAGTCCGGGAGATAAAATTCAAGAAACAAGAAATCAAGAAAATATGGACTCTTTTCATGACAAAGTCGAGCCGAAATTCAATAATGAAGAATTAGAGAGTAAAAGGAACCTTCATAATCAGAACTCGGCTATTAAGAATGAACCATCAATCGATACTAGAAGCTTAAGTTCTTCTCCTGAAACTTCTGACGATGATCACACCAAGGAAAGGGAATCTAATGATGACCGGGTTACTCAAGAAGATATGCAAGTGGTATCTGATGATCCACAAGCGATGATTGAAAGATCTATGGAAGATACCTCAAGTAATGCATTACCAAGTCAACAGCCCCACCAGGCAGAAAATGGTTATTCTCATCTATATGATGAAAACATAGAGGTAGCAGAATTAGAAGACGAGCATTCGGTTCCTCAATATGAGGAAATGATAGAAGAAAATGTTAGTTCAGATAACGATGATCAACCATTAGATTTCGATTCTAAAGATAGCGATCATCATTTGCAAGAGACAACAAGCGATATTGTCGAGGAAACTTACGAGGAAAGCTACGCTAGTCCAGACAATGAAACTATTAAATCGATACATTATGATGATGAAAACATACCAGATGATAATGAAGACGAAAGTGCAGCAGTTGAATCAATAGTAGATCTTTCTAGCATTGCTGACGTCGATGACTTAAATTATGATGCTGAAAGCGATGCAAGTGATCATTCTACTTTAACACCTGATGAAATGTCAGATCACTCAATGGAAGAGGATAATGACAGAACACCTTTAAAATTTTACGATCATAGTGATACATCTATTAATGGGCTTATCCAACATAGCAATGATATTTATCAGCTTAACAAGCATGATAATAATAGATATCTATCAAGATTGGATAATAATTACTTACATAATAGTATGGAAAAGAAAATAAAGAATACGCAAGAAATGAATGACCCTGCTGATGCTACAAGATCTCATGCAGATTCATTAAGTACTGTTACTTCTTATAGGACTGCTGATGAAATGTCTTTTATCACTGCAGATGGCTATTCAACCGATGAACAGTGTGAAAGTTTTATTAGGAAGAATAGCGAGAATGGCATCGATAGTAGCATGGCAAGTTCATCTTATATGTCGAGGTTCGAGACTATATAATGTCTACTCCAATGTTTATAAATAATTGCTTTGTAAATTTGCTGGAAACGGGTAATTTACAGTGCATTGCAGTTATTATATCATAAATTGGAAATATATTCATGATATTTTACGTAATCACTACGTCTAGAGTTCCTATAATACTTTACTATCATTACTAATCGCATACGTAGATATAGTACTGTATATTCTTTAAATAGATCATATAGTCTATATGTGTGTACTTTGCTATGCTTGTAATAATTTAAAATATTTAGTATTTTATCGGTCATACAAACTGAAACGTGTTTCTTGATAGCAATTAATCAGCAGTTTTACAGTAGTATTATGTAAATTATGATAGTCGAAATGGTTTTACCCACTCATAATCGAAATCCTACTAACCTTAAACTATTCAAAGGTGTAAATAGTAAGATATTCTTTATCGCATCTTATTTCTCAGTCTACTTAATAATCGCAAAAAAGTTGTTACGCTTCCCTTAATTTATTACATAGTACAAAATATGGAGTGCTACAAATGCGATACAGCATATTTGATCATGGCCTCTGTAATTCTGTCACCAAGTACATAAAGTAGCAATATTCCTGCTATTATATAAAAACATTATTCGTCGACACGAAATAGCATGCAAAAGTGGACGACAATGGAATCATTAGCATAAATTAGCGAGTGTAGAATTGCTGTATCTGACTATCTACTCAAATATTTCATTTCAGTGAATTTTTTACCGACGATGAAACTGTTCTAGCAACAGCACATGGAGTATTTACTTCAGCTGGCGGAACGTTATCATGTGCCAGCTCTGATGTTCGTATTATTATACCACCTGGTGCTATTCCTGAAGGTGTAGAGCAAGATCTCTATTTTAAGGTCTATCAAGATCAGCGTGATTCTCCATCACCAGTTGATAAAGGCAAAGGCGAACAGCTACTGAGTCCTTTAGTTATGTGTGGCCCTAGTGGTATTGAATTCATGAAGTCAGTAGAAGTTCGCGTACCTCATGCTATTGCTGCTCCAAACGGCAATGATTTTTCTTTTACATTAAAAACTAGCGATGATACAGAAGGTAATTATCTTAAGCTGTGTTCTCGCAGAATAGAATAGATGCAGCGTTTATCTTACTTAAAATTTCATAAGATTGTCAAAACTTTGCAGCAAAAATATTTACTGTTGTGTTACTGTTTATTTATACTTTAATTAAAGGTGGTGTTAGCCAATGGAGTAATTTAATGTTGGTGCAAGGTACAGAAAAGCGACATAAAGATGATAATGAAAATTATCAGATCCATAAAGAATTTATTAGCATCCACATTGACCATTTTTAAAGAGGCAAGGTATAATACATCATTTATTTATTTAATTATTAGTGTCGTCCACGAAACGCAAATTAGGATAGCCATTCCTTTGCAGTTAATACTTCTTGCTATCTACTATTTATCTAGAATAGGCTAATTGATATATCAATTTGTCTCCAATATAATAAATATAATTTAAATTATAGGCAGATTAAGGGTAACATGTAAACTTTAACGGTATTTGGTTGCCATTGCTAGGTTCCGAGATTGTAAAGTTTCAAGACGCTATTCGTAAGATAATAGAGTGATGTAGAAAACTTATATCAGCATCGTTCATACAACAGTAAATATCATGTCCAAGAATAATAATCGACCGGACCAATCTACTTAATGATGTGTAAAAAGAATTAAGACAAATTATATCGATTAAAAAATTAAGGATGATAAGTTTTATTTACTGTCAATCGAGTTCTTGGAATGCTTGCAACTGGGAACTATGTGATATAAGCTAAAAATAATTCTCCATTTTCAAGTAAAGGATGATTGGCTACTATTAGCTTGAATCTCTTATGCTATAAGCAGAAAATTCTGCAATATTTGCTAATGATTAGTTTAACGACGAAAAGGAATAATACATATTTTTTACTGTATTTACCAATTTAATCAAGCAGACCGCGATTATAATTTTAATTACTACATCAATAGAAAGCTTGGAAAATACGATATGACAGATCTTAAGTAGTACTTTTTACAGTTATATGATATCTGAAAGTAAAATTTTATATATAACGCGAGGTATTTAAAATTATCTTAGAGTCATCTGATGTTTTCAAGTAAGGGGTTATGTTACTGCTTATGCTTTTTCACTCTATAGCTGTTTTAAGAAGTTTTGTCATATAGCTTATGTAGATAGAGGTAGCATAATATCACACTGGGGATAGTAACTGCATAATATATTATGAAAATAAATTTTAGCAAATATTTTTATAATCTAGCATTGTTGGAACAGCAGATTCACATTATCTGTCCTGTTCCTACATCTAGTAATATATATATATATTCTGATACATAATTACCATGGCTATGTTATTGTTGCTCTTTTTTAACCTAGTAGATTAAATTTCAAGTTTGCAATATGCCAATTGAGGGCACTTATATTATTTTAATTTTTCCATTAATAATGCTATTGGTCTATAGCACACATTGTACATATACGTACGTATATATACATGCGCGTGTATATATGTTTATATTATACTTGCGTTGATCTAGAGTTCTAATTGACTATTTCGGGAATAAATAGGATGCATCGATAACTATAACTATACTACACAAGTGCTAATGCCTGCAGAACAAATTTTTAATTGTAGCCTTGCAAACCATATCATCTGTTTGTACAAATACCTCTATTTATGTCTGCATTTTCGTGCTGATATTGGCTTGATTTTCTCTGCGTGAATTATTTTCTTCTTATTTAGACACTGAATAGCGTGCATACCTTACTAATCTTGGTAACTATCGTCTATTATAGTTTCACTAGTGCTCATTAATTGAAAGATATTCGTATGCTGTAGACTCTATGGTACTAATATTGTTAATATAACATTGATTTGTAGCTTTATGTAATGTTAGATAAAGACAGATTATAATGTTTTGCTTTATTAATTAAAGATGAAAATGAGTATTAATTGCTCGATAATCATTTTAAACAGCACCGTACATAATAGCTCTGTTGCTATAAACGTGGTGGAACTATCTTCACTTTTAGCCAAGTGTAGCCAAGACGACACGGGTAGAGTATAAAGAATAGTGGGCTAAAAGTAGAAACTTGAAACCAGACAGGCATTGTAGTTGCATGTCCATACTTTATACACCTACAAGCATTGCCAACTATCAATGGATGCAGCACTTTTACTGACTTACAACTGCAGTGGATATCAATAAAATACTGTAAGATAAATAAAAATCTTTCATCAAACAAGTGAGGTTATGATTTTACTGATACTAAATCGGTGTTACGAGCGGAATAACGTAATCATCTTCCGTAGTTGGATGTTGAAATATAATCAGTACCAAGTACAGGCTGATTTCAATAGCCTAGCTTGAGATATAAAATCATGTTGAACAGTTCCTGACTATGATGATCATTTACGAAACTCAACTTGTATCTATTACCATGGAATAACACTACTCTAGATATAGAGTACTTCTAGGCATGTAGTAAACCACATCTAGAAGTCCATGGTATTACTCTTTACGGTACTATGGTTAAACCGTTTGCAAATTGATACTAGAGGTTCAGATTTTCTAATACGATGTACTTCGTTTATAGCTAAAACACCGCTGGTAATATAGAATTTCTACCTTGCAATAATATGTACAACAGTATAGATCGTCATATAAATTATCATCACCTTCATCTCGCATTAATTGCACCTTTCCGCCTATTATACAAGAAGACGTAAAGGGGTGACAGTCTGTTTGGTGCTGTACAATAAAGTAATCGGACCAGTCGAGCAGTATAATATGAATCGATTTAATGCGACTTTTAAACATTGTCCATTAAGTGCTCATCTTCATCGTTTATAGTTGCAACACCGCAGGTAATGTACAATTTTACCGTGCAATAGTGTGTGCAATAGCATAAAGCGTCAAATGAATTATCATCCCCTTTATCTCGTGTTGCAATTGCGCTTTTTACATGTTGAGTAAGAAGACATCAAAGAGGTGATAGTCCATTTTGCACAGTTTTGTGCTGTACTACTGTATACTGTACAATGAAGCATGGACTAGCTGAGTCACAAAGTGCGAGTCGATTTAAAGAGACTTTTAAACACTGTCTGTGAAGTACTCATTTCATTTTCATCTCTTTTACAAAAGTACTTGATAGCCATGAATAATATCTCTGTTGATGTTGTTGTTACTGCACTACAGCTCTCTATCATGGTACTGTACTTATTATATAAACTCAGATAGACGCCAACTATCCACTGAAATGATACTACTGTATATGTCAAAGGGTGACAGCTCATTTCGCACAGATTTAGTAGTACAGTGCGAATCGATTTAAAGAGATTTTTAACCAGTGTTCGTTAAGTGCTCATCTTTATCTCTTTCTAAAAGCACTTAATAGCCATGGATAGTATTTTTTTTTGTTGTTGTTGTTACTATACTATCACAGTACTTGCTGCGTAAACTCAGGCAGACGTTAACCATGCAGTAAAAGCGACAATAGACATTACCATTGCGACTTGGATTACTAAGACGGTCAAGTACTTTCTTGTTATTCTGAATAGTGCTAGGGTAAGTATTGTACTCGTATGTTTACTTTTACGTAATGCTGCAGGATTAGTAATTGGACATGATGAATTTAGAAGGTTGCATTGTGAACTTGATATCATAGTGAATGCAGTATGCGTGCTTGTATACCGTATCAGGCTTTGCTGTTGTACAATAGGAGAAAATAATAAATTAGCGATATTATTTTATTTATTTATTTTAGCAGGACCGTAATGTCCAATGTCTATCCACAAATGATCCTATTGGTAGTTCATTTGTTGCATATTGTACAATACAAGTCGATTGGTATATTACATCCGAGCCATTTTTCTTAATTCAATAATATTGTTGTTGAATCCTGTCGGCAACAGGAAAATGCTGGATTAATGTCTAGCAAGATACTATTCTAAATCAATTTTCAAACTTGAATCGCATTCCGTTATGATTAACTTGGTTGTTCTTTTTTTCTAGTGCATCATGCTGAACTTTCTAGAGGTTAGCGTTAGCAACATGCTGATGTCATGGATTGAAATTTGAATAATACAAAGCGTATATTCGAATGGGCAACCTGCCTATTGTAAAGCTCAAACCATTTGGTGCTGTACGCGATATATTATCACTTTTGCAAGCAGTAAACCGTTAAGTAAACTAAAAGCGAACAATAGCATCCACTAAACCGATGATATACTGTAACAGTATCGATTGGCTATCGAGAAAAGGAGTAGAGTACAGGTATAGAGGTAAAGGAATTTCCCCTTTTTACTTTTACTGCACGAGTACATGTTTTGCAAGCTGTAAATCGTTAAGTAAACCAACAACGAACGAAACACTAACATTACTGATATGCAAGAGTATCGCGAGAGAAGAATATATATGCAGTATACTGTACACTGATCGCACCAGGAACTTGTGAAAAAAAATCTCTGACAGCACAATACTGTCGATTGAGTAAAGCGAGAGCAGTTGGTTGAAATCTACAATAAAATAGTACTACTGTCCTATCTCAAAGTGTCCTTTGAGTAACGCGAGCGTTCTTGACTAGGTTCTGCGATGCTGTCCTATTGAAGAAAGCGTAAGCAGTTCGCATGAGCGGGTAAATCATTAGAAAGCCATAGACGGTAGTAAGATGAATACAGATCCGTTTTTTACAACCTTGTTATTACTAGACTCGAATGACCCCCCGCCAAAAACTCGACTCGAAACTCATTATTCTAGGCTGATGACGATCTCAAGTCGCATAAAATGTACAGACGAAGACATCTCTACCTTTGCTATTCCTCTTGGCATCATGTCATGTAATAAAAACAATTATTGTAATTTATCCATTAATGATGGACGTCCTTTGTCGCGATCCTTAAACGATCCGATTCACATTGACCCAAACATACAGATAGCCGAGTGATATATCCAATCAAAGTGGTGATCGATAAAAAAGCAGCTGCTAAAGAGGAGGGGTCCACTCATGAATTTTTATACGCTTTTTTGTTATGCAGATGATGTGACGCCACTGAAAGCGTTTTATTTAATTAAAATATGAATCGCCATTTTTTCGCATGGTTTTGACTACCATCACGAAACTCTCGGCGGAGAAAAATAGCTCTTGTAGACACGCTAGTGGATCATGTATCATATACCAGTGTATATGCTTAAGAGTGGTCATGGATAGCGTTTTATTGAATGAAAATATGAATCTCCATTTTTTCGCATGGTTTTAACTGCCAGCACCAACTCTCAGCCATGAAAAATAACTCTTCTAGAATCTAGACACGCTACTGGATCATGTATCATGAATCAGTGTATGTGCTTAAGAGTGGTCATGGACACTTGTACAGTAGACGAGGACGGTGGGGCGTCGTGCGATCGCGACTCATCGAGTCCTCGTACTGTACCTGAAAAAAAAAACAAAAAAAAAAAAACAGTGGTCACGATGCGTGGTTAACACACTTGCGTAGACAAGACTAAGCGTGCATACTGTAGACTGTCGATGCGACATCCGTATGGGTCATGCTACGGTTGGTACCTCAATGATTGGCTCAATCGGAGCAAAGGAGAAATTTAATGCCGCAAAGATCGACGGTAGTGCCGTGAGCGTATAATTGGGTGGGCATCTCGGTCGATTTTCACTATACTGTAGTCAAGTACGTTGTAACCTGTTTTCAAGTATGGCGCAAGGAAGCGGAACACCTGAGAACGAAGATAAATACTTTATTAGCAAATCCAGGGCACTCATATTTTTGATTGTCGTTTGCTTGCTAGCGGTTGTCGTCGGTTTGATTGCTGGTTTATCGGCAAATTCTGGCAGCCAGGATAACATTCAAACTACAAATGCTCCACCAGTCCAGGATGGCAAACCTTGGATGACATTGAGACTCCCAACCGATGTCGTCCCAGACCATTACAATCTAATGCTATTTCCACTTGTGGATGGAAGCACCTTTACTGGAAAGGTATCCATTACCATCAACGTTACCAAAGCTACTCGACACATCTTAGTCCACATACGTGACTTGGCTATTACTGATAAAAGTGTTTCCACCATTGGCGGCAGCCCAAGAAAGCTGTCAATTGTGCAATCGTTTTTCTACAAGCCTAACGAATTTTACGTTATCGAAGTTGGTGAAAATTTGGAAGCAGGAAAACAATATAATGTCACCTATGACTTTAATGGAAACTTCCCTAAAGTTTTGTTCGGTTTGTACAAGAGTACATACAAAACTCCACAAGGTACCACCAGGTATGCAATTTATTTACATCATGCTTTTACCAGATACAGTGGCATGTACTGTGTTGATGATGGCGATACGATCAATTCTCGTATTCTCCACGGATCAACATACTTGCTGATTTTCCTTGTGCGTTAATGCTAGTGGTTACGATTTGAAACACATCAGTCAAGGCTTTGACATAAGCGCGCCTTGTCTTAAAAAAAATTGATTGCTAACTAGAAAAGTTATTATTTTAAGCTAACGTCTTTTGGGGCTGTGGAACATTCTAAAACTGCATTTTGCATCCGGCTTAAATCAACAATATTTTTGCACGCTCTATTGTATGCAAGGGCAGATCTGCAAGTTCGATATACTGTAGAAAAGCGTTTGACGCTCCTTGCATCACTTTTTTACATCGAGTCCAACATTTGGATTATTTTAGTGCACTACATCAACACATTCTACTTGACTGTATACAATTGTGCATATGTCAACTTCAGAATTATGGTGAACTTGCGTCGTAACACTTTTTGTATACTTGTAGGAAATAATGGTGTTGCCGTACAGTCTATATGACGGCTTGTATAGTAATAATATCATTGGAGGGGATAGACAATACAGCATAGTGCAGTGAATACAATGTCATGTATAACATACAACATGTATCGGTTTTCACTATTTTATGGCGGATCCTGGAGTAATACATGCATATGATATGCTAGTATTTATTTAATAGTCCCTGGCTAAGCATACTGGACGATTTGAACTTTAGCATTTTACGAAATGTGATATCTAACTTGACCGTTTCTAAAAACAACGATAATGACTGTCCTCTTAGGTTGAAGTACTACAGCCAAGCTAGTACTAGCTTCGCTTTACCGATGCAAAGTGCTGTCTATAAAAAAGTAGTTCTTGGTTGTGTCTTGATTACAACTGTAATTGCTAGACAAAGCGCAACGTATCTTGATTTCCAGGGCGCGGATCAAATTATCCCCTCGATCTCATTAGTGTAGTCCTAAACAGTATTTTCGTGCAATCCATACAGTAGTGTGGGATGACAGGTCTCGTTCATGAGGCACAATCGGTACACGTTACTGTCTGTAGAGCAATAGAACTTGCTGTATCCTTCAGTGATGTTCAAATTGGTTAATTAATTAAGACTCAAGTTTGCGATAATTGACCTCGATTATTTTTCAAAGTGACTTAAAAGAGTTGCAGCGCCAGGCAACCAGCTGCGAACGCTTCGATTTCTACTTGTTCCAGTCGTACGTGATGCAAGGCCGTACTATCTATTTATCTAACTGTCCGTAGAGTATCATCACAATATCGCATATCCTTCCCGAATTGTAGCACATTAGTCAAGTAAATCCATAAGCAAATGGCATCAATATCATCACATCATAATTAATTATATAATATGACATATACTGTATATATAATCATGATTATTGTACAAAGTGTATCGGCAACAGGCGACACCGATATCAGACCGATGTTCCTTCTTTCCCCCCATGAGAGTATCGTAACTGTACAGTATGTGACCGAACGTCCAAGCGCCAATGACAACGGTAGCGAGTCACTACACGACTATCTGTACCAGCAACTGCTATCATAAATTAACAGTTTTTTTTTTCCTTCACTGCACTTGATTACCGTCCGTACTGTACAATACAGCGCTACGGCCCATAATACCCCTCGTACCGAGCTACAGTCATGGTACCGTAATTGGCACGTGCCGCCTTTCGTCCAATTCTCACTGGTTCAAACCCTGCAGCATTATTCCAGCACAATGGAAGCAAACAACAAAATCGACTGTACGCTAATTAATTAATTAATGGTTGAAAACCTCCAATTAATTAACATGAATTCAATTCGGGTGTGATTCTGCGATTTTTAAAAAGCGAGCTGTTGTTAACGTGACTAATATGAAAAAATTCATTAATTTATAACTAAGCACGTTACAGCTTGAAAAGCAACGCACGCCTAAGTTTCAATAACGGAATGCGCGTCAATGGGGCCCCGCTAGTACTGCTGCCTGTATTGCAGTTTTAGAAAGCTGTTAACATATGGTAGTGAGGCCATAGTACGCCGATAGGACGTTAATAGTAGTCGAGTTTCAGGTTGTTTGAACTCGCACCAACTGGGCAGTACTAATCTTTATGAATTCCACTATAATTTTGTCGAGAGAATGCTATAAATACAGCAATAGGATCAATAGATCATCACTGCTATCACTAGCTGCAATTAGAGAATGATCAGTACCTTTTCATTCTCAGTGTTAAAAATGAAGGCCATTCGGGCTATAGACTTTGTTATCTGAATTCATAATCATAATATTGTACAGTATGCAGTATAGAAGAATGATTTATAATTTATTCAATTGCGTTGTCATTGATATTGTATACTATGAATCGTATTCAATAATTAATTAATTTACATCAATCCTTTCGCTACGATAGTTGTATCATGATGTACAGTACTGTACAAGTTGACATATAATAATAGATCATAGGCTGCAGTTTATGCAAAAGTAGACAGTGAAATCAAAATGGAATAGACAATGGAACACTTCACTTTACTGTATCTGTGATATCTAAAAGAGACAGTCCTGTGATCGCCATTATGGTCACAGGACTGTAAATAGCTTGTAAAAACACCCGTTCTACTTTTGACCATTATTTGTATTATCTTAACGCATTGGGCAGTTGTCACCTACTGATCTCCAATTTTTCAGTCTAATGTCCTTCAGTGCATGCGATACTTCTAAATGGATTGTTAATTATTCAATCAATCCACAAGAAAGTCAAAAACTGCAAAGTGATAATTCGATCTACTTTGTCCAAAGTCATTGATACAATAACGGTAGTTAATCCTTTGAGCCGCACTTGAATTTGGAATAAATACTCTTGTATGGACACTAAAATTGATTTCTACCCATTTCCTACGGTGCTGTACAGCATGTACACTGTACACTTCCGTGCACACTTCTAGGAATAAATTGTGCCAGCTTTATTCAACAATACACATTGAATTTAGTACCCTAGATCCTTGTGTGTTTAATATTGACCAAACATTGAAAGTCACCTGACTTTTGTTGACACAGTTGGTAGTAAGTCACAACGGAACAGTTATAATTATTAGCATAAATGACAACTTGAACCAATACGCTTCAATATGTAAAGAAATAGTTTCCTACTTGCTGATGCTATCTTAATATGATGGCTGAATACTTTTTCTACTAATTAGATACAAGTCTGTAATCATGAAATTGACTCTAATGCTCTAGCTAGAGCCTTGTAATCCATTTCCATGATATACTAATCTATTCAAGTGCATTTCCTACCTTGTAGAGTACAATTCAAGAAGTATGCAATTATGCAATCGTAAATTTTACCAGTAAATCTGTATCTGGTGTGACTTCTTCCTTGACATTGTTGCTGTGTCACTGTGTCTATTGTACGGCCAATACAATTAATTATTCTTGGCTACTAGTTATTTATTTATTGTTTACTAACGGGAAAAAATCGTAACGAATGCCATAAATCAGGTTTTCAATATTAAAAGTTTAGTACCACGCACTGAATGACCGAAGCCGCGCCGCCATATGGCCTAAGTTTAATGTTTCATTTTTTACTCGACAATTCCATCAATTTATCAGCGAATTTTCGTTGACAAATAAGATATGACAACTTTCATATATATTTATGCAATTAGCCCCGTAAAACTAGGGACTTCCAAGAACTTCAAAGTTTGACGAGTCCATAATATAACATGCATTGATATTATATTATGCTATCTCGATAACTATTTTCCTGTTGCTTCTATAACTTTTGTATGAAATCGGTCAATTTTACCAATTCATTATCATATTTTCGATACGACTACGACAATATGCTAGAAAAAATAGCTATACTTTTACCAAAAGCAAATTTCGTTCACTATGTAGAGACAAGGGCTCCGATTTAAATCAATTCCAACTTAGGCAGCTCCTTTTCAACAATTGATGTCTCTCTCTTGTAATGGTAGTCATTGCTACATTGTGCATTCTAATAATATCCTTCAATCTAGTATTCGTAACCCTACGTGTACAGTACAGTAAAAATACCAGTAGCGTAAGATATAATAATCAGTATGCCAACCGTGTAAAATTATACATGCAATACGGAAACCTTGATTACTATACTTCGGGTATAAATCAGATTTAAAGAGATTACCTGCTACAATTTGAATCCATTAATTGTACAGGAGTGCAAAATGGCAACATCTCTAGAAATTACCTGATACGGTTCATACTGTATATTGCACAGTGGAATCTATATCCGTAATATTATATGAAAATTATATGGTATACAGTAACAATCCTTTCAATAACTAAAATAATCGTGCACCCTCTGGTGATACGTATTTACCCGATTTTAAAACTGATAGCAAATCCTGGTATAATGCTTATTAATATATGACTAGTAAATTCGATTGAAAAATTGAATTCTGTGGTATTACTAACCATTTTATGGGTTGCAGTATTCAACATAGACTAAATATTTCGGAGCTTAATCAATACTTGTATAGTAGCATATACTGTAGTAGGGGGTTCGCTTTTACTTATACAGCACTTCTAAAGTCACATCAGCTAAACTGAAACCAACTGCCTGAAACATATCCAATGATTAGTTATGCATTAGCTTAACTTAGATTATGATATGCAGTATTCAAAACAAGTTAACTTTTTACTCTGTAATATATTGATGGTATTCCTTCCCATGACGTAATTTGTAGCGGACACTAATGATGAATGACGTAATTGTGATTTATACGATTGTTCAATTTGATTAGTAAATGGTAGACATTAGCCGATAGCTTGAGATACTACTACCTATTATATCATATTATTAAGAAGGATTACATCGAATTTAGATTTGATTTTCCTAATCATTGTTCTAATACTAATGGTTACCATCGTGATTGCCCTGTTTCCTAGGAACATGGTCACATCAGATTTCGAACCACTTGATGCTCGTATGGCATTGCCATGCTTTGACGAACCAACATTGAAAGCTACATTTACCACAACACTGGTGAGACCTACTACAGGATACATAGCCTTATCAAACATGCCAGAGGCCAGAAGTTATCAATATCAGGCTGGCTATACTGCAGTGGAATACCAAAAGACCGTAAAGATGAGCACATATCTGTTGGCTTTTATCATTTGTGATTTTAAATACAACGAAACTACAGTAAACAACGGTGTTAAAGTAAGTAAAGTATTGCGTGAATAAGGACATACAACACATTCGCTCAAACCTTTCATTCAGTACTTTGTACAGTATAGCACCCTGTTACAGGTTTCATCTTATAACCATGTACCAAATCCTATTGCAGATCAGAATCTATTCACCACCTCATCTACTTAACAACACTGGCTTTGCCACTTACACAACTAAGGCGCAAATGGAATACTTCAATACTCAAACAGCACTTCCCTACGATTTGCCTAAATCTGGTAAGTGTTCCATTCAATGAGATTTAGTTGATAACTATTACTATCAATCGTTTATACCTACTGTCGGAATTTATCAGAATTTTCTTCAGAGTAAAACCGTCTGTTATTTTCTAGACTTGATTGCCATTCCCGACTTTAACTCCGGCGCTATGGAAAATTGGGGTTTGATTACATTCCGTGAAACTTTATTATTGTATGATCCTTTGAAATCCTCAATTTTCGAAAAACAACGAATCGCTGTTGTTATTTCTCATGAACTTGTTCATCAGGTTTGTATATATATACATAAAGTGGCGTATACGATATTGAAATTTTTTGACATGCTGGCGTACAGAAACTATCTATATAAAAAGTTGCATCTGCATGTACAGAAGAGCCGTTATTAGAGGCCGTGTAATCTCCAGTATAATCCAGATACAGTTGAGATGTTAAAATATGCTGATTAAACTTATTTCGTTATACAGTGGTTTGGTAATTTAGTCACCTTAGCCTGGTGGGACGACTTATGGCTTAACGAAGGTTTTGCTAGCTACTTGGAATACCAAGGCGTCCATGCTGTTTATCCCGACTGGAAAATAGTATGTTTCATATCAGTTATACTTAAAGATGTTATCTTAACTCATGCACTAATTCTTGGCATTTGCCTATTTATAATATTTCTATTAGTTCTTTAATACTATATTCTGACTGTATTATTAGATGGATCAGTTCTTATCTGGTGATTTCTTCCGAATCATGGCAAGAGATGCATTAATATCATCACGACCTATCTCCGCCTTATCAGATACTCCAGCCGCTATTAAGCAAATGTTCGATGCTATCACTTATAGTAAAGGTGCTGTAGCGGTTCGTATGGTAGAGTTTATCCTAGGGGATACTGGTTTCAAGAATGGATATAGGGTTCGTCAATTGTACTGTGTATACTTACGATTATCGTCTAAACGATAACGTTTGATTGTATGTAACAGATCCGTGCGTAATAATCTCTTCATTCATTTATTAATACTTTATGTTACTCAACATTTACCATTAGGCATATTTGAAAAAGTATCAATATTCTAACGCAAACACTATGCAACTATGGAACTCTTTATCCGAGGTAGGTTTAAATGTATTGATATAGTAATAATCAGTTTAGCCATAGCGGCGTTGCTGCATTTTTCTATTCTATACCCAGTGTATAGCACTTGTACTAATGGGTCAAATTATCATAGGCTAACAATAACAGAATTAATATGGTTGAAGTGATGGATCCATGGGTACGCCAAAAGAACTTCCCAGTTATCACAATCACAAACCAGGGTGCTCAAGGTACTGCATCCCAAAAACGCTTCTTGATTGATGATTCTGCTGCAACTGGTACTGGCTCTGACTTCTCTACGTATGGGTAAGTTAATATATATGATCGCCTCGGCTTTCTTTACGGAAGCTCTTGTGAAGAAAACGGTAATAATTTCGAAATCGAATATCTAGCTCTGCTAATTCATGCTGTTAGGAGATTTTTAATATAAATTGAAAGTGTAATGTTATCTCTTCGTTGGTTTTCTGGTAGTTACAAATGGTACGTTCCATTAAACTACATCACAAGCGCAGATACTAATACACCTATATCAGCTTGGCTGAATAAGACCTCAGTCAATTTCAATTACCCCGTAAATGGCTGGATGAAAGCTAACGTTGGACAATATGGATTCTACATCGTCAACTACCCAGAAACCAATTGGAATAGATTGCAGGCTGCTTTAGAAAGCGACGTGAACGTAGGTTCTTTATCTGTCTTAAAGGATGCGACTTATAGCACCAATCTATTGTTATTACGGAATTTATTTACAAAATTTTACCTTTACCTTATGTAGACTTTAAAGAGTGGTGATAGAGCCGGCTTGATCAATGATGCATTTATGCTTGCTAGGTACAGATGAGTATACGTACAAATGTAACTATTGAACTTTTCTGTATTTATGTTTCAGTTATGGCAATAAAATGGATTATGCGCTTATAAAACTATTACTAATATAATATTGGTATATTTGTAGGAGTGGTACAATCAAACAGAGTTTGGCACTCGGTATGACTAAGTATTTATCTAAGGAAAAAGAATATGTACCATGGACCACTGCCTTGGGATCGCTTGGTTACTTTGATACTATCCTCAGCATGAGACCATCATACGGTGACTTCAAGGTTAGCTAAAATCTTGCCAATGAGTAAGCATAAAATTAGCTTTTCAACATAAATTAAAGAAATTACTATTTCTGTTAGACGTACATGATTAACCTAATCCGTGGTCGCTATAATGACCTTGGCTGGACTGACACCGGTTCTCACTTGGACAGGTATAATATTCTACATTCTACCATAGTGATATCAATGTATCAACTCTTATCCCTCTAACGCCTCATTAAATTAATATTGATCAAATAGATATGCTAGAAGTGACATTTTACTTTGGGTAACTCGTCTAAACTATAACACTGCTATTCAAGCAGCAAAGAAAATCTATAACAACTGGATGGTAAATGGTACAAGGTATGCTACTGTATGTGTATTTCTTACTACCAGCAGTTTTAACACTGGCTTCGACAATGATGTGGAATATGATTACAATATATTTTCACCAAGTGGATATCACTATGCCTAATAATTGATTGTGATATAATTAATAACAATTTCTTGTCATGCTCTTGATTCAGTATCCATCCAAATATCCGTACTCGTGTCCTACGTGCTGGTATTGCTGCTGGTGGTCTAAAAGAATGGGATTTTGCCTGGAACAAATTCTTAACAACCGAATCTGCTTCAGAAAAGACCGCACTGATGTACGCTTTGGCCTTCTCTCGTACCCCATGGATCTTAAACAGGTACACAGTAGTTTCCCGTACACTATACACAAGTTTGTGGATGCATCGTAATACTGTACGCTAATAAGCACTGTTTAAGATATGTTGCGATTTGAATTCCCTTAATACACTGTTAAATAAATTACTAGATATCTCCAGCGTTCAATGAATACTTCTCTGGTTCGTTCTCAAGATACTCTTAGTGTAATTCGTTACGTCTCTGGTACTACTTTGGGTCGACCTATCGGTAGGATTGCGACTTACTATTTGTATCCGCATTTATATTAGAATATAATGAGTATTGCTTTGCAAAGTATGCAACAGTTATCTTTGTGGATCATAACCTAAGAATAATTGCAAAGCGATTTGAGATTAAAGGATGTTTGTTGTCTCTTGTGTTTTAATTAGCATGGAGTTTCTTTCAAGCCAATTGGAACACTCTATATGACAGGTACCATTAAGTCGCTAGTAAATATAGAATTCCAATCTGAATGCCATCTTGCTCCTGGACTTTATTGACATTCTATCTCTTGACTATGATTAGATATTCCCAGGTAACCTTTGGTCTAGCACGCGCGGCCGAGAGTTTGACTAGTGCTTTCGCAACTGACTATCAACTGCAAGAGGTATTGTCGTATGCAATAGTTTTACGTTCTTGGAAATCATGCCTAATGATATAATTACAACAATGTGATGCTATCATTTACAAGTAAAACGCAGTACATTATTTTATATACACTTTTCGATCCTATCAATTCATTCTATTATTTTCACGTTCTCGCAGGTTCAAAACTTTTTCAACACAGCCAAAGATACTAACGCTATATCTAGCTCTAAGAAGACCATCCTCGAAAATATCAAGAGTAACATCGACTGGTTGAAGAAGAATGAAGCAGATGTTGCTGACTGGCTTGCGAAAAACAAAAATATCTAATTTTACCGCTTAAGGCGATTTGAGACTGCGCGCTTTTAGTAGATTGTTTGCTAGTTTTATATAATATTCGTTAAAGCTTATTGATAGAAATGTAAAGTTCTGTTTAAACATTTAAGGTAGTGATAATTTCGTTAAAATTTTAGTTAACATATGTATCGTCAGTCTTGCTTTTTAATCTATCGGTTTGCTATTGCTCTACATTTTACTTTCTTGGTATGGTAGCCATTAATACGACATAATCTTATTGTAACACTTTAGGCCTAATTATTACCTGGAAAGATGTATTTTAACTGTCTTTGTAACTGTTTTATTTAGTTAGTTAAAATATGCTGTTCAGATACATAAGTTATACTAATGCAAATTTAACTAACGTAGTATAACAGTTTCTTAATAGCACTGATTGTTTTTAGGTTTGCGTTTAAAACAATAAAAGCTCTTTGTCGATCCAAAATGATGTGATTAACTTATACTTGTATTGTTTATCGTACTATAGCCGTATCGAATTGACATAGCTAGAGTAAAATTATGAAATCTAAAATTTATGAAGGCTCGATAACATTTTAGCTAGATAAAGCAATTAAATGCTAGTATTTCTAAGAATTCAAGGTATGTAATACTTTTATTATTATTTATCCGCTAAAATAGCACGCCTTTAGTGTTTCCCGAGACTATTGCATTTCTCAGTACCGTAAAGAGACCAATGGCGTACGTATCTCTCTGTTTTCTTTTTTCACGACAGGCTGTATTACATTCCATTATCATCTACCTTATATCCGCACGAATGATTGGTAGACAAGTACGACTGCCGCGTACCCCCACTGATCAAAATAAGAAAAGCCACATGTAGCATACTACTATATTGTGTTTGATATTAGCATAATATTGGAGTGCGTATTATGCTTGAATAGCATGCAGTAACGTGGACTTTCTGTACACGGACGCTATAAAAGTTTTCATTCGGAAATCGTATGAGTTAAAGCACTACTGTATAAAGCTAATCTACGTTGTCCGGTATGTATGTACAGTATTTAAATAAATGTACGCGTATATTTGGATGGCTCATCACTACTTGCATATACCAAGATGAAATTGAATGATTGGAAAGGGTACCATTGCCAGTAGTGTGTTACACTTTGAGTCATTTCAATTTTGGATATTTCTATGATTCTAGAGACTGCAACTTTACAAGATATCCAATCTAAGGCTTGCACGTCCATTTGTAGTGACGTACTGGCAATTTATTCCATGAGCACCGTAAGTGATCGCTTTCCACTTTCGGTATTGCAATTCACTGCACATGCAATCGTTATTATAAGGGTTCATTTTATAAAATTTGATATTACTGCAAATCCTAGCTTTACTATATTTAGTTACTGTAGCACATGAGATCATTATGAGTATGTAGATAAAAATACGATATGTTTCCGTCAAATTACCGTAGTCAATTTTATTTGCATTAGAATACAACTTCGCTTGATATTTAACAATGTGAATACAATTTCGAGCCATCCATAACATAGCAATTTAACTACAGTACCCGTTCAAATTATAAATCATAGTATGTATATAATAACGTAAATACAATCGTGGAAAAAACATTTACTGTGAAATAATATGATGACGATGATGTGGATCCTACACGAATGAGTATCTAATACTGTACTGTCTTACATGTAACATTGTTGTGTCGATCTTACCGATATAAAATATTTTGACACAACATGTTTCACAATACATCCGTACTAATAGAAATACTTAAAATTTCGTCAATGAAGTCAGGTTAGTTATCACGCAAGATGTAAGACCAAAAACAGAAATTAAGCAATCATATCTAAAGAGCTAAAATTGGAAAACGCCATAGACTAGTAGCAAACTTCGCGCTTTCACAGCAGTCATTGATAACGCAACAGCCGTACAGTACTGTATCTTTTGTCAGATAAAAAGGTTAAATCATAATGTATAATAGTAGCCAATTACTGTAAGTTACTTAAATTTTTTGAATTTTCGATCCAACAACCACTGGATTATTTTTGCTAATAGCAGCTCTACCGGCAGCTTTGTAATCGAATGTACAATCGTGCTTGTCTGAATAACGATGGGTGCTACAAAATACATTACCACAATGACATACGAAACCTAGAAAAGAAAATAATAATGTCGATATTACAGTTAGCAAACATCTAGCATTAATAGAACACAAACGATGTTGATAGTTAATCAGGCCAACTAGTTTAATGATGTTTACTAAGAGTACTGCCGCAATCGATTACATCACGACATTTCGCTATTTTATTTAGTTCATAATAATTAGTCCTATCGTCGTCACTCCTATTCATGTCCAAATTACACGATATCAAGTTTCATTTAATCCTAATTTGTATCAAATGCTACAAATAGTAAATGGAATATCCCTCTATCTTGTAAAAATTATGAAATAGAGGATAGAGGGATATTCCAAGTCCTTAGGATGCAATTTTATTCATAGTAGTATTTATTAAACACTACTATGAATAAAATTGCATCCTAAGGACTTGACAGTCCACTAATGCAGACAAGATATTACAATCTACAGTACACAGTGTTGGCTGTACAGTGTACAGTACAGTAAAGTACAGTACTGTCTGCATTCGATGGACATGCGCAATGTAAAGAGTAAGTGTACAAAAAAAAATAATAATAAGTTATTTGCATTTATACTGCATCCACATTTGATCTAGGGTTTGTTTATCATACTGTAGAGCACATCCAAATACAGCAATTGTATGTTCTTAGGAACCCCATTGGGATAGGCAGACATTTTACGTTATTGTTAATCAATGCCGTAATAATGCGCAGTACAGTACTGTACCATTCCACGCTGACTTTTCAACTGAAGTTCAAAAAAACACACTGAGGGTGAGTGACTTTAGGTGATTTAGTCAGTTTAGTATGGCAATTGGAGCCCAAGCCCCTTTTATGGTCAATACATCAATGGATAGACTGCTGTATTTCTTTGCCGCAATCATATATATTGTTATAATGCAGTCATCAAGAGGCCGATGTCTCTTCACTTCTAGCGATCAGCCAACCAACTAAGTGGCGTATCGTTGCATTTTCGACAGAAAATACATTACAACTAATCATAATTACAATCAGACTTTCTCGCTAATACAATCTGTCATTAATCAGGCTCGGACGTTATAAAATTGCTCTTGAAAATAAATTAATTAACCCTCTACCATTTTACTGTCGATCCCGATGATCAAACACAACATAACGTATCGTTAAAGGAAAAGTGTCATCATCAATCGCTCTGCCATGGATAACATGTATAGATATATATAGATATGGTATACAGTACGTTTTCTTCGTGGCTAAACGATGACCATCAATAACGAAGGGTACGGCATAGGAGAATGCAAAAGACAAATTTTTCTTATACCCTACAGTGCAGTACTACACTAGAAAGGAACAACTTGTAAGATCTCCAGTACAGTTTTTTTTTCGATTATCATACACACACACAAAAATTAGATGTATTTGAACAGAATCGATGTCCCTGTTGAACCCGTCAAACAAATACTACAGTCCTACAATTCTCCCATGATACAGTACAAGGTTTCACTCAAAAATGAAATTAGAATTACTCAATCATTCAAGTGGGTAAAGGAAAAAAAAAACCAGTTTATACGTCTAAAAGATAAACTAATAACTGTCAATGTTAAAAAGAGTACACATAAAGCCGTAGTATATTTTAGACTAAGAGCGAAGAAACCAACATCTGAATATATAACGGTACTACCAATACTGTACTGTACACATATACTTCATTTAATGACACAGTAGGTTGAATGATGAAGACGAGAATCTACTTATGTATTGAGACATGAACAACAAGTAAAGAAACTAGTATTCATTTGCTTCGTCTATAAGTCATTGATAATTATAATCAATAACAGAAGTACAATTTCAGGTTACTATCATACCAGTTAAGCCAACTTTTTTACGACAAGTAAAGCATCGATTTCTCTTAATTGATTTAGTTGGTGTATCTGTATCAGAGTTCGTCGATAACGAATCTTCTTTTACTTCCTGTACTTGATTTACTTTTTCTTGCTTATTATTATTCGTCGCCAAATCTATTTCATCCAATTCCTTATTTTTTATTTCGCTACTTTTATCGTTTACTAATGTTGGTGTTCTAAATTTTCCTGGTGTTTCTATAGAAGTTTCTAAAATAATCAATAAATGAGGAATAAAATTTATCAATACGCAATTTTGCTGTAGGGAATACAAAAGAGACAAGGACTACATGTTTACGGTACTATGAAAGAATGTCGCCGTCAAGATATCAAAGTACATGGTGATAAGATACAGTAAAAACGGTTTCTAACCGTTAAATACTTACGAATACATTTGATTACTGCAAAGGAAAATACTGTACACCTGGATCCAATGAATGTACTGTGTGTGTGTGAATATAGTAATATGGATTGGTAAAATAGAGGATAAAAATAGTTTGTTTCACAAAATTCTTCTATTTCGATACTAGCTACAGCAATTATTTCAATTATGAATGTGAAATTTTCAAATTGACTTCTTGGGTTATAGGAAGAGTCAAAAAAACCTTGTAGCCTGATGGGTCTGACATGAAATTAGAGCAAATCATGATAGTCACGCTATTAGATAGATAATCCACTACATATGCTGTAAAAGTATTGAAAAGTAAAACCAAGTCTCAAGGCCGAACGGTCGGTCATGTTGGTTGAAACGGTTAAGGGTCGAACTATAAATACTGTACTATACTGTCTAGGCGTACGGATGAAGGAAAATGATAAGTATAGGGTCAAAATAAATACAGATTGAATGTACCTTGTACTGATGCTGCTTTCTCTTTTTGTGCTAATGAATCTTTAAAGCATTTAGAACACATTCCATCAAAGTTAGGGTGTCCATAAAAACCACAGCCATTTCGGCATAAAATTTGTACAGGTACTGGTTGTTCCTGGCTCTGTGTTTGTCTATCCATATCGTTGACTTTCAATCAGAACTGGTTGTCTTTTTTTCACTTTGTACAATTATCGTGAAAGGAATTCACCAGCTGTAAGCTGTAGCGCGTATCTGAGTTGACCTCTTCTTCACAAGTCTTGACGTTAAGTAATTACTACTTAACAAAGAGCAAAAAAAATCCAATCGGTTCAGCACTAATTGAAGCGAGAGAAAATGAGGAAAAAAACCAACGTCAAATCAGCAAGATTTCCTTTTATCCGATCACTAAAAATGCACTTCAGTAATCAATACTGTCGATCGATTGTGACGTACTGAACTGGGGTGAGTTTGCGTCAATGACAGAAAAAGGATGATTAGAATAATTTCGAATTTATAAATAGTACACTTGACTTGACAGCGTTGGTGCTGGATCACTTGCTTGCGCTACTTGCTACAGTAGAGTTAGACAAGCGTGAAGTAGACTGGACTGGACGCTAGACAGGCTGGCACAACACAACACAACAAATAAAACGCTTGTTACTGAGGGCATCATGCTGCATCATCATCGATTCATCATCATTTTGTACAGTACATTCATTCAGTTGCAGAAGGGACTAGAAAAACAACCAGTTCTAAAAAGCCATACGAAATTGCATCTTGACAGGTTATGGTAGAGTACAGAGTGTACAGTATTGCATGTTTGGACAGGTTTGTAGTCAGCCACTTGAGTGTTGATACTAGAAGAGTGCATTGAGCTCTGGCTTATACTGTACACTCTAGATCAGACTTTGTGACGGTTCATTCAAAACTACAGTTACAGTACTGTAATGTCCAAGTCCAGTACACTACAGTATAATGACTACAGTACCAAGTAGATTAACTGCACATCATACTGTAAATGATGCAACCTGTGCCGGTAGGAAGCCAAGGGTATTCCAGTACACGACTGGACTATACAGTGTACAGTACCGTAAAAATGGCCTTCCAAAGACTTCAGATGGTTAGCAATACAACTCTATCAAGCACCATTTTCTTGCTCGGATCTGTCAGTTTTTGTTAATCTGTAGACTGGACTATGATTCCATTTGTAGCCGACACCTACATGCGCTATAGTCCAACTTCAAATATTCTCTTCGTTTTATGACCGTGACAAATATCAAAGTACAGTACAGGAAAATCGGCCTGAATTCAAGAACTCAAAATGGCGGATGAAAGCATCCAATGACTGAAGTCATTCATCGACTCACACTGAATTACGTGTCGTGACAGTCATGAATGAAGGCAATTATTCGACTGCAGTCTACTATACAGTGTCCACTAGAGACCTTTCTCGAAGGGTTTTGACTCTACACTAGCATTAGTCGCATGTCGCATACGTTTTTATCATGATGTAGTACTGTCATAACACAGAAAATAAGAAATAAATGGCACAACAATTCTTTGCTCGGTACTTGTATGCTAATTTTGATGTTGTCTTAACTACAGATATTGTGAAACACAACTTTCAAAAATTGCAAGATGCTATTATCAACCACTATTTTGCCCAAACTTAAAAACAATTAATTTTTAATGAATTTTACTGGTCTAGTAGAACCCCCTAAAAATGATAACATTGCACTACACTTTTAAAAATAACCGCTCTACTGTACTGGTCTGCGCTTTACAAATGTGTCAAGATTAAGACGATTAAGAAAAGAAATAGCGCTATTCAGGCTATCATCAATGCAGTCATAAAATCTATCATCATGACCGAGCTGCCAATTACAACGAAC